TGGTCAAGCGGGGCCCGACTGGAAAACGGGCCCAAGTGGCGAGTTTCGAGAAGCGCACCTGGCGATCGGGCCCCGTTCGCGTCCACTCGGCTTAAAAGACTCTTCCGTCTCCTCCACCTCTCGGGAGGGAGCGAGAGGAGGATGGATCGTTGAATAAAAATCCGCAGCTGCAGTTTCGCGCAGTCCCGGTGCCCCCTTTGTGCTCGGGGCACGGGCTAGACTTTTGTTCCCCGTTCATTGTGGGCCCGTGCCATGGGCCTGACTTTCGATCGAAAGGAATCCCCCTCCACCCCGGGCCGAAAGAACGGGAGTTTACGCGAGTGCGTGACTTTTATCCGATATATTCCGCCGGCGGTTTCCTTCCGCATTGCCGGGTGGTCGTTGGGCCTTATTCCCGTCGAAGTCCCCGAACTCTGGGAATTAATTTCCACCCGACGTCGCGCGTTAATCTTCCACCGGCGCGGCCACTTAAGGTGGACGCGCATCGACTTTAAGCCGCTTTGGGCCGTCCTTCGTGGTGGAGGGAGAGGAAAAAAAAAAAAAAAAAGAAAAATCAAAGTATCGACTCCCGTGCTCGCCCGTCTCTATCGATTTGTCCTTGGCCATTCGAGGATCCTCTCGTAATGCCCGGCTTGACTTTTCGGCATTTATTAAATGCGCCCCAGGTGGGCGGAGGTTAAAACAATACATGGAAAGCAGTATTTCGAAAGAACGCATCGTTAACAATTTTTCTCCCTTTAAGTCGAGATGAATCGGTTCATTTTTAGAGATTCGGGGATTTTTTTTAGTAAACCGAGGCCCACGACATGCCCGATATTTCTCAAAAGCGCCGCTAGGGGCGCGCGGGTGGAAAGAATAACCCACCCACGACAATTATTCTCAGTTTTGCCCGGTTTAAAAAATATCTAAGTGATAAAAATCCCCATCGTGTCGCGTCTAAACAAATTAATTACACTTTACCGTTTCTCCCGTTGCCATAAACAATATATACAAGTTCTGAAATCCACATGACGCAGGCCTGAGTTCCCGAAGCGGCGCTAAATGCCGCATGGTCGATAATTCCAAAAGGGGCCAGGTAAAAGATCCACGAAAATGACGTGAAATTATCCAGAACCGAGGGTCCCTTTCTCCCGGGTGAAAAATGAAAGGGAAAGACGTAAGGAAAATTGCGAAAGGGCGATGCCGAGGCATTTCGTCGCGCGTCGGAGACGAAAACGCCTCGAGGCAGCCTGGGATGGGGCAAAAGACGTTACGCCTCGTAAGGGAGATCCTTTACCATGACAATGAGACATCTGCTTGGCACGAGCTCCCAGAGGGTGACGGGGATCAGCCCTCATCCCTTAACGAAACCTAGTTTCCTTCCCGCGGCCCAGCCGGCGACGATCTTGGACCTCGCAATTGGGGAGGAAATTATAAGGGTTTCCTTTCCTTCCTTCGGAGAGGACGCACCTGGTCTCGTTTCTGCCCCGATGGCCCCGAATTATTCCATGGGGTACCCCCCATCCCCGTGTAATCGAATTTCCCTTCCCCAAGCCGCGGTTAAAAGTAAAAATAAATATTAAATTTTTAGATATTCCGCAATCGAACATCAAATTAAAGAAAATCCCAAAAAGGTGGAGTGGCCTTGTCGAAGTTAAACTTCAACGGAGGGACGAAGAAACGTGGACTGTCTCATTTTTCTTATTATTACAATTTATTTAAAATCGAAGTAAATTTACATTTAATTTTATTTTATATTATATTAAATTTCCGCCTAGGAAAGGAGCTTGAGGGGGGGGGGACGCATTGGTTATAAAAACAGCACACGGGGGTTGAAGTGGGAAAGGTGCATCGGAATGACGCATAGGTAAATAAATGTTGATGAACAAGGTGGCTCGAGAGTCCTGAGAGAGGGCTCGTCTGGCTTAGGGTGATATGGGGCCCCATAGGGCCCCGTGGGGCGAGAGACCCTCGCCGTCCCCTCTAGGGACCCAATTCCCACGCGAACGAGCGGGATGCGCATGCGCCTCGGCTAGGCGCTCGTTATTACTCGCGGGGATAAGCAGATGTCGCCAACGTCGGTTGGGTATGGACTCCGCCCTATCGGGTGGATGGGCGTCGCGATAAGGGCGTCCCTCGCCTACATGGGAATCCCTAGGGGGGTCCGCGAGGACGCGAATCGCATAAGTAAATTCGACATAACCTCTATGTGTCGCGGATGTATTAAAAGATGGTGGGATCTACGAAAAAAAAAAAAAAAAAATTGATAAAAGCCATTTAAAAATTGTACAACGGAAATTGGTATTCCGCTTTACATGTGAACTGGAAAAGATGCATACTTGAAGGTGAGCTAATGAAAGATGGAGTAAATTCGACATAACCTCTATGTGTCGCGGATGTATTAAAAGATGGTGGGAATGGATGTACGAAAAAAAAAAAAATAAAAATAAAATTGATAAAATCCATTTAAAAATTGTAAAACGGAAAATGGTATTCCGTTTTACATGTGAACTGGAAAAGATGCATACTTGAAGGTGAGCTAACGAAATTTCTACGGTAATTTTCTACGGTAAACCACGTGGGTTTATGTAATATATAAACGTGGAAAAACGAGGAGGATTCAGCTATCCAGTTAGTACGAAGACCAGTGGGCCGGCAACTGGTCGTCTGGCCTCCAATTTGCGGCGCATGCAAATGGGATTTTCTAAGGTAAACCACGTGGGTTTGTGTAATATAAAAACGTGGAAAAATGGGAAATTAGTCAACCTTGGGTCGCAAAGCTCTTACGTCGCGAGGAGGAATCAGCTATCCAGTTAGTACGAAGACCAGTGGGCCGGCAACTGGTCGTCTGGCCTCCAATTTGCGGAGCGAGCGGTCGTGGGCGCCTCGCCGCTTCCGACGGATATATATTCGGCGTTGAAAATTGCCAATTGTCTCAATGGAACCCGACTCGGCCGCATTGTCCCGCGGCGCGACCGAGTCGCCCGAGGGAACCGCTGCCCCGGAAGTCCCGGGGGGCCTCGCGGCGCCCCGCGATCAGCGCGCAGGCGCGGAGGAACCCGGTGCCAGAGAACGACTTTGCCGCGCGCCGTAATATCGGCGAGCGCGCGTTTAACGGCCGCGTCGTAAAGGAAAGAATTCCTCGACCCGGGATCCCCAGGAGTCGGAGGCGCGATTACGAGGAGCCAGCGACTTGGGAAATGTGCCAGACCGACTTTCAGGACCCGGTTACGACGATTTGAATCACCGTAGCCCGAAAGTTCGCGGTGTAAGATACAAACATTTGTTCATAGATTATTTTAAAATTTCTTATTTAAAATGAAATTTCACGAAGGACCTTCCTTACAATCCACATATGCACGTTGTAAAGTTCAAACATTTGTTCATATATATTTTAAAATTTTGTTATATAAAATGAAATTTCACGAGGGACCTTCCTTACGGCCTCCATATTCACGTTATAAAGTTCATACAATTATTCATAGATTTATAAACAATTTCTTCTAAAAAATGAAATTCCCTGAAGGACCTTCCTACACGTTCTAAAGTTCATACATTTGTTCATAGATATTTAAAAAATTTGTTATATAAAATGAAATCTCACGAGGGACCTTCCTTATAGCCTCCACGTTCACTTTGTAAAGTTCAAACATTTGTTCATAGATGTTTTAAAATTTTGTTATATAAAATGAAATCTCACGAGGGACCTTCCTTATAGCCTCCACGTTCACTTTGTAAAGTTCAAACATTTGTTCATAGATGTTTTAAAATTTTGTTATATAAAATGAAATTTCATGAAGGACGTTGTAAAGTTGAAAAAGATTCTAAGAAAGGTTTGACGTCCCCTTAAACCCGCTCATAAGATCCGCAGTTGATAATTCCCGTGACGGAATTAGAAGTAGGTAATGTCGGAAGTCATCTGGTGGAGGAGACGCGGCACGCGCCTCGTGTCCTCGACTCGTAACGACGCTCGTAGCAGTCCCTTTGATATCCCCCCTGCACCTTAGGGACGTGTCGCGAGGGAGCGCCTTATGTTCAAGACGGTTGCTCTCGCGCGGCCGTTCCGCAGCGGTTGGGACCCGCCGGCCGGAAACCCGCAATTCGGCCGCTCGTTGGTACACCCTTCGGCCTAAGGATCGCGAATTGCGCGAAACCGCGTCACGCTGTCGAGTCTGCTTCGCCATCTTGCCGCCAGAGGGAGGCAAAGTGGCGCTACGTTAAACTAGAAATCCAGGCACCCTCTTGGAAGGACGAAACTAACGAGCCGCTTCCTTTCAATTGTCCCACGAGGTCGATTATTAACTTTCCGCTCTAACGGAATTTCCTCGAGGGAAACTTGTACCACGGGAAGGTAATTTGGAATTTTTTTTAATTCTTTAAGGTGATATGAAAGGGTCATGTATGTATGTAAAATAGTATACAGATGTGAAATTGAATTTTGGCGAATAACTTTCGACAGCAAGCGCTGGTTAAGTGAAACGACTCCTTTTTTTTTTTTCTTTTCCTAACCTCACCTTTGTTCCATCCGCTCACCTTGCCAGGTTATTAACACCGTGCCGTGCGCTCTCCTTAACCTGTAACTAGTTCCTATTCTTGGGCTCAATAAATAACAGCGACAACGGCGATGGCAACGATAACCTTTCATGGATGAGGGGCGTTTCACGCCTCGTGCTTCGGTAGCGACTCGGCGCGTCCACTTCCTCAAAAGTAACGCCATGTATTCCAGTTCAGAGAAAGGTTTCAAGATGGCCGCCGCGGCCCTCGTGCTTCGTCCCCTTGTATATCGTATCTTTTATATTTATATTATAAAGTTTGAAACGATTAGGTACATTCCAGTTAAGATAAAAGGTTTAATATTTATATTGTAAAGTTTGAAACGATACAGTACATTCCAGTTCGGATAAAAGTAAGAGATCGCGTTTGCGCGGCAATGCAAGATGGCCGCCGCGCGTCCCTCGTGGTTGTCCCCTGCCCTTGCAACGTCTGGAATCTAACTTTAAGCCCCATCCCTTTATTTCCAGATCCATGGACACCCTGGCAGGTCCTTAAGAAGCGGCGGGCTTGAAGTAAACATTTCGTCGTCGGCCGGCAGCAAAAGGCTCCTGGACGCCATTCCTCGGTTCGCGGTGAGTGTTCCTCGTGTTTCCCTGTTTTTCCTTTGACTGGTCCCGCGCGAGGTCGAGTCGCTCCCGGAATGTCGGAGAGATGTGTTTAAACGTAAACAGAAGCCTGAACGACTCGACGCCGAAAGAGGCGACTCGTGGGAGCATTTTCGGCCGTTTAACTTCGAGCCGCTCTCAGAGAGGGCGCCACTGCGCCGTTAAGGAGGTATGGAAGTGGCGTTGAAGAGGTTTCTTTTATGAAGCTTTTCTTCCAACTGGGCATACCGAATCGTTTCAAACCTGAAAATATGAACATGGAGGCTACGAGGAAAGGTCCTGCACCCATAAAATTTCAATTTTTTTAATAATTGTTTATGGGTACTTTAAAAGTTCTTTATAATACCGGGGTGATAATGGCCAAAGGTGACTCCGAAAGGCCATCTCGGGTGAATACAATAACTCATTCGAAGTCGAGACTTCTTTTCGGAATCACGGGTCTGCCTACGGTGCACCGATAGGTTATTGTCTTCGGAAGCGTTAAAGGCGTCAGAGGTTAGGTCAAACAATGGAGTTGCATATCTCTCTCTCAAGATGGCTACACACTTTACGATAAATCCCAGCACTTTGTCTTGTGTTCTCCATAAGTTATTACGGGTTTTAACCTTCAATTAGACCGTAAAAAGCGTAATAACTTTCTTGATACCCTGACATACGTATACATCGTATGTAAGGGTAAATCCCCTTAAGGTGATACGAAAGTGTGTGGTGTGTAAGGTGATATGAAATGAACAAACCACATTGTTTGTCGTATGAAATCGATCAATGTGAAATTAATTCCCAAGGGACGTCGTTTAGTCTGACTTCCGGGTGAGGAGACCCTTCGGCGTCGGGTCCTCGACGACGCCCTGACGGGGGTTAGGAAGAGGGGCGATTTCCGCGTCGGCGTCGCGGGCTCGGTTCGAGGAATCTCCTTGTTTTCAGAGTCGACAAACAACGAGCCGCACAAGCGAGGACGAACAACCCATAAAACGATTTCGAGCTCCCACAGCCGGGGGGCCCGGTAGTCGATTCGCGGGCCCTCTCGGCGTCGGTAACGAGGATTTTGACTCGGCCAGCCTTCGGGGAACTCCGTCTCCGACCTCTCGAAGACGCTTCAAGGGAACGAGCGAATTGATTCTCGGGGAAGACCCTTAAGGTGATATGAAGGTATGAGATAATGAAGGTATAAGATAATAAATGAAGATATGAGGAAAAACCCGATGCTCGTGAATTTTCAATTTTTTTGGTTCTTCTCCGAGATAAATATATTTAAAAAAAATTTTAAATGAAATTTCATGACCATCGCGGTCTTCCTTAGGGCCTTTATGAAATCATGACGATTGAGGTTTCTTTATCGTACGTATATTTGACACTTTCAGATCACCTAGAAGAGGGACGCGCTCCGTCGACCCTCGAGGAGGGCGTTTCCGATGTCGCCGCACTTCCTAAGGAAGGCGAAACGAGGAGAATTAGCGGTATCGTGCCATCCGGACGAAGGGTAACCACAAGGCGGCGAGGAAATCGTTAAGAAGAAGGGGCCGAGGCGCGCTTACTCTAGCGTGGCTCCCTCCTTTCAGGAGTCCTGAACTTCCAGGTCGCCGATCGGAACCAGGAACGGCGACGCCTCGGAAACGGGGATTTCTCTCCGCCTCGGAGGAGAGTCCCTTATCGAGGGCCTCCTGGCACCGCGCAGCGGGCTAGCCATTTCCGTTTCCCGGGGGACAATGAGTCTCTCCGCGGAATGGACCGGGGTTTCTTAAGAGGCTGTGCAATAAATAACCCAGGTCCCGTGGCCGCTTCCTCGAGAGGACCGTGCCTGGGAGACAAAGACCCAGAGACCGACCTAGGCGAGGACGAGGAGGAGGGAAGGCGGGACGCGATCGACGGAGGCGTCGGGACGCACAGGAGACCCCCGGCGTCGACCCGCGCTCGGAGATGGCCCTCTGCCCCTGCAACGAGTACCGGGAATAAGTACCTCGGCGTAATGTCCTCTTGGTAAGACACCAAGCTTACGTGAAACCCACCTCAAACCAGTTCACTGGAATTAAACACATATCTTTCTTTTTAAGGATATTGGACGGAAATGTCGGAGACTTCGATGCATGAGGAGGCAGCGTCTAAGAAGTGTCCTGGCGATTTGGAAATTTGGATATTGGGAAAACCGAGCCGGCGAAATTGAGGTACCGAAACGGTGGCTAAGACAAGTCCCCAATGATTTATTCGCACTTGTGCTCCGCGCGTCCTTGTCCTTCTTTCTTGGTTATGGTCGCGATGGCTTCGATCTCTCGTCGCAAAGGGGAGCCTCCCAGGGGGTTGCGGCGCGATAAACTTCACGCCGTACCCCCCTCGGCTCGTAAAGAAAGAGTTTGCGGCTCGACATCGAATGAATTTCAGCGGTGCGCCACATCCTGTCTACCGGCGACCGCGGCGGCCTCGTCGACGCGATTCGCCGTAGGTGGCTCGATCGACCTGGGGAGAATAGAAACCGTCTTTAAGAGATGATACGATAGAATATGCCATTCAGTACGATACCCAATATAATTCCACGCAACTCCTGCGCATGATTTCGCTTCTCTTGAATTTCGGCACGGATAAACGCGCGTTTGAAATTCAAACGAGGCGGCATCCAAGATGGCGCGCGATTCCCCGTAGGTGGATCGATCGACCTAGGTAGAATAAAAACCCTCTTTAAGAGATGATACGATAGAATATGCTATTTAGTACAATACCCAATATAATTCCACGCAACTCCTGCGCACGTTTCTCTTGAATTTCGGTACTGATAAATGCCGGCGCGTTTAAAATTCAAACGAGGCGGCATCCAAGATGGCGAGCGCGCTTCTCGCGCTCGCCACCAGAGGGCAGGGCGCGTTTTACGGCGTCGAAAACGAGAGGTTCCCGGACCCCGAAAGCACGTAAAACGAGAGGTCCTACCGTGTTCGGTCTTTACCAGCCTCGGCGAGCCTCCGCGCGCATAAAGCTCGGAAATAATAAGCGAGTCGCGGCCGCCTCGGGTTTTTAAGACTCGCGGCGCTCTCTTTTTCGCCCGAGTTCCTTTTTTACTGGCGAAGGAGTCCGCTGGGCGACGGTTTACGACGCGCGGAAGTGGGCTCGCGCCCTAACGCTTCGCGATATAAATCGAGGGTGAGTTGCACGAAGCCTAGAGACCTGACAAACTGCATAAGGTCCTTACCAAACCTAGGGTCCGTAAAAAACGATAGGAACGTCAGGAAGAGATAAGGAAATTCCATGTAACCTTTCTTCTGACTGAAAATCATTGTTTCTTGCAGTCTTATATGACTCGGAGGACGATATCAAGAAACTGGTAGCGTTAAGTGACATGTATTTGCTTCGATATCGACTTATTTTTTATCGGAGTCCTCGATGAGGTCTCGGAGAAAGTAAAAGCGGTCGGCGGGGCTTCCGAGGTCACTCTCGGAGGAGCCTGGAGGAGGCCGTCGGCGGGGCGAAGGGTCGTCGTCATCGGCCCTCGCGGTCGGGGCGCATAATAAAGTGCGCCGGTTCATTAATACTCTCCCGGCAGCGCTCCTCCTCCGCTTCCCGATTCATTGAGCGCGTCTGGTATGCGAGGCCGCGGAGGGTCACGTGGCGCGCCCTGCGTTACCGACCGAGCCGCGCGCGCTAGGCTTCGCGCGGTCGGCGCCAGGTGGCGCGCCGGACCGAGTGTTTATTCATTCTCAAGAAGAGGTGATCGCAACGAGGACACGGTCCGGGTAAGAGAAAAAAACTTGCGCCAAACCCATCCAATTGGGAAAGTATATTTTCCAATGTCATGTCCAGATGGTGGGGAGTAATCGTACGAGAGCAATGACATCAGGTACGTCTGCCATATACGTTTACGTTGTGCGTTGGACAACTTCGTAACACCTTAAGCTGGGTAGTAATATATCGGAAGGTTATTTTTGGGTCTCGAAGTTTGGCTGCTCTCTGGGTTGCGAGGAACGTCTCGGACATCCGGGAGACGCTTATCGGCCGGTAATCCGGCGATACGTTTACTCCTTTGCATCCTGCCGATATGGAACGTCCTCGCGGTGGGCCTGCGGAATTGGTGGTCCGATTTGCCCCTAAGTTGGCATCGAAGCATCAATTCGCTCGATCGGCTTCTACTTTTTTACGACTTTGCGGTAAATATAAGTTTTGCGAGGTATACAAGCCTTATTTATATGTATGTTAGGTTACATGTTACAAAGCAGCTGAAGCAGCTGCTTTTTAGTAGGCTGTTAAACGAGCACGAGAACTTATGTACTTGTAACTTAGGTATAATAAACTGTATAATAATTAATGCAATAAAGCAACTTATTGAACGATAACAATGAGTACGTTTAATTAGACGAGCATGTCTAGCGAACCCTCTAATCGCCTATTCCTGATCCTTGAAAGTCACCAGAGAGAAACTCCGTGCCACCTCCTCGGTTGTCCTATGATCCTGTTAGAAATCGGAAATTTCACCCCCTAAAATTTTTGCTCGGGAGAAACTCCGTGCCACCTCCTCGGTTGTCCTATGATCCTGTTAGAAATCGAAAATTTCAACCCCTAAAATGTATGCCCGGGAGAGGCTCCGTGCCACCTCCTCGGTTATCCTATGTTCCTGTTACAAATCGAAAATTTCAACCCTTAAAATGTATGCCCGGGAGAAGGTCCGTGCCACCTCCTCGGTTATCCTATGTTCCTGTTACAAATCGAAAAATTTCAACCCCTAAAATGTATGCCCGGGAGAAGAAATTTTCNGTAAAAAGACGTGAATTCACGTCAGCGGTACACAGGGGTAAAAAGACGTGAATTCACGTCAGCGGTCCACAGGGGTAAAAAGACGTGAATTCACGTCAGCGGTCCACAGGGGTAAAAAGACGTGAATTCACGTCAGCGGTAACCAGAGAAGGAAAAGACGTGCACCTTCCGATTATTACTTGTTCCGGTCTCTACAAAATTGTTTATACGGTAAAACCTTTACTTCAAACGAGGAGGGTAAAAATCACTTAGACCAGTTTTTCTTCACATTTCACTTTATTTCACATTATTTCACTTTAATTCAATATAATATTTATTCCCTATAAGAAACTCGTCTTTCATTTTCATACAAAAAAAAAAAAAACCCCGAAATTACTTTCCGAACAACCCAATAGTATTTACTGGAAAATCCCAGAAAAATAGAAACCGATAGAGCAGCCATTCGCGAATTCATGCTCGAAGCCCACTTAGGGGCAAACCGGACCATCAATTCCCCAGGCCCACCACGAGGAGGTTGCCGCTCCACAAGGCCCGTCTAGGAGCACTAAACGTCTACCTAGACACCCACCCTGTCACCTCTCAGTCGAGGTGTCAGGATGGGATTTTCTTCGTTCCTTCCCGCGGGAAAGAAACGACCCTTAAACTACGCAACTTACGTAAACTACATAGATACTAAATCTCGCCTAAGACTAACCCACGCGAGAGACTACTTTCGCCGAGAGCAAGAGAAAGGAGTAAGATGAGAGAATTCCAGAAGGGCCAAAAAGACTACTCCGATGCAAAGCAGTCGTTAACGGTGCAGGCGACCGTCCGACCCAAACGACCGCCCGCAACGTCCGCTTCACCTTGTCGGCCGCCAAGGGGAAGCGTGCGTCGCAAAGCGGAGGTTAGGTCGTCCGACCTCGCACGTCGCGGCAAAGCCGCGACATACTGTGCCCCGCCAACGATTGCAGGCTCTAAGACGCGACATCGTCACGCCATCAAACATTACTTTCGCGTTACACAAACCGCGGGGCAAAAGCAGGCGTTAACGAAGCAGGCGACTGCACGACCCAACGACAGCCCGCGCCGCGCGCTTCACCCTGTCGGCCGCCAGGGGGAAGCACGCGTCGCAAAGCGGAAGTCAGAAAGTGCAGCCTGGCACGTAGCCGCGAAGCAGCTACGCACTATGCCCCGCCAACGGCTGCGGACTCTAGTCTCGTTAATACAATCAACGAGGGCAAAATCTAGGCTCGCAAGAAACGTAAGGCAGCTTGCCTCGACTCCAGTGGTCCCTGAACAGACAGGGTACGCACTTACTCTAAAGGGAGTCTTCCTCGGCGTCTCCGCCGAAGAAGACTGAGGATAAGTCGAGGTTCTTCCGTTCTCCACGTGGAAGGGTGCCGGAGGGGGGGACTGCTCCAATTGATCCCGTAACAGCGGGTGGGGTCGGTCTTTGTTATTCCAATGACTTCAATTTCCTAGAAAGTATCGGCGGTAGGGGGATTGGAATTTCTTGGAAATCGGAAGTACTTAGCTATCGTGCCGTCCCTTTTCCAGGTACCTGGATGCCGACCTTACCGCGACCGGTAGTCCCGGAAGGTTTGGCCAAGTGTTGATGTCCCGGCATGCCGCCAAGTGTCGCACCTGGTTGGCGCTGCGGGCGCCTGTAGGGGGGCTGCCGCGTATCTGGAATCTAGCAACGCGGGGCGCAGACCTGTCTACTGCGCGCGCCTTGGAATCCGCGGGCGGTGGGGAGGGGGGCCGACCAATGAGAGGCAAGCGCCAGGTCACGTGACGCGACCGTAGGAAGCGCGCGGGAGCCGAGGGTCCGCCGGCCGTCAAACGCGAACGGGCGGGCCGGAAACTCCCGAACGCCCCCGAGCTCCGCCGAGAGTTCCCGAAGCCGGCGCCGCCGCGTAACGGAGCGCTCGCGCGCCCGTTATACCCCACTGGGGGGATCGCGGCCTCCTCGAAACATTGTATGGCCCCGCGCAAAGCGCCGATACCCTGACCGATTAGGACGTGGGTTGCGCGAACGAAACCCAATAAGGGTCGAAAACCGTCCCCGGGGCTGCGGGGACCGGCAGACTGATCGGGAAACCGTGCGGAATGCCGCAGGGGGATGGAGGCGGTCTCCGGTGTCACAGGGCGCCCGATCGAGCCGGTTCGCGTTTCGGTTCTCGACTTTCCGAGAAGACCTCGACCGACCCTTGGGGACCGCCCTGGTGGTCGAGTTTTTTCCCTGCCCCTCGCTTCTCCTTTTCTCCGGCCCCCGCGACCTCAGCGCCACTCCGGCCCGCCGCGGGAAACGCTCGAAGCTCCCGACTCCTCGCGGAGACGGGGCTTTTAAATCCGACTCTTATCATGTTATTCATACTTTAAAACGTGAATATGGAAACTCTAAAATAGGTCCTGAAACTCCCGAAATTACATTTCTTATAAACTATCTTTAAAATACCTATAAAGAAATTTGAAATTAATTGAAATTCGAGTTTCAGGACCTTCCTTATAGTCTCCGTATTCACGTTCTCCATTTTTACTAACCCTACACTCTCAGCTGTCAAATTGTTCTTTTCAGGGTTGCCAACAATTTACTGCAAAAATCGCGGCAAATTCAAATCTTAATTTTAAGGGTTAATTTTGGGACACCCTTGACATACGTACCCAAGTCTCCTCCATCCTTGCTAGATCCTAAACGTTTCTTAGGGGAGAAGATCGATGAATGCCACTGTTTGAGGGAAATCGCGAAACCCCAAATCGTAGAGGGAACGCCGACGATCCGGATGGTATCTTCCTCGTCTCTCTGTCGATGCGCGTTCTCGCCGGTTATTCGAGCCGCATTCCTCGCTTCTTGTGTGGCGGCGGCCCCGCGGGAGCGAGAGAGAGACCCCGAGGCGCACGCGCGGCGGCGCGAGAGAGATGCCCATAGGGCCCAGAAATTTAAAGGGAGACCTCTCGGTACCTCCGAAGTTACGTCCGCGCGCAAAAAGGGTCAATTAACCTCTACCAAGGAGGCCCTGCAAGCGTCCCCGCGCGATCAGCCGTTACGTACATCCCGTGGGAAAATGAAGAATAAGATGTTGATCGTGACATAACCTCAATGGCTCCAAGTGGTCCCAGACTTAAGGGGATGCGAAAGTGGCATCGTTCATTAAACTTTTCATAGAACTGGGGGTCTCAAATCGTTTCATACTTTAAAACGGGAATATCGAGACCCTAAGGTAGGTCCTGAAACTCTTGAAATTTCATTTCTTATAAAATATTTTTAAAATACCTATAAAGAAATTTCATGAGTCTCAGGACCTCCCTTATAGTCTCCCTATTCACGTTGCAAAGTTTCAAACCATTCGGTAAACCGAGTTGGGAGAAAAGTTTTATTAACAAAACCTCTTCGACGCCACTTCACGTAAGCTTAACGACGCTAGCGCTAGTCGCGGGAAATTAGGGAACTTCACTCTACGTAATTGCAACATCTCCTCCCGATGTAGATGACTTGAAATGCTTTTAATTTTGCAATTAATGTACGCAAAGGATAACGTATGCAATATGTATTCTGGCGAAAGCTTCTTGTTTTACCCCGATGCTGTTTCTCTTCGTGATTTACATACGCTCTTTAAATAATATACGGCACAACGTTCCGTTGCTCACTCGACAATATGTGTATATTTGTAACAAATGATAATCATGTCAAAGAATCGAACGGAACAAACTATACATATGTACAAACGGTCTGGAGCACTTTTATACAACTACGGGCGGTGAAACTGAGCCGTGTTTATTTATGCACACGGTGTAAATAATTAAGGGTATTGCTTATCTTTTTTCTTTTCTCTCTTTCCTTTCCTTGCCACCGCGGTGTACCGTCTGCAATTTTCTTTCACGGCTTTCTTGCAAGTCTTGCAACTTTGACACTGCAATGGCGGCACAGGCGGATATAGAAATAGTGTTTCTACGATTATGTTTACCTGGGCAATAAATAATTTACAATATACATATTTCCCTCGTAATTAATCCGCGCATCGGTACATGAGTTTGCGTGAAACATCTGATAAGTTCTTCCAATATGCTGATTATTTCTTATCGACCATTCTGGCGCGGGTCCTTCGTAACTTATTAATTATCCTATTTTAAATAAATCTCCGTCGAAGACAATCGCACAAATAGGCAAGAACTAAACAATGACGCGCGATCATCCCTCGAACCTATATTCAATAATATTCATTAATTCACGGAAAAAAAAATTAATAATTTCCACGTTCCAGTTATCAGATTTAACGAGTACCCTTTTCTATTTTTTCTTCGTAATGCTGCAATAAATTTACGATGAACATTGTTACAGTGTAGAGTCTAAGTGCGCATACGCACGTAAATATTCCTCCAGCTCTTCGTTAAGTAACGTTAATAAAAATAAATTGTTCCTCCCGGGCCTCGAGATCTGCACTATTATTATTGTTCCTCTTTTCTTTTCCTTTTTTTGGTAAGTTTTGTCTATTTTGTTATCAAAATAAAGCACGAAGTATCCGGACCTAGAAATAGCAATGAACGACTTCGAGTTGCGGAACTGAGGATGGCGTAATTCATTCTAGCGGTAATTAATTCCTTTTCTGTCATACAATTGCACAGATCTCATTGTAGTCCTAGATGATAAGTATTTTAGTCTGGACTCTATGTACATTAATAAATACGGGGCTTGCTTGCACTTTGTTTGCGGGATAACTAATTCTTTGTTGAAAGGATATCTCTTTCTTTTTCTTTTCTTCTCAGCTTGAAAATACGAGGAAAGAAATAGTTTTGGAATTATGCTATAGGCGAGGTTAAGATTGCAGGTACAATGTGTTACATTCATGGAAATATGAAATAAATGCGGTTACATTTCCGTGCGCGTATTCACTAAAGAATTCACCATAGAAATCTATGGAACTAATGGTCCGAACGTAATGGTCACAATTACCGAACAAAGTGTACTAAGTGCTAAGTGCTACCTGTAAGTACATTCTCGCGTTTCTGGCAAATCTTATTACCGGGGGAATTTTTATTCCAACCTTTGCCGAGTCTTTTAACAAATGCCTCTCGTTGTTTGCATGTCACTCGCTTAGCAGTAACTTGACGGATAAATATTGTCTAATTGTGGCACTAAGTGGGTCTTATTCAAAAGCATGACCGCCGGTGCACAAGACCATCTTTTGAGATTGAATCGCAACATGCAGAGTCTTATCCGTTCAAGAGCTTAGGACATCATGAGTGTTGACAATCAGTTTTGGGAAAATGTTAACAGGCGTGCAATTGGCAAAATACAGAATATCCCTTTTTTCAACCTCGGAATAACGTTTTAAACAATTTTTATGAATTTTTGTACGTTCAAGACGCATACTGCGGGATGTATACCGGGAGACATCGATGCCCTACCACCCTGCACAGGCGATGTCGTATCTGCAGGGGAGGCATTCATATCCTCCCCTGTATATCGGAATCGACTCTACCAAATTTACATTATCAAATTCAAATTACCCTTGACATAAATCCCTCTAAATAAACAACATCAGTACTCTGCCAGCTGTTCCACTGCACTTTGCTAACGACTACGCCCAGAAATAGAGTAGTGTATGTACCTTTTAATTCGTCGCCATTTTTCCGACGCCTCAAGCGAGCCCGAAAGCAATTTTGGGTATTGCTCGTTATGCATATCTCTACCAAAGAAAGAGAAATGACTTTATTATAACGCGTCATGATAAGGTGATATGAAAGGGTCGTTCTATATATATTAAACCTCGTTATATACATAGAATAACCCTTTCATATCACCTTAAGGCCTTTAAAATGAATATCTTTCTCCAGGGGAAACGTCTCATTCTCTCTTTCCTTGGCAAAGTCCTTTTACTCTTATCACCAGCGAGTTATCATACCCAAGGTAGGCAAGCGTAAGGAGCACAGCTGTGATAGTCATGCACAAAAGGGAGAGAATGTCTGCTTCTGTGTCAGTGTTGTCGTGGAAAAGGATCTAAATGTGTCATTCTGTGTCCCTGAGCAACTTGTGTTGCGCCGCCGCCATGTTGCTGCTTCTGCTGTTGATGATGATGCTGCTGTTGTTGCTGCTGCTGTTGATGCTGCTGTTGTTGATGCTGCTGTTGGTGATGATGCTGCTGTTGCTGATGGGGATGATGCTGTTGTTGATGATGATGCTGAGCCTGAGGCGGTTGTTGTTGTTGCTGATGTTGCAGCTGCTTCCTTTGCTCCAATCCAGCAGCTAGGTACGAGAATAGGCAGAGAACCGCATACTGGATCTGATCGGCCTATAATTTGTGAAAATTTCGGATTAATAATCGATTCTTTCAGATGTTAACAGGGATTGATAAAAGATTCTTCGGAGCTCGCTCGGGCTAATCATTCGCTTCCTCGTCATGTCAGTTTACCATTGTCTATGCCTATGTACACCTCAATTTTTGTCATTACAATTTGCACCTGACGGAGGGATATACACGAGACTATTTTTAAATTTTGCTTTTAACTCTTTGGCTACTGAGCGCCCGACGTTAGGTCCAATATTGCCCGCACGGTCATACGAATTTCGCCCCTATGTCGAAATGGCTCCGTGTTCAAAGGTTTAATGAATTAAATTTCTCAGCGCCTTTGATATCATCTTAAATGATCGATCTTTATAATTAACTTCTGTTAGGACTTTTATCGTGACAGGACGGTGGGTACAAGCTTTAAAGATTTGACTACTAAGAGCGCCTAAAGGCGCCCGACGTTTGGTCCAATATTGCCCGCACGGTCATACGAATTTCGCCCTTATGTCGAAATGACACTTCAAAGGGTTAAATAATTCCATTCGATTAACTGATATGTCGAGGAGCGATCAGGCCGTCGCGGACGAGTCTTGGGTAGATTCGAAGGCAGAAGAGATCATTAAAAGGACAGGGAACGGAAAGACTTACGTAGTGTTCAGAAAATGAAATGCAGATCAGAAATAAAGCTTCATGCAGTGTCGTTACTAGAGCTATCTATGAGGCGAGCTTCGGCGGAAAGTTGCGCAGCGAGAGCGACAGAGAATATTCTGTGCATACAATGGACCGCCTCGCCGGCCTGCACATGCAGGAGAAAATTAATGCAATTACAGTTGGCACAGTTAAGTAGAAGTATTACCCGGTACAGATACTTCCATTTGAATTTACAAACGCATACCTAAGCATCGTCGATCGATATTCGATCGCAATACGAGAATTACTCAAACAACGACCAGCTAAGACGTAACGCAGAAGAAACGGCAGAATGTCGAATGACAAAGATAAAAGATAATATTTCCACTCACCATTTGCGACTTATATTTACGTTGAACTATCCTTCTAGTTTTAGGATCTGAAAAAGAAGGAGGGAAGGGCGATTAATATTTATTATGTATTTATTAACCCTTCGGCTACTAAGAGCGCCTAAAGGCGCCCGACGTTTGGTCCAATATCCCCTGCACGGTCAGAGGAATTTCGCCCGTATGTCGAAACGGCTCCGTGTTCAAAGTGTCAAGGAGATTAAATGTTATATATTTTTACCCTTTGGTATAAATAGAAAGTGACCCTTTCGTTTGCACCTCGATGAGTAGAATGGCTAGATTTTCAAATGATTTCATTTTTCCCCCCTCGGGGTAGTTACGAAAATCGTCGGGTACTTACTGAACTCTTCCAAAACGAAGATCCCACCCTTCTGAGTAAAGCACTTGCGGATATGATCGAGTCTTACAAAAAACTGGAAAGAATATAATTCAGAGGTATTAGGGGCCGAGGTATCGAGTGCAGGCGTAGGCTACCATGCATGATATAAATATATATATATATAAATGTAAATATATGTATGTATACGTCTCGGTTACACTCTAATGGTTATATACTCTGTGTATTGAATCAAATAAACAGATTCGCAAGAGTCTTCCGGTGCGAGGTGGCAAGGTGGCGGAAACCGCACTAAAAAAAAAAGCTCCAGTGTGATGGCCCTTTCGCATCCCCTTAAGGAATCTTAATTTTCCAGTAATGTTCAGACTGCTGATAAAAAAAGATTATGATAGCTGGAAATCTATCAACCTTATCTATCAAGGTAAGTCGCAGCTTTTTCCTAAGTGCGGCGCCGACCGAGCGGAACGTCCGGAAGTCGTCTCGGAAGACCACATATAGCCAACGTTTATTTCATCCAACACGATGAAAGTGAGCTCGAAGAGATACCGACGTGATCGCTCTAATGGATAACGTTATTCCAGTGCACGCACATGAAGGAAGCCGAGGGGTACGAGTCTGCGTCGACGGACGTATCGAACTCGGGCAACGCAACGGCAACGCAACGGCAACGCAACGGCAACGCAACGGCAACGCAACGGCAACGCAACGGCACAGGGCGGCAACGTCTATGCAACGTCCAAGCAACGCCTATGCAACGTCCAAGCAGCGGCTAGGCAACGTATAAGCAACGCCTATGCAACGTTTAAGCAACGGCGCAGCCAGAGCACGGGAAAGCGGCAACGGGCAACAGGCAACTCTGGAGATGGCCTAAGTTCATCTTACATCGTTGGTCGCTTAGCGTCGATAGATTGCTAAATGTGCACTTATTTCGGTCAGACGGGGTCCCTGGGGATGGCCCTCAGGGTAGAACGAGTACCGGGACCCGGGAAAGTACAGTGCGAAGGGTTTGTCGCCATTTTCCTAATAGTTACTATTTTTTTCCCCTTTTTTTTCTCACGCGTAAAGAACCCAGGACGCCGCGCGTCGGTGCCATGCCTTCGGGGGGTGGTGGGTGGTGGGTGGTGGGTGGACGGAGGGTCCCGGCAAGGACTCGCGGCAACCCCCTTTCGAAAACCCACCCGCCGGTCCTGCACCTCATTTTGAAAATACATTCTCGCGCTTTTCTCGTACCAGATTGAAGGTGCGTCGACATCTTGAAAATTTGGGGGAGAACCGGGAGATGCGCGCGCACCTCGTTCGCGGGTTTCTTCGCACCGTGACTACGGAGAGATTTCGTGCAATGAGTGTTGCATGACGTAAACCCTACGGTAACTACTCTAAATAAGCGTTAGCGAGCAGTCGTGGAGGGCATCTCAAGGATCGAGAGAGAACCGGAGGTACATCATATAATTACGTATAATATACATATCTCGTAGGGATGTCCTACATATATATACCAAGCTACGATCGTTGAATTAATTTCCCCCCACTCGAATGAGTTACCATTAGAATTAATTTAGAATATAATCATCATTAAGGCGGTAATAATTCAACGACCCGATATCGTAATGTATATCATATGTAGATATGTATATGTACATCTGCGCAGCCTCCCGGTCGTGATAACGAGTCAAGATATATAGATATAAGGGATATATATTATATAAGGCACTACAGGTGACACTACACGTTTCGGTGCTACTTGGGCACACGCACTCTCTCTTTCTCTCTCTCTCTTTCTTTTTTTCTCACTATCCTTATCTCTCCCTCACACACACACGCACACTCGCTTTCTACGGCCGCACTCCGAGGTTCCAATATTCACGTACTCATCGAATTCCATATTAAGCCTCGAACAACGAAATGTCATTCGACTTAGGTACAGCATCTCTAACAGTCAGTTTGCCTCGTCTGGTACCAGCAATCGGAGAAGGTAGCAAACCAAAATGCCGGCTCGAAATTTACATCGGCGTTCTATCGCGAGATAACTCCGAAAATGCCGTCGCAAAGAGGTGGAGGAGCCGTCGCTCTTCAATTATCAATTCCTATCCTTAAGGCGAAGTCAAAATGGCGTCTAAGAACCCTTTAATGAAATTTTCCTCCGAACTGGGTGTACCGAATTACCAAAAACCCTTTCTCGAGAATCTGAACTCTCTAATAAAGGTCGCGACACCCGTTAAATTTAATCTCCATCTTCTTTTTAGGAGTGATCTCCTAATCTCCGTAGAGAATTAAATTTCACGAGTCTCGGGACCTTCTCGAGGGCCCTCCAAGTAATTTCCTGAAATTTACGACAATTCGGTACATCCGGTCGGGAGAAAACGTTGCAAAGGCTACTTTTGGGTGCCACTTTCACCCGGCCTTAAAATCTGCCACCGTACAAGTCACTTTTCCGAGCTTTTTCAAAATTTCGACTGTACTTCTCGGGCACCGGCACGTGTACGCTGGGAGACATCAATGCCCTCCCAACCTGCACAGGCGATGTCGCATCTACAGGGGAGGCATCCATATCCGCCATCGTACTATCGCTCTAATCCTCGGTTAGAGGTTAACCCCCCGTACAATCTCGACGGTAATTACTGGTACGTGAGTCGGCTTTTCGAACATATATCACAACTAACACCAATCCACGGTAGGAAGACAGTAAAGTGGACAGAGCAAATCACTTAATTCAGATGCAACTCGAGAGAACGTGGACAGTGTGTGTTAAAGTGTGTGTAGGTGTGCGGGATGGGCTGCAAAATGGCACCGTGTATGTGTATGCGTGTGGGTATTGTCGTATATATATATCTTTATATATATATATAGTCAGTGGAACACGACTAATAAAGTAACGGTAAATTAAATAAGCATTTCCGGAAGACGGCCAACATTAAGTATATTATAGTCAATACTGAATTGTTAACAGACAATGATTCGTTGGAGTAATACCTCGAAATCCTGTTCGCCCGGCCAGGGCAATGCCGACAGTACGGTACAAGAAAGAGAAAACAGAAAAACAGAAAATTATATTGAGGTTAGACAGGGAGGTTCATTTAAGTTACAGGGGGAGTCATTAACGTTAAGGGGCTACGTTATAGCCGTCGCCTATATATCTACTATACGTGTTATATACGTTGTACACGTGGTACACGTGATATACGTACACGTCATGGCTAGTCGGTAATCATAGAGGTTTCATTGTTCAAGGACCATCTCAAAAGTTCCCTAAGCCGAGAAAAGTCTAACCTCTTAGGTTCCGTATCTATCGGTTAATTGCACCGTTAAAAGTAATTATAACATTCATACGTGACGATTCTAGTAAATGTGAAATCCCTCGCCTCGAATGGGAGTTTAATATAATTTCCTGTGAATTTTTATTTTATTTTATTCTTGGTTTTTTTTTTTTTTGTAAAATGTCGGAAAATTAAGGCGATGTCTAAGCGACGTTAAGGAAGGTTTATGAAACTTTTTACTCTGGATCGGGGGCACAGAATCGTTTCAAACTTTGCACTGTTTTCCTGTAGACCCTAAGGAAGGTCCCGACACTCATGAAATATCAATTTTTTTTTTTTTATGAAACATGACAATTTATGGGAGTCAAGACTTTCAAGCCTTTGAAACGATTCGGTGCACCCAGGCTGAAGAAAAGTTTCATGAAAGATTTAACCTCTTATTTTTATAAACTAAATTTCTAACTTTGAATTTATTGCAAAATTAGGGTACCGTCTGGATGAAACGTCAAACAGAAGTGCCATAAATAAATCCTGTTTAACATTGTATATCATATATTTCCGGGACCTCCTTAGCGGTCCTCCGTCTCGAATTTCGAAAATGTCATTTTCGAATTCGGCTCGCTAGACTTTTCTCGGATGTGACCACGAAAGACGAAAAGTTCGTAGACTCGTAGAAAAGGTAATAGTCAGCATTCAACATTCAATACAAATCATAAGAGTCGAGAGTAGAGGGTGGACAGACCACGGTGTTGGGTTTCCACCTTTCTCCCCGATTCTTTCCTCTTTCCTTTATTCTTTCCTTTCTCTCCGTATCCTTATAACGTAGATATATATATATATATATAGTATGAGAAGAGTATAATAATAATATAAGTACAGGTGAAAAAGACTGCAGCTGCACATCGAGCTCCATGCAAGAAAGACACTGAATTAACGCTCAAATCAAACATACCCAACGCAAATGTCGACTAAAACAGAAACCCGCGGTGTGTACTCTCGTTACGCGAATTATCTATAATAATCTCGGGTCTCCGTTAACAGCGAAATCATGTACATTTACATATACATACGTAATAAAATACCCTGCGACGTACATGCATATATTACCGAATATGCAACGCGTACAAGGTCTCTTTGAAATTTCAAAATGGCGAATCTCGGAGACGCGTTAAAAAAGAACGATAAAAGAAAAATAACTACAATGTGAATATACGTTATAAGGAAGCTCCTGACGACAAATAAAATAAATTTCATTTAAAAGAAAAATTTGTCGATATTTAAAAAGAAATTTCTTTTATAAATCATGTGTCATATGAGAGCAAGGTTTCGATGTTTCAATTTAAATGTTTATTTAAATGGAGATATCCTCTACTTATATGTTTATGTATATACACATGATTTCGTATGCATATACGAGTAGTTTCCTTCGTGTGCGATTTCGGCTCCGTGTGGCATATATTTCTCGATTTTTTTTTTCTCTCTTTTTTCTCGATATTGTTGGTCGATTCGCTAGTGTGCGTGTCATGTCGCAAGTGCTCGAGGTCTCTCTTCATGTGTTACCTATATGTGGGGGCCATTCCCGAGGGAGTCGATTTTCGGACGCGGAATGACATCAATTAATCGATATAATCCCTCTAACCAGACGCGATACCCAAATGCCGGGAAAACCGATATATTAATTTGTATTGTAATTGTAATATCAAAATCTATCCCCCAGAAGAAGGAAAAATGCCGCGCGGGTGTCGTCTCTCTTATACGTCGGTGTGTGTGGTTTCTTCATATATTCATGACCTCCGTCCTAGCTGAACAGCTGATACCTCACAAAATTATGTAACATTTAAAAGTAACCAGAGTACCTCGGATTAATCTTGCATTAATCCGATAATTGTCGATAATTGTTGTTTCATATCAATTTGGTACGTCCCGAGTAATACGGAATTAAAGTGTAAGTAACGTCGCAACAATTTCCAGGTTAACCGGAAAATTTAATTATTGTCATATTCCGCGTTTATAATTAATGTCATGTTCAGTGTTCATAATTATTGTCGGGTTCAGTGTTCGAAATTAATTTCATATTCCGTGTTTTATATTTCATATTCCATGAAATTAATTTCATGTTCAGTTTTCATAATTATTGTCGGGTTCAGTGTTCATAATTAATTTCATATTCCGCGTTTAGTCGCGAAATTGATACGGATAAAGTTAGGGATCAGCTGTCCAGCAAGTACAGAGACCAAGGTGACAATTACACCGGGTGTATGTCCCAGGTTCACCGGAAAATTTAATTACTGTCATACCCCGCGTTCATAATTATTCTCATGTTCAGTGTTCATAATTAATTTCATATTCCGCGTTTAGTCGCGAAATTGATACGGATAAAGTTAGGGATCAGCTGTCCAGCAAGTACAGAGACCAGGGTGACAATTACACCGGGTGTATGTTCGTGTACTCTTTGCGATCCTTCGACCACTCGAAGGGAGGCACCCTGGACTACATTTGATACGATTTGCAAACCCATACAGAAGACTGAGAAGATACGTACAGATACAAATTAAGCAGATCGTGGTGGCTAGCGATGGGAGATAATATTGAGTGGTCCTTGCATCAATGCAATTAACGAAAAACACAGAGAGAGAGAAGGTTGAATAATTCAAAGAAACACGGAAGTCGAAAGTAAGGGGCGGACGACGGTATATATATATATATACACATTTTTTGTATATATATATATACATGCTCCCTGGTCCCTTCCTCTCGGCCCAACAGTGCGCGTCAGTTATCGGTTATCAATATCCTTATCACGGTCACTGCACGGTGCATTAAGTGAACCCGAAATTTTTGGAAATTCCCGCCTGAAGAAAGAGAAAAGTAATTCGCGTCTTTTTAATAAATGTCCATTAACATCTCGCACCCTCTGTTGAGCCGAGCCTCGGCCATTGCCAAAAGGGATCGCCTAACCACAGACAAAGAGGAAGAAGACCCCAAAGAAATGAAATAAACGAGAGATAAATAAGACCAAAAGAAAGAACAACCAATCGGCAATCGGTATATTCCCTCGGCTGGAATAAATATATATCATTATACACGGTTATATCAGAGGACGTAGATAAAAAGTGGCTAAAGGAACCCATCTCGTACATTCAACGTGGAATCGAAAAAGTGACTAGCTACCAAACTCAAATTAAATATGTATAATATCTGTATATGTAGATATATATATATATGCGGGGTATATATATCGAGATATACGTATACATCAAGTCTGGAGAAATAATGCGTGTATATATATATGTATATGTTGGCATTACAGAAAAAACATCTCGACGCTATGTCGGAAAAAGTAGGATACGTCAGAAATCGGGAAGGAATAGAATTTCTTTTTTTGCCTTTTTTTTCTTCTTCCATCGTCATTTAATCGAGTCGGTTCTAGGTATATCGGCGTACCTTGCTATTCGCGAAGAGTAGACCGACGCCTTCCATGCAGACTTGAAGAAGACCTCCTTCGCCGGTCTCCAAATCTTGCACGGGAAACTCACCTCCCAGCTCGACCTCGGTATTGGCCCCTCGACCTCGGGCCGCAGCCTTCTCCATCGCGTCCTTTATGCAGTAATAAAGGTCCTTGCACTGAAACAGAACTCCCTAGTTAAGGCCCTCTCCAAGTTGAGTCGTGCCGGGTGAGGGATGTATTTTTGCACCCATTCTTTTTCTCTCAATTTTTTATAACGAACCGCGAAAATACCCCATCTTGGAATTTTTACAGTATATTTAACTAATATTTACTTGCACTGAAACAGAACTCCCTAGTTAAGGCCCTCCCCAAGTTGAGTCGTGCCGGGTGAGGGATGTATTTTTGCGCCCATTTTTTTTCTCTCAATTTTTTATAACGAACCGCGAAAATACCCCATCTTGGAATTTTTACAGTATATTTAACCAACATTTACTTGCACTGAAACGGAACTCCCTAGTTAAGGCCCTCCCCAAGTTGAGTCGTGCCGGGTGAGGGATGTATTTTTGCGCCCATTTTTTTTCTCTCAATTTTTTATAACGAACCGCGAAAATATCCCATCTTGGAATTTTTACAGTATATTTAACTAACATTTATACAGCCACTCGGAATTTTTATCAAGCTAAAATATTGATTGGAATAGACTTTACACAATTCGAGAGACACACGTGTAAAAAACAAACAGGCTGACGGCCGACATGATTCCGGGTGTTCCGTTCGTCGGGAATGAAAAAATGAAATGGGATTTTAATCCCTAGACCTATGGCTATAGCCGGAACCGGGATCAAATGAAAATAATGAAAATAATGAAAATATGAAAATTACATTTTTTCCACTAGTTTTATTTTACCTTCTTGGTGTAGTACTTGTGCATCTGCGTCTGGCCGCCATTGAGCCTCCAGAGGTACAGAACTTTGTTCTTCGGGCAATAAGTCATGTTGACCAGTCGCTCGTACCACCAGCGCTCGACGATTATTCCGTTGACGGATCTCAGGACGAGACCGTCGTGACGCACCTCCAGGAAACGCAACTCTCCCTCGGAATCTGCACCGGCGTGGACCGTGAACGATTGGCGATGCATTTGTCGAGACATAAGCGGCTTTAAGTCGATGTCGTTTCCATGCTAAAATAGAAATTCCCATTAAGGGGATGTGAAAGTGGCATCCGAAAGCTCAATCGTTCATACTGTACATTAATTCAGGCTGAAGATGGCAAACATCAAGTTTCAATGTGTATAAAGAAATGAAATTTCGCATCGCAAGAAGTACTTACAAGATTCTGAATTTGGTCGAGGAGCTGATTGAGCTCTTGACTGTAGACAAGGCCAATGTGGCTTTTGCCAAGCAACCTCCTTATCTTCCGTTTCAGTTCGTTCTTGTCGACATTCAGCATCACCAAAATGGCGGTGAGATTATGAAGCAGCGTGCAAAGCAGTCTGTCCTCGTCGTGCTCCAATCGGCGCCTCTCGCTTTCGCTTAAACTCTTGTACCTAGGAGAAGAGTCGGCATTTTGAATACCGTCAAACTAGATTTAATAGTAGAATCTGGTGGATCTGAGAGTACCTCTCCATCATCTCTCCCGGTCCCTGGTCCATGCCGATCATGTCGCGCTCCTGAGAAACGGCGTCGAGAAAGGCATCCTCCCAGAATTGCATTTGGTCCCACAGAGGAGACCTTTCTTTTCCCAAAAGGCCTGTTTAACCGGAAGTTCAAAGTTACCGACGATAACCAGGCCAACCATGTTTCTGTAATGCCAAGTGCTCTTGCGACATTTATCTCCATACCTTCGAAGAGATACGTTCTTGCCGACTCTGGACTCGGGGTCGTCGTGGTGGGTACCAGACTTCCTCCGTGGTACCGGAAACCAGTGCTCAATGAGGACTTACTCGACCAAACGCTGGCAGTGCGCTGCTTCCCTTGGCGTGAAAACTGAAAGTCGAAAAAAGAACGGTACAAGAAATAGAAGAAAAAAAAAAATTGTAAATAATTAATTTAGCTCCAAGACCGTCTTAAGATGATACGAAGGGTCATTTTAAGTACTCACATTGCCTTGCTCGACTTCGCTATCGGACACGGTGCTGCGAAAAGATGCTTGATGGGCGTGACGAAATGCAGGGTTTGTGGTGATACTTCCGCCGTCCGTGGACAATGCTTCGCTACTTCCGGTTGCTCCACCACGGCCCTAAAAGTGTATGAATAATTAAATCCATTTAATAATATGTATAAAACTACCATCTCCGATGCATAGAGTTAGCGATAATTGGACTGATAATTCTCGCCTTATAGAAGGGGTTTAAGGCGTAAGTTTCACGAACGATCGACTCCTCGGATGCGACTTTCGCATCCCCTTAACTCACCTCGGAGTCGAACGACGTCAGTTTGCTAAGAAATTTCCCTTTCTTCGTGAACATATCTAGGAACGTATCCGTGGCCGATTGGGTGTCGTCCCCACTCGTTGGTAAATGTGGTCGCGACGTGTCGAGGCGAACTTGAGGTGGTTCTGTTGAAAAGAAAATTACTAGAGCTCCTCCCTACACCGCAGATATTTCCTACACACCGTACAATCGTCTTAAATAGAGATAAAAATATTTATCAATCGTTGGAGGACCGATTCTCTCTCTTCTTATTTTTTTTTTTTCTTTTTTTCACCAACCTGCGGTGGGTTGTCCCGGTGGTTTCTGCGACACGTCCGGGAATTCTGGATGCTTTGGAGACTGGGGAGAACGCAAATTTTCACGGCTACCGAAGGGACTGGATGCCTAGAAGGGATATCCAAACGTTTATTAGTATTCAGACGGTTTGAACACCGGGAGACATCGATGCCCTCCCGTCCTGCACAGGCGATGTCGTATCTGCAGGGGAGGCATTCCCGTCCGCCATTGAACAATTGAATGGCATTATACTACTAAAATGTTTACCTGCGACATTACGGAACTGTCGAAGCCACATTCGCTCAGATCTTTGCTCCAGTAATGAGTGTGGGCTATTTCCATTAATTGAAAGACCGAAGCCATCCCACCCAAGCCGAAGTTGGCGTAAGTATGTCCTAGACCATGACATACCGCTTGAAGGCACTTTAGCATCCCTTTGTAAACTGGCTTTGAAACGCACTGTTGAAACCCAACGTCAGTTTTACCATTAAAATTGCTGCACATTAATTCGTCCTATTCCTGATGTTCATTCTACACCGAGAAAGAAATGTTTCCTCGAACGGTACCAAGGAAACATTTGGCCAATTCAAAGAGCGCTTAGTACTTACGATGTCGTCGATGTGATCATCGGGACTGATCTTCCTTTCAAGGACCTTATTCAACTTCGTGACCACGAGATTGCGATAGCTCTCATCTTCCATCAGCTTCTTCAGTCGGTTTAACTTCAGCCACCCTACACCTTCCCCTGCTAATACTTGATTGACGATCTGCAAATAAATAGATCAAGCATAAATCTCCCTCTTGCTGAAATGAGACTTGAGAAGAAAAAAATGCTACAAAATCGTAATGCTTTTCTCTCTTTAACAATGTAGCAATGTTACTACTTACGTCCGTCAAGAACGCCTGATTGTCGCTATTTGTACTGGACCGCTCTGCATTCTGTTGCCTTTGCAAATCTTCTTGGCTGGGCTTGTTCGAAGAGTGCTTGATAAGAGACGACCGTTCGACTAGGCCCTTCTTTCCTAAAATTAAGATCGAGCATTAAAATCTCAATTATTGTCCGTAATTATCGATACTTGAATATCCGGACATGGAGCGTACCTTTAGGGAAGGGTCCGAAGGGCTGGGTCTTTTCTTTCGACTTCTGCGACTGGGGGAGTAGGCTAGCGTTTCGATTAGAGCTATTCTTACTGCCTGTTAATTAAATTTTACCATCGATCATTACCCAGCAAAGTCTCTCCAAGCTGATTATGAAAGTGATAACGACACGCCAAAGGTGCCGACTAGCCTCGAGTAAATTGCTTTAATTGTTCAATCCCGATTAAGGCGATATGAAAGGAGCATTCGATTGCTTCGAACCTCCCAACGTGAACATGAAGACTGTAAGGAAGGCACCCGTGAAATTTCATTTCTTTTATATATACGAAATGTTAGAAACGTCTGAGAAAAAAACTGAAATCGGAAGACGCTACTTTCATCCCACCTTAAGGGCATGATCGGCATGTAAATGCTTCTCGCAACCCTCACCAAACAAATCGCTGAACATGCTGCTAGTATGGGCAGCAATGCCGTTCAAATCGCTGCTGATGTTGCTGAAGAAATCGCGGCCAATTTCTCGGCGCCCTCCACGAGCATCCGAAGCGACCAACTGAGTGCTGCTCGAATCTCTTCTTGGGGGAACTCCTGGTGGAGAATTCGGTGGGGAACCCTGAGATTCCCCATGTCCCTGATGGGCAAAAATTGTGCGTTCATATAAGGAAAAAAAAAAAAGGAGTAATTACTAGGAGTCTCACCTTAAGCAAACCTTTCTTCGTTGCGACTTCCTTGGCACTTTTGGTCAGGTCTCCTAAAGTGCTTTTGCCAACATAGGTCAAATCATCCAGGGTATTTTTACTGACCCCGGCAGCGGTCTTGCTCGCTTCCAGGGCCGTTTTCGAGGCCTCTTGAACAGATTTCGATGCTTCGCCCATGGCTTTCTTCGTCTGCTGAGTTAACTACGAAAAGCAGGAAATTCGCTTAAATCACAAAACGCAAACGAAGAAATTTCTCCGTCGTTCTGATTGACCGTATTTGGTTCATTTCAGAAAATGTTGCCGCTTCAGTGTTCTTACTATTTTTTAAACATTTCCCCTACCTGTTCCAGGGGGGCAAAAAGACTATCCTCTCCAGCTTCCGTAATCTTCTCCTTCGCTTGGTGCTTCAGCTGCAAGAAGACAAGAATCATCACACTCTGTTCACGACTCACGACAAGGATAAAGAAAAGAAAAATATTATTTAAGTTCGACACTTTATTAGTGTATCTTCACCTTATCCATGTGCGCTAAAAGGCCATCTTGACTGCTCTGCCTTGTCGTCTCCCGGACAAGATCCTTGGCTTGGGACGCAATCTGCTCCAGAAGAGATCCTTGCGAGCCCTGCCTGGTGACGCCACCATTGCTGGACCCACCGCTGCTGTTCTGTCGCTGGACAGAACCCCCGCTGTGTTGCTTCTGGAGGCCATTTCCGGTGGTCGATTGACGAGGCAGCGTCGACGCCCCGTTGGCACTTCCGGTGGTCCCTTGTCTCGGCAGAAGAGGTCCAACAGCTGATCCAAAGCTGGAGGTCCTGGCCAGGACGTTGCCCACGCTGGGCTGACGTTGGGGTCCAGGGCTGATCGGAGGAACCTTTCAGGAAGAAGGAACAAATCGGATCCATGAACAGTGACGTGACATCACGGTGACATGACGTCACATCGCGGAGAAATTTCTTTCCCATACAAATCCAACATCTACCTTACTCAAATCCCGGACTTCATACAGGTATATAAACTAATTTTTTATATGCAGCAAAAAGAATGAAGTATCGATTGACGATGTTTCCTCTCTCTTTCCTTCGAGCCTGTGATCAGTTTCAAAGGCCTTCTTAATTTTTTCTTTCGTTTCAAACAATATACACCGACATTTTTGGTACGTGCACAATTACCATCTTAACCTTCTAAAGGAGAAAGAAAAGGAGAGGATAAGAATTCATGTCGACAATACCTCGAGTAAACCAATTTTCATTGTTTTCCTCGGTGCCCTACAGAGTTTCAATTTCGAGGCCCACGTGACTTCTCTTTCCCACGGTGGAGGTAATCGCAAATATACGGGATAAGTACTTAGAATATGTACCGCATTCGATCGCAACACACAATTACTCGTCTACTTGTGCATCCAGATGTCGTTTAAATACAAACTAGAGATACCACACCAGCAACACTCGATTCCGCAAACTAATACACAATGAGTAATGTACCATTAGAAGCGATGGGCTCGTCTCGACCAATTGCGATATAGTCATGCACTATAGTCAGCGAATTGCATGCTAATTTATTCGAATCCGCCGGGAAATCATCGCGTCTAATGACGAACCTTAAGGTGATATGAAAGTGACGTCATGAAGCTTATCCACAAGCAGAGTGTGCCTAATCGATTCAAACTTAACAACCCAAACTCAGAGACTAAAAGGAAGCTCCTGACGTGCATGAAATTTCAATTTTTTACAAATTTCATTACAGACATTGGAAAGATTCATCGCAAATAATGAAATCCCATGAGTACCGGGACCTTCCTTATAATCTCCCTAATCACACTGCAAAGTTTGAAACGATTTGAGCCGCTCAATTCGGAGAAAAGTTGAACAACCGAGAGGCTCGTCGCACTTTCGCATCCCCTTAACGCCCCTTTCCGCGCATCAGGGACCGCAGCCAGAAGAGTAATGCAGGAGACGAGGGTGCGTGAAAAAACGGGCGGGTGCATAACGCAGGAAGGTGCGCGCGAGAGAGAGAGAGAGAGAGACAGAGCGATAGACCGGGCCAGAGAGAAAGAGAGACAGAAATAGAGATAGAGAGTGCCGGAAGAGCGGATAAAGGCGCGCGGCGCGATCGACTCACTGGAGTGACTGATCTAGAGAGTCGCGAGGTCCTGTGGGAAGCGGTGGGACGTTCATTGTCACCGAGTGCAGGAGTCGATAAGGACCCTGTGCCAGGACCTAACTGGCCTACTGTACTTTGTGCGCTCAGGACAGTGCGGGGTGTCGCCGTGGTCGATGCCGAGTCTGACTCAAAGCTACCGCCCTCCTCTTTATCCTACGAGTTCACCAGTAAACAATTACAGGGATTAATTCAATTGAAATGGCCAGTAATAGGGATAACCCCGACGAGCTGGTTCCTCCGTGGAGTTAACAATTGGGGGAGCAGCTAAACAATGGGTTGGGTCGTCCCAAAAGCGATGGGCTTTTCCTTTTTCATTCTACTTATGCGAATTAAACAAGGGAGAAAAACGATTGATGGCGACGCGACGACCCCAAAGTACCGTGTATTTGCATATTTATAATAAATGAACACTTAATTATAGGGATTAATTCAATTGAAATGGACATTAATAGGGATAACCCCGACGAGCTGGTTCCTCCGTGGAGTTAACAATTGGGGGAGCAGCTAAACAATGGGTTGGGTCGTCCCAAAAGCGATGGGCTTTTCCCTTTTCATTCTACTTATGCGAATTAAACAAGGGAGAAAAACGATCGATGGCGACGCGACGATCCCAAAGTACCGTGTATCCGCATATTTATAATAAATAAACACTTAATTATAGGGATTAATTCAATTGAAATGGACATTAATAGGGATAACCCCGACGAGCTGGTTCCTCCGTGGAGTTAACAGTAAGGGGAGTAACTAAACAATGGGTTGCTGTCGACGGGACCGACGTACCTATCCATGGGGTCGTCCCAAAAGCGATGGGCTTTTCCTTTTTCATTCTACTTATGCGAATTAAACAATGGAGAAAAACGATCGATGGCGACGCGACGATCCCAAAGTACCGTGTATCCGGATATTTATAATAAATAATCCAAGCCTCATGGATCTGCATTGACAATGAGAGCACGTGTCTTCGACAGTCTCCAAGGTGTGGGGTGTCCCGGCGTGGTGTGTTCAAACGAGTATCTCGCTGCTATCAAATGTATGAGACCGTATGAGATTACTAGACCGATCAGCTCGAACGACGAGGAAGCCATCTATCGCGAAGAGTCCGAAACTTGGGAAGAAACTAGCCGCGAGTTTTCCGACTTACGTTGTCGCTTTTAGCGGCCTGAGAGTCCTCCTTCGCTTTCGGATTCAGCTCTAACTCGGAGTCCCTGTTGAAGCTGGGGCTGCTGAGGTCGCTGTGACTCGAAGACGTGCTGGGCGGACTGTCGGGACGAATTTGGGTGTCTTCCTCTATTCCTGGGTACTGGAGAGTGCTCGGCGGGTTGTAGACGTTTTTCGGGTCCACCGAAAGGGCCATTTGCTGCGGCTGGGTCACTGATGGACGAAAAGATGCGATCGGTATGGTCGTTGCCAATCCGAGTTGGCGGCAGATCGTTAAGGCGGTTTAAAAGTGCCGCCTGAAACTCCCTTCTTATCCTCTATCTAAATTGGGTGTACCGAATCGTTTGAAATTCATTTCATTTAAGAAATGCTTGAATTTTGTATGAAACATGATGTGTCGGGACCTCCCTTACAGCCTTCGCATTCACGCTGCAAAGTTTGAAACTATTCGGTGCACCCAGTCCGGAGGAAAGTGTCATGAGACCTCTTAGAAGCAACTTTCGCGCCACCTTAAACGACAGAAGGGAATTTCTGGGGGTCGAGTAGTTACAGAAATCCGCTTCGATGGATTGGCCACCTACTTGGCGACAAGTCCGAGGAGACCATCTCCGAGACGAAGTCACTGAGCGAGGAGTAGGACGAGCTGGTGCTATCAGCACCCTCCGAGTCGGATCCGCTCTCATCGGTGGGCTGATTTTCGGGCTGTCTGATGGCCTTAAGGGCGCCGGCTAGCGAGCTGCCGGAGTCCCACACGGGGAAGGTGATGGGTTCGAGCTGATTTGCATACCACCGGGCTTTGTCGCCAATCTGGGCAGGGTCGAAGACTCCAGTCTGCACCCTTAGGAAGGCCACATTCGTCGGGGTGAGCGACCACTCGGCCAGGAACTCCACGGCCTGCGTCCTCGCGAACCTGTTCAGGAAGTGGCTCGCCCTGGGTCGCGATCGGAGGAAGGAGTTGATCTGGAAGGCCACCACGGGTCTAGGGTACAGCCTCAAGGTCCTGGTGTGCTCGGTGAAGTTCGCCAGGAGGTTCTGCGAGTTGAAGAACCGCACCATCGCGACCCTCGTGGCTATGTCCACCGAGTCCACGTCGTTGCCGTAGATGAAGGGGTTGAACGGCGCCGAAGGGTGGGCCCCGGACACCTGTGGGGATGATCCCGAACCCATGGTCTGGCCGATGGATTGGCCAAGAGACTGACCTAGGGTCTGGCTAACCGATGATGGCCTTCTAGGGCTCGACGCCGAGGATGTTACCGAAGACCCACCTCCCGGTTGTCCCTGCATCCCGTGGTCCACGCTCGGCCTGTGCCTCGCCGAGGACACGCTGCGACGAATGTTCGGGATATTAATATTAATTCTGCAATTGTATATAATATTATAATGGGTTTCCTTCATTCGGCAATCTCTTACCTCAGGGTCGACAAATGGGATGCTGCGCTCTCTCGTCTACCGGGAGAATGAAGGGACATCTGAGAGGAGTGCTGGGGTAAAGGCGCATTTGTTGTCGGCGTCGACATGCTCGCCATCGCCTAAAACGATGAAAATAAATCCATGTCAATGAAATATCCCTAAATTCTTCCCAATTTTTTTCTAACCAAGCTCTACCGTCTAATGCATCGAATGCTCTTCTAATTGCTGCCCACTATCAAGCAATGGATTAATTATCTCTACCCTGTAATGCAAGTTAACTTCTAGTGGCTTTCTTCTACAATGCCTCTATAAAAAAATTGGTAGGAAAAGGGATTACGTTCTCGGACTGAGAAAATATTAAATCAGCATCCTTTTAAAGGTAAATGGCGTTGCTTAATTGTTAAACAATCGATAAGCCAAGACAATCAGCGATAGCGGTAAAGTACCGAGTACGAAGAAATCAATGAATACGTCGGATGTAATTATAAATCCATCGTGCATATAAAAAGTCAGTGAAATATTTACACCACTGCCAACTTGGTCCATTAGTTGCATCGCCTGTAGAAGTGAACGGAGCAGCGAGAAAGTACAAGAAACGTAAGAATTAGTATCGAGGGAGTAAAGGCGTAAGCATAGTTAAAACCTCACGTCGAAAAGAAATTCGAAAGAATACAGCTGTTGCAAGGAATAAATAAATTCATAGAAAGAGAGAGAGAGAATTGCCGACACGCATTGTTTTTTATATATATCAAGTGACGTGGTTGAAAATCGACCGAAAGCCTTAAAAAGATCAAGAGACGCGCCTGCGTCTTCGACAAGAACACGAGCCTCGACGGTCGCACGTGCCGAGTCTCTATACTTCAACTATGGCCCCACCGGGTATTTAATTTTCTCCCAATGCCCAATGCTACTATTAAAAAACACCACGCGCTCTTAAATACACCCTGACGACATTATTAACATTTCCTCTCTAATTTGAGACCGGGACCATGGATAATATCAAGTAATTGTCCCGAGGGAAATCCGGCGCCGATCACAGAGCTTTTTTTATCAGAAGCAGTGCACTATAAGATCCCATCCACACGATCGGGAGATGAAATCAGTTAAGTGAAATCGCCGTTCTGGTCGTCCTGGTTTGCATTGACTCGAGTTTACCTGCTTAAGGTGATTCTTCAGGATCGAGCCTTCGGGTTCGGGCAGCGGAGGAAGATGGTCGCCGAATGCGGAAGGTGGTGTCACCTTATTGCTGTCAAGATCCACCAGCCAGACGTCATCCGGCATCTTGAAGTTCTTCTTGTAGAGCAAAAATGAGGCGGGTATGCCGATGACGTACGGAGTGGGAGCAAGTAGCAATTGTTCGGCACAGCTCATACAGGTGGGCAGTAGCGGAATGGCAGGGAACATGTATTCCAGGGGGTAGATCATCGTCACAAACGCCATGACGGACATGGAGAGAGCATTGTAGTCCCGCGATTGCATGACGATCTGAGAAGCCGAAGAAAGAGAAATTAACTCCTGGTGGCGTTGGAGTTACCGCTTGGGTATTCTATACGGCATCACCCCCCAAAAAGGGGTACTTCATACCTCCCTAACGCCATTACCTTGTGTTCCAGCAGTATAAGGGTCAGCACCTTCAAGCACACGTCTACCCCGAGGAGTTCCAACGGCAAGTGTAGAGGAAAGTCGACGAGAGAGAACCTCGTGTGATCAGGAAGGGCAAAACAAAGCGGGGGCTGGACCTCTTGCGACAGAATCTCTACTTCGACTCTGGTCTTGGTAGGGACCGGAACCGGGGCACTCAGCAGTCTTAGAATCCAGGTTTCGATCTCCCGAACGTCGTGGAGCACGATGGAAGACGCCCCGTCCAGGGCCTGACCAGTAAGAACACTCCAAACGCTGTCCCTACGACAAAAGAACGGCATCCATTTAACGTTTTGAATCTCTATCAAGGTGGAAAACCAAGATACCTGTTGATCTGCCTGGAGGCGCCAACTCTACGAGCGGAAGAGCTCTCGTTGCATGCGTCGATGATCTTCTTCAGGATGAAGAGGCACTCCCGGAACGTGGAGAAGAAGGGATGGTGCGAGATGATGCACAGCGAGGTCAAGGAATGGTTTCGTACTCTCTGTTAAATGTTAATGAAAATGTTGCTCATCCATGTAAACATATTCTACTATACTAACGATACATGGGTGCGTAACTGCAAATAGAGAGTCACGGATGAAAAGGATCATCATCATACTACGTCACAATTATCGCAATTGTAGTACCAACGAAAGGGTCATTCTGCATACATACAAAGCGTCAAAATATATACATTACATTTATCCAAAGTTTGATATAGAATTTGATACGTTTAATGTACAGAGATAGACCCTCTCGTGTCGCCCTAATGAACAAGGACATGGCTACGTCAAGAGGAGCATCTCACTTGTCTTCTGCGAGAGGCTCTAGGAGAAGGCGAGTGGCTGCCTCCGCTTTCGCTGTCCCCGCTGGGGGCAGTGATTCCCAGTCTTGGAGGATGAGATGCATGCGGGGTGTCCGAGTCTCTTCTGCTGGGGCAGTCCCTCTCGGAATCGCTGGGTCCTATCGCACTACCCCTGTAATCGCTGAACGGATAAAAGTACAATCGTTTACCATTGTCTTTACCAAAAATGGACCCCAGGTATTAAGTTTCCAAGGGTGACGCCGGTCTAGGGGGAAGTTGGAACGGCAAAGTCACCTGGAGAAGGCGGAGTCGGAGCTCTTCTCCATGCTTTTCCTCCAGCTGTCCCTCCGGAAGGTGGTGTTGTGTCTGTTGCGTCTACCGGTGAAGGTGCTGCTCCCAGAGCTCCCAGGTCTCTCGATGGGTCGGAAGAAATTAACGCAGATCCCGTAACGAGTCCTTCCTGAAGCCGGGATAGGTATTAAATTATTAAGGTGATATAAAAGAAAATAAATACACATACGATGTGCTTACCGGAGTCTTTATCGGTGAGGGTGAAACTAAAGGACATGGCTTCCCTTAAGGCTGTACGTTTAGGGCCGACACTGCTGCACCCTTCGGGCTGGCAGAAGTACACCATGTCCAGAGGTAAAGGGAAATCCTTATGGTCCTCCACGGGGTACCTTCGCAGCAGTTCCGGCACCTGGAATTAATCATTTACCATTAGCCATCCCTTTTAAACCGACGTCGCCTCTCCTTGTCAGGGTGAGGTGGGTATTGTCTCTACCTCACCTGTACAGGTTGCCGAGTAGCCGATGGTGGTCTGGCCCCCACGATAGCGAGGTAGTCCACCAGGCGGGGGCACAGAAACTTCTTTTGTATGTCCATCCTTGAAGTTTGTAACGTCGTCACCGGGGTGTACCTCGCATCGGAGCCGTGGGGTTTATCTTAGGGACACCTCGAAGCCGGACCATTGTCGTGTCATTCTTCCGTCGCTTTATCCCGCCTGAAAGAGAAATGAAAGAAATAAGAGAAATAAGAGAAATAAAGTTCCGATGGAGACGTAGGCTCCAACGTAGAGAAATCACGGACTTCCTAACAAAAAGATGCATTAAATTAAAAAAAAAAAATCCTGCTTGAACGAAGTCGAAGGACCCTACCCCCGACGTTATCTCTCATTTGTCTACCGTGAAGGGAAAGAAAGAATTAAAATGATAAGAGAGAGCATTCAGGAGGGGACCACGATTGATCCGATTTCCCAATTCGGGTAACCACGCCCTTAGACGTTCTCCGTCTGTAAAAGTCCATCCTTTCCACGTTATTCCTGATTTAATTCCTCCACGTAAACCCGGTGTAACGACAATCATAATCAACGATAAGATCGGGCCAATCAAGTCAGGAAAAAAAAAAAGTGTCATGGCATTTTCTGTTCGCCCATTTGATTAGCCTGTTCTTAATAGCCTTAGCAGGAAGAGCAATGATAGTTCTTATCAGTTGCCGCAATTCTGCGCAATCTCGCGAAATCGATGGACCAGTTCCTGTGTATCAGATATTGGATGATAAGGAAAAGGGAAGGCAATGATAAATAATTCGAAATAAATGTCGCCAGAAGTAATACAAAGCGGATTGCCCCCCGCAATGAGTCGCGTCACGTAACCGCAAGTTTTGCCGATAACCAAACGACCGGAAGTATGGAATCCACATGTGGAGGCCCGCGAGTACGTCGTTACTTCCAAGCACGCGCAAATATGTCCGGTGGGACTTTCGATATTAATTATCCACGGGATTCGACCTCGACCTGGTCAAGGCTGGGAGCTGGAGGACTCTCGAGGGCCCTCGAGGATCTTCCCACGTACTCCGAACCAGGTCCAGAGGGAATCCCTTTCAAAGGGTACCCCCCAGGAAACTCTTCTACTCGACAAAAATTCCACCGAGTTCTTCGGTAAATCCGTGGCCAAACATTAAAAAAAAAATATATATAAAAACATTAATCTCCTGCTACTACACGAATATTAATTAATATTTTCTCTGGGTGCCCTCGTAGATCAGCGGTTCTGAAAATCCCCGACTATATCCCCCAAAATCTGGGCACATATATATAGGCAAGCCGAAAAATCCCCAAATAGTCCTACAATAGGATCTAGGTACACTTACAAATCACCATGCCGAAACTCCCTAAATCCACCCCGAATCCCCATTTACCCTAATCGCGAAGCTCCCCGAATACCTGGGCCCAATATGCCCGCACAGATCGTGGAGAACCTCGAGCCCACTCCCAGTGGAGGCACACAACCCACTCGCACCGATCCCCATCCCCGAGGAGCACCCGAACTTACGGCGGAGGCATGGTCGGCCGACACCTCTGAGGAGTTGGCAGTCGCACGACCGCCACCAGCCGCGCAGTCCGTCGGTCGCGCTATCGCGCCGCGCCCGCACACGACGGCGGTCCGTGCACGAATGCGGGCGCCGGGGCAGCACACCACCGAAGTGTGCGCGCGCATCGTGGGCCGCGTCGGGTGTCCTCGTTGCGTGTCGGATCCCGCCAGTGGTCGCGCCGATCAATACGCGGCTGGCCCCCCCTGGATTGTCCCGCGCCACCCTCCCCACCCCCTCGCGCCCGCATTGCCCTCCACCCAAGAGCCCCTATCCCCTCGCTCCCCGACCGGGCCGCGGGGGTGCAAGTCGGCCAACTGATCGAAGTCTCGGCGCCGACCCCGCGGCAGCCATTTTCTTTTTCCTCCTCGGGGAGAGATTTAAAGATTTTTTTTTCCTTCTTTTTTTTTCGGCCTTTTTACGGGGATGTTATCCGCAAATGGGGGGAGACTGATATGGGGATCTTCGGGATGGCCTTAGTCCGATGGATTATATTAACCGTTTCAATCCCAGGGGCCGTTAAAAAATAATATATCGAACCGCGCGATAGCGCTCGCTACTTCAATTTACCCTAAGTGCACCGTCAATTGTCCGTACCGATTGAATGTACTGGGTTTTCTCGACGTATGATTTTCTCGATATGAACAGCAGGATCGCGCTATAGGTGATTGGAATGTATTTCCTACGTTTTCTCAATTATGCCTCTGATTATTAATCACTCAGGTGCAGAATTGGGCAGGTATGATATTGTTAAGTCATGTAATGTACGTGGCTTTCTACGCGAGCGCGGAGTACGTTACGCCATTCTATTCCTAAATGAGAAATAATAAACCCAGGTAGAAATTGGATATTGAACAGGGTTAAGTCGAAAGAATATGGAAATTAATACCTTAAGAATCTTTGCGTGTGTACATATGCGCTAAAAGTCGTACATAACTTAATGAAAGTGCATCTGCGGCCATCCGCCATATTGGAAACGTAATTTATAAATATATCTAGCGCCGGAGGTGTCGTTAAACGGTGCTTTAAATAAAATGTACATAGTTTCTATTATTTCCTGCTAGAGCATAAGTGCATATTTTTCTCGTTACAAAACTGTTGGCGGCGCCACAGTCGACGCGCGGACTAAGGGCAGGCCGCCATCTTGAAAGTAACCTAAACCGCGGTTAACTCCGTCTATGTCCGCTGTCATTTGTTTTGGGTTAGGAAATTCGTAAAGAAACCGAGTCGCGCGTTTTTAAATGATATAATCCTCCGATTGCAGGTTAATATCGAGGGAGATGAGCTGCTGGTTCGCATTCGACGAAGCTGTGGTCCGATGAGAACGTGAGAGGCGGGCGAGGGAAAGTGTACGCGCCTCGGCGACCCAAAGGGCCCGGATTCATGGGGCGAGAACATGCCAGGGACATTTGGCAACGATTTAATTGATCGCCTCTGAAGAGAGAAGACGCGAGGGAAGACAAGGAAAAGACGCAGGACTGACCGCGATTGTGCGATGTTCCGAAACTTGACGCCGGTCGCTATTTATTGGGCGATGATTCTTGCCTGTCTATTTACCATCCTCACTGCCCTCGATGAAGCTGGTGAGCCTCCGAGTCTCTTCGGTGACTGCTCGTTACCGATGACTCGTATTGATGGCAGCGTCGATGCTTCTAAAGATCGCCGAGTTTTCAGTTCTTAATTCCCTGCCGTTTTCTCGGATGACACTTCGGTAGTTTGCGTCTATTTATGCAATATCGAGCTTGTCGCAGCTCGAACGTTTCGCCCGATCGAAGATTTAATATGATGATTGTGTTTCAATGTTGTTCTGTAGAGCGTATGTTTGCATGGATGTGTCAGGGTCTTTATAAGCTTCGATGCCGATAGCGTAGACTGGTACTGTGCACGCTTGGCATAAAGGGAGCTTGCGTTAGAGATCACAGTTATAGGAGACTTAAAAATATTATTAGTTACGTACCAGCAAATGTACATTGCTTTTATGCCTTAGCTTTGTTAAAGCCATTGCTTTTTATTCATTGTCTTTGATTATTCAGATTTTAGTTTTGCAACATCCAAATATTTCAAGGTATTCCATTTTTGCTCCTGACACCTCTCCTAGATTAATAAAATGATCAGTAATATGTCAACTTTACTACTGACTCTGTCAGGCGTTCAATTTTCCTGTATCTTGTAATGCTGAATTACGTCTGATTATTTTCATTGGCCATAAAATGACACCTGTGGATGTAAATGGATTTTTGCTTCTTCCGTGAAAGTTATTCATAATGTCAGGATATCGACTAAAGGCATGATTTCATTTTTAGCCAGTACAGTAACAGAGAGTGTCACTCCGGAGCAGAATACAACAGCCAAGCTGGAAATTATTGTCTCCCAGCATCCTCAGGGCATTGAAGCTGGCAGTACGCCGTCACTGTTGTGCAGACTGAGCGAATCGGGCTACATATGGTGGACCATGAGAGGACAAAATCTGACGACCATCAGGGAATCCGAATTCGAAGGACGCGTAGATTTGAAGAAGGCCAGCAGGAACGATACTGGTGACTACACCTGCATGGCTAGGACCATAACCGGAGAGTCTCTCGAAACCACGATTAATCTCCGCATCATCGGTAAACATTCCTAGTCTTCTATGCCAATTCCACCGAATAATTTAATATTGGATGATACCGAAGATTCTTGCATCTTAAAAAAAAGTTGGAAATTATTTTCAAGCGGTTCACAAAGATTCTTCTCTTTAATTTCTTCCTCCAGAATTAATGCCACTCTTGTTGAAATTTATCTCTAGAACCTGGCAGGGTTCTTCCAACACAGGATGTCAGGATGAACGTTCTACAGCCAGCGAACCTAACGTGCCAAATGCAAGGATATCCTTTGTCGAACTTCACTTGGGTGAAGGGAAATGACACGGAAACCAGTGAACACCTGAGGACTCTCATGACCGTTACGGAAATCAACGAGACTCACGTGGAAACGTCGTTAAAGTTCAAAGCAGTCACTAGGAAGGACAACGGGACATACGAGTGTCAAGCTAATGATTACAACCGAGTTATTTCTGGCCACGTGAGCCTATTCGTGACCGATGTGCCACAAGTGAGCATCGACTTCATGAAAGCTGTAGGAGCTGGCAGTATATTCCTCAACTGGACGGTGAACGATGGCAACGAACCGGTGACGGAATATTTTATTGGGTCCATAAAAAACGGCACTGCTGAAAGAAGATTCTACTCCGAACGCATCGGAGGTGGGAACTCCAGTTACGTGCTGAAAGGCTTCGAGAGCAACACAACTTATCAGATCTCTATATCGGCTGTAAACGCCATTGGAACCTCGCATATCAGTAATCCTCGATGGATCACGACTTTAGAGAAAGGTACATTACACTCTCACTATTTTATTATACCGAAGTGATACACGACGTACTCGAGTTATTATTCCCAAACTTCCATAACCTGTAAATCTTAATCTCGGTGCTTGGAGAAATTAGGTTATGTCGATAAAGTACATCTTTACCCCGTAAGATACATATTTAATCATCCCCTTTGCATTCAGTAAACCGATTGTTCAAAGAGAATGATAATTAAAGAATTTTAATGTAGAATCAGCAGGATTATAAGTACGTAAACTCATAGATCGGGGAGGGACATTCCAGTATCTCGTTACTAATTAAAGGTTATATTTTTACAGATCCCGAGTTCGTCCCGAAGGTGACGGTGAACGGAGTGACCACAGGATCCATTACCATTGGATGGACCGTCCCACCACCAGAGCTACGGGAGCATGTTCAGTATTACAATTTAATAGCAACCAACGGCGACCAGAAACGAGAAGCTATGTATCCAGCCCAACCACGCACTTTCTACGGCTTCGTAGATCTTGAATCCGCGACTACTTACAAATTCAAGGTAGCAGCTTGCAGCGAATACACCAAGTTATGTGGCAACTGGAGTGCCGAGGTCAACGGAACAACTATGGATGGAGGTACGAAGAGTATAATACTCTATAACGGTACAATTTCTTACTTCGATTGATCTCTTTGGTTCAACTAGGTTTAACTCATTCGTAAATTGGCAAGCTGGCTACTTTTCGTACACTCAAATATTTCAATGACTAGTTCAATGACGTATAACTTCCACATTTCCAGTTGCCAGTCCACCGCAGAATCTCTCGATCACCTGCTCAATAGATACAGCCAGGAGGACGAGTTTCATCTCGCTTTATTGGGCCCCACCTGCGAGGCCGAACGGCTTGATAACGCGTTACAAAGTCGAGCTGAGTGGAGTTTCGCATTTCCGCAACGACATGGGTCGCTACGACATCGATCATTGGGGCCCCAAGGGGAAGAGCGTCGACGTAATGAAGATCAACAACACCCGTTTCGAGCAAGTCCCGGCTAATACCAATTACACGGTGAATATCGCTCATACCATTCCAGTCTAATAGAAGACACTCGGTCAATCGAAACTAATTCGCTTCTTAATTTAAGGCCCGGGTCCACGGGATAACGCGAGCTCGCAGTTCTGGAGAGGAGGCGATCGGTACCTGCACGATGCCGGTAACCACACCTGACAAAGAGAGCATGAACATGCGGACCTGGAGGAAGATCGAGAACGAGGGTAGACAACTGTTCCAGCTATATCTGCCCAGGATCTCCGAGCGAAATGGACCGATCTGCTGTTACCGGATCTTCATGGTGCGACTAGAGGCCCAGAGAACCGTCGCCGACCTGCCACCCCCCGAGGAGATCGACGTCCTCTCCTACCAGTACGCCCACGCCTCCCAGAAAGGAGGAGCCTACGTAGCGGAGACCTTCGACAGCGACCAGCTCCTTCCTGAGATCTTCCTGGGAGATGGGGAAGTATTCAACGGCAGCTCCGCCTGCGACAAATGCGTAGGACTCAGGCCCCGGGTCATCCCTCCGCTTCTGAACCTCGTTCCCGAGGAGCATCCACCTCCCACGGTCAGCTCGACCACCCCGACGACACTCGCGCCAATAGTTACGACTTCTACCACCAGAGCGACTACCGTAGAGTCCACGACAGGGACGTCGACGACAACCTCGAAGCCCACTACTTCTGAGCCCAAGGTGCCGACGAGCAACGTCACCGGTGCACCAGGAAGGAGGAAGCGAGCCGATCCTCTGGTTCCCGAATTCGACCTGGAAGCGAGATCTGAGATCCTTCCATATCCCCCGACTGATGGCTACTTGGACCCCAAGTCCAACTATACAGGATTCATCGAAGTCATCGGTACCTGATGTTTCCCTACTTTTCACATTTTGTCTCACGATAGAAATGATTTGGATGGAATTCTTTATTCAAAATAAGATCCACGTGCATTAGGACAAATGGATGAAGATTCGGTGACTGGTTAATTGTTGCAGTTTACGGGAATCAGAAGGACGAGTATCTCCCAGCGTATAGTGGATACTTCAGCCCTCTTTACGGTGGACTTAGCTCGAAGTACATAACCGAGCAAGACGTCTCGACTCTCGGGATCATTATTCAGATCTCCGTCTCTCTAGTGCTGATCATGGTGGCATTGATATTAGCTTTCTGCGTTTTGAATAAGTGCACTAAGCGCACTCGCCAGAGAGGCGGGGAGATCATCACGCTAAGGAGTAGCTTCAGGTACGTCTAAGACGAGAGAGGACTAATCCCTTCAAGGAAATGACATTAACAGTTCCCACGATCCTTTTCTAGGCACTTCTGCAGGAACCTACGAGGCCGTCACCAGCTGGTGGCAGCCAGTCCTCCGGACATACCGCCAATTTCAAAAGCCGAGCTCCTGCAAGCCTACATAGAGCGTCACCGGGACTCGGATTACGGTTTCCAGCACGAGTTCGAGATGCTGCCAGACCGCTTCACCGACAGGACGACCCGGGCTTCGGAAGCCCGGGAGAACCTCTTCAAGAACCGCTACCCGGACATTAAATGTTACGACCAGACCAGGGTGCGCCTCGCCCAGATGGACGGGATCTGCGGCTCGGACTACATAAACGCGAACTTCGTCCTGGGCTACAAGGAGCGGAAGAAGTTCATCTGCGCCCAGGGTCCTATGGAGAACACCGTCTGCGACTACTGGCGCATGATATGGGAGCAGCACCTGGAGATCATCCTGATGCTGACCAACCTGGAGGAGTACTCGAAGACCAAGTGCGCCAAGTACTGGCCAGACAAGAGCGAGTCGAAGAACTTCGGGGACATCACCGTGGAGCACATCGGAGAGAGGTCGTACTCCGACTACGTCGTCCGGGACCTGAAGATGACCAGGACCGGGGAAAGGGACGTTCGAGTAATCGTCCAGTACCATTTCCTTGTCTGGAAGGACTTCATGGCCCCGGAACATCCCCACGCCATCCTGAAGTTCATCAAGAGGGTCAACGAGGCCTACTCCTTGGAGAAGGGCCCTATCCTGGTGCACTGTAGCGCCGGGGTTGGCAGAACTGGCACCCTGGTCGCTCTGGACTCCCTTCTTCAGCAGCTCGCCGAAGAGAACCAGGTCTCCATCTTCAACACCGTTTGCGACCTCAGGCACCAGAGGAACTTCCTCGTGCAGTCCCTTAAGCAGTACATCTTCATATATCGGTCGCTCATGGAGATGGCCCAGTATGGCGACACTGAAATTCCCATCCAGCAGCTCAAGGCCACCGTTGAGAAGCTCAGGCTGAGAGACAACGGCAAGGAGAAGTACAGAATGGAGGAGGAATACGAGGTGCGTCTTTACGTCTTTTACCGCCCTATATCATGGAAGTCCTAACGAAGGTCTTGAAAGTCACGAAATTTCGATTCTCTAATTTTCATCCCATGATTTCAGAAAATCAACTCCGTCCTCGACGACCGGAAGTCATTCTCGGTGGGCTGCGGGGAGGAGAACAAGCTGAAGAACCGAAGCGAGCACGTAATTCCCTACGACAGGAACCGCGTGATCCTGACGCCGGTTCCCGGTAGGGAACACTCGACGTACATAAACGCCTCCTTCATAGAAGGCTACGACAATTCCGAGACATTCGTCATCACGCAAGACCCTCTCGACACGACTGTCGCGGACTTCTGGCGAATGATATCGGAGCAGTGCGTCTCGACGATAGTCATGCTGTCCGATGTGAGTTAGGACCCTATTAACTCCCAAAACTGCCACGAGACAGTGGCGCCAAAGAGTTCTCGACCGTTACAGTCTCTCTCTATGCAACTTTTCTCCTCCCTAAAAGTACCAAATCGTTTGAAATTTAATTCCCTGACTGTGGAGACCCTAAGAGAACCCATCCTTGCAGCTAAACGACGGTCCCAGGAAGTGCCCTCGCTACTGGCCCGAAGAGGAAGCGGCCTACGACCACATAAACGTCCGTTACATCCAGAGCGAGAGCTGCCCGTACTACACGCGCCGCGAGCTTTGCGTCTCCAACACGAAAACCGACGAGAGCGCCGTCGTGGTCCAGTTCCAGTACCACGGGTGGCCCACGGTGGAGGGCGAGGTGCCCGAGGTGACCCGGGGCCTGATCGAGCTCGTCGACCAGACCCTCGCCAATGAAGGCGTCGAGTCCAGCGGACCTCTCGTCATCCACTGCAACTACGGCTCCGACAGGAGCTCCATGTTCGTCGCCCTGAGCATCCTGGTCCAGCAGCTGCGCACCGAGAGGCGCGTCGACGTCTTCACGACGACGAAGAAGCTGCGATCGCAGCGCCACGGCATGATCAGCACTTTCGTGAGTCCCTTGATCTTATTAACGGTCACTCTACGTATACAAACGTAAAACACTTATCAAGAATTTCTCCAAACAGGGCTCATCGAGTCATTTGAAACTCCACCACGTGATTATAGGGACCCTAAGGAAGAGCGCGATGCTCCTGAGGCATCATTTATTAAACGACAATGTTTAATTTATCCCAGACTAGAGCCAAAGACACGTATTCTCGTTTGAGAAATTAAATCTGACGAGCATCGCGTCCTTCCTTAGGGTCTCACCTCGTCGGCCGTTTTGCAAACTGGACCCAGACTCTCGGAAATTATCTTCCACCCACCTTGTATCCTGTTTCCTAATAGTTTATACGCACTTATACGCACTTATACGCGTAGATTGACGGCCCTGCGTGAGTTAAACCGCTCGTTTCCTTTACAAGGCGCGTCGGCCATCTTGGCGGCCATTTTGAAAATCCTGGTTAACCGCGGAGAGACGCGAACCCGATAATACGATATTTCCCCGACAATTAACATTCTTTTTTCTGTTGTCTAGGCCCAATACGAACTCCTCTACCGTGCCATTATGAATTATTCGGACTTACACAATCTTGCCGAGGAAGAAGCGGCCTCCTTATGAAGGGAGGCGGACGTAGCACCCGAAGAGCATTGAGCACCTCGTGCGGCTTCATCTAGTGATGACTAAGTCATTAAAGACTGGCCGAATCGTCTGAGCGTGGATCGAGACGCTCTCGAGGACGAACCAAAGAATGTTCATTGCGAAGCTGACCATGGTAGCCGTTTAATGTTAATGACGCGCGGAAACCGAGGACGCAGCGCCTCCCCACCGATCCAAAATGGCGCCCGGCGTTTCCTCCTCGGGTTTATCCCTCCGCGAATTTAGTGATTAGATCGATGTAAGGCGATCGGTAACCCCGATTTCGAGAATGCCGCGACTAACGATCGTCCTTAAAATGGAGAAAAACGTGCATTCGCCAGCGGTCGCTCTTCCCGCTGGTCCACAGACTTTGGAAGTTTCTAGGCTCTTAATTAACGAGTTTTCCTCCAATTTTCGCCCCCTTGATATGGGATATCTCTTGGTCAAGGGGGTCGATTCCGTATCTTCGGCGAGAGTGCTCGCTTCTTGCCCTGTCATCTCACGCGAGTTTATTCGCCCCCCCGTCTTCTCCAAGTGAAAATGCGAAATCCCTCGACCGAAAGAACTCGGAGTTTCTGGTCGAGTGATCTCACGCGAACTAGCTCGCATTCTTACCACGGTAACGGTTACAGAATCGCGGGAGGTACCTCGCTATCGGGATTTTCACTAGATTCGAGTTATAGAATCGACCCCCCCAGAAGGGGGCGCTCCTCTCGCGTTTCCAGGGGCGGCAATTATTACTCTCTGTGGTATTAGGATGTATAATATTGGCGTTAATTACTGGATACTCCCCATGTGTAAGATATACCGAAGTTTTTTACCTTTTATACGTGTGTGATATTACGGAGAAAAGGAGGTTGACTCGAGTCTGAATATTCACTTTACTAGATCGCTCTCTAGATGGTATCATCAAATCACTCGACTGCTAAATATGCCCATTGTCTAGATTTATGGAAATCTACCATACCTAGGGACTTCTAGTTACTTTTCATATCTTGGCTTTCCGATACAGCGCTGCCATCGAGGGCATAAGACTGTTTGCAAAACTGCCCTGAACTTCGTTAATAATGCCAAATAGCCTCTACATCGTTCCCACATTGCATTGTATCAAGAGACTCGTTATCTTAAACTCTTATCAAAAGTAGGACGATAAAGATCGTCGGTGAGATGTATATCCCAATGCTCAAAAGTTGGCGCCCCTGTTCGCCGAAAGTTCCCTCGATCCGACATGTTGGAATCATTGTGGCCAACTTAAAAAAAAAAAGAAAAGAAAAACAACCCCTGGCCCCACAACTTCCAAAGTCTGGCGAAAGATTTCTCGCGGCGGGAGGGCGCACGACTTGGCAGTGATTATATTTTAATTGCGTTGCTCGTTTAGCGTTTAAGTTAATGCGATATCCGCCTGGAAACCGCCATTCTCGTAGGGGAAGTATTAAGCGACTTCAGCAGTGCGCCATTAAGGGACGAGATCAGGAGACAGAAAGGACAAACCGAATTGTCCTAGATACAAAGTTCCGTTAAAAAAAATTTGATTGTAAGCCACTGCTTAGGAATCGCACCTCCAGCGTCCGCAACCGCATAAAGCGCGATATATTTAATATTGAATTTGTACGGAAATCCACGCGACTCTAGTATAAACGTCGTGCAATATTTCCGCTAAGCGGCGCTGAAGTCCCCTGGATACCAATATGGCGGCAGCGGCGTTTCTCTAAGAAACGGCGCGAGATTCAAACTCCACGTCGGAAGGAGCTCCGTTTTTCCGTTTCCCGTCGATGCGAGAAGTAGCTAATATTAATTCCAGTGATTTTTATATAGTATTGTCCCGGTCCGTGACCCGCTCTCGTTGCCTGCGTTGGAAAAATGGTCAATGTTGTGCTGTTATATTCACGTAAACGTAGCACATATTTATCGGTTATACTTTGTACATTGTCGCAGGAATATAGTGATACAATGACGAGTACGAGTGAATGTTTTTTTTTTGTTTTTTTGTTATACAATAGCTACTTCGTCGGAGAGAAAGAGAGCGAGAATGTGAATGAGAGAGAGAGAGAGTATATATATACATAGCGATAGCATAGTATTTTATTTCGCCTAATAAGTACTCGTAGTATTTTATTTTGCCTAAGACCGTAGACACACGCTTTTTATACGGAAGAAAAATTTATAATAAACAAGAGGGAGGAGCGCTGTCGCAGCTGGAAGTCCTAACTAGGTCTTGTGCTAACACATTTACAAAATAAACGCTCGCAGCTTTAAGGATGTAACAATGAAACTAGACGACTCATTTTTTTTTTATATGATTTTTCGTACGTGCCAGGGAGTCATTAAACGAATACCCCAGCTTTATGACTTTCACCTTTGATTTTGCAAATCGTTATGACACGAAAGATGATTCTATATGCACATGGCGTCGAAAAGTTTTATATAAGTATGAACAACCTTCCCCTTCGAGCTACTGTGGTCGCGGGTGCGAAGAAAAAATTCACCGGAAGCTGGACAGCCCGAAAATAGACTGAAAAAATTAATAATAAAAACTTCAAATCCTGTATCTGCAATCGCGATTGCGCGAGCCCCTATTAAAAATGTGTTGCGCCGCCACTGAGGGGTAACAGGTGTCAGGTGCATTAGCCGCCTGCATCCTCCACCGGAGGGCAGCACAAAATGCAATCGCGCGACTCGTGAACGATCCCCCAACTCATCTCTGTACAAAAATCCGTGATTTCACTATCTAACCAATTCTAACCTCCAAATAAATTTTATACTTTATTATTTTCTGGAAGATACTTTAAAAGAAACGACAAAATGAGAGAATTTCCACTGTCGGAATGCGAACGGAATTTCGTGACTCGAGCCGCGGCAGAGGATACGGTGATACACAAAATATCTAAATGAAATTAATATTAGTTCATTAATGGGTCGATTTGAAATTAATATTTGCAGTAGTTATCCAGTGGATAAATATTTTTCTTGCGCCTAACATTGATAACCTGTTAAAAATACATCATTTTCTCACCTATTTTTCATGAACGCAGAGATTGGACGGCAGAGCATTGTTAGAGTCTCGGCCTGTGAAAATTTATTTCGGTTCCAACTGGGGATGCTGTCTCACGGTGCTTGGACAGACCAGGTTGATCTTCTGCTCCGATTAACTTTTTTCACTATACTAGAATTTACTTGCACGATATTAATTGTTATCTCTTTTTTCCAAACAATTATTTGGAATCTTTACAGAGTCGTAGCTCAAGTATCCTGCGATATCCAGCAACCGAAGGCATCGCGTCCGAACGAGGGAATGTTATACATAAACGTGGAACTTAATCCACTGGCTGCGCCTCATTTTGAAGGGAATCGTCAATCGGATATCGCTGTGGTACTTAATAGACAATTAGAAAAATGTTTCAAAGATTCCAAATGCATTGACTTAGAGTCTCTGTGCATTGTGGCTGATAAACAGGTCTCTTTCCCAGATTTGCTTAAAACTCATCGACGTACGATCAATGTATGAATAAACTAACTTCTTTAATTCTATCTAGGCATGGAATATACGAGTCGACGTGAGTATCATCAATCACGATGGCAACTTGATAGATTGCGCATCAATTGCTACACTTGCAGCGCTATCCCACTTCCACAGACCCGACGTCACTGCGACTGGAAACGAGATTATTGTGCATCCATTTTCCGAGAAGGATCCATTACCTATGACGTTATTTCATTATCCAGTGTGTGTTTCCTTCATCACCTTTGAAAAGTATGTACACAAGAACATACATAAGTGCGTACAACTGTGAATTCAATGCTACGCAGTATATTTACATTTCTAGCGGGAAGATAGTAATGGATCCCACGTATCTGGAAGAAAGAATTGCAGTTGCACAACTCACAATGGGAATCAATTCATATAGAGAACTGTGTTGTCTCTATTTTGAAGATCTAGCAAAGATAATGGTCGATTGTGACATCATATCCGAAGTGTCCGATCATGCAGCTGATTGGTCTGTTAAATTGGTACAGCAGATTAAAGCCGCTGTCAGTGCGGATGTAAATGCAAGGCAAGTGTGGCAACTCTAATTCTAAAATTTCCGTAAAGGAACAGATAAGACAGAATGTCTGTAAACACTATTCTATATGTTTCAATTTAATTATACAGGTATAGAAAGGAAGAGTGCCCGGAGTATCGCTTTAAAGACTGCGTGGCAGTGAAAAATTTAAAGACACTGATTAGCGAACGAGTTCACATAAAATTAGCAAAATGGGAGAGAGACCCGAGATTAGATGACGAAGGTTATTGCAGTTTAGAGTCTCATAATTTAACTACATCTGCAAATGAATGGAGAATTAATTATTCAACATGTTTTAGGGTCTGAAATGGATGTGAGCGATGACGAGATAATTGAATACGACGAACAGATTATAAAGCTTGGCGAAGGATCTGCTGAACTCGTAACACCTGAGATGAACGATTAAACTCGATACTGGGATTTAATGCGAATTAATCTATATTCTATATATATATATAATCTATATAGGGATTATTAATCAAGGAACTCGGTAAAGCTTCACGTAATGAGATATACGCGCCCGGCACGTTTTGTCGTACCATTACACTCATTGTGGAAGTATCAAAAGGGATAATTATTAAGAGCTAACATGCCGAGGACAACTGTACAAATGTATGAATAAAAAAAAATTGATAAGTTACCTATAATGCGTTTAACCTAAATCTGAATCGTCATCCATAGGATTATTATAATCCTTAAAGAAAACTGGTACTGTACATTTTACTGCTCAAAAACGCACCGAAATGTAGAGACGCGTTTATAAGTGGTTCGATGATTAGATACCCATCGTCAGCTAGACCACTTGTAGTTTCTTCTGAAAATGAAACAGAGATTATTGTTTAATGTATTATAAAACACTGCATTGAGCATTGAACGTTCCAATTAGACCGTTCGTTAGATTAATGTATTTTCAAATACACTTACTGCATTTAACTATAGATGGTACGGAGACTAATGTTACCGTTGGAATTCTTAGCAGCTTCATCCGAAGACACTTGAGTTTCACAAGAATCTGTAAATGATACAATATAACTAAATAATTGGCAACGAATACAATACTTTGAAAAGATTAAAGTGACTCAAACCAGTCGATTCAAATAAAATATTTTTTAAGGGTATTTATTAAATTTCTCAATGGGTTTCGCTTCGCCTTAAAGAAAGTGTGCAAAGTCAACTAACCTCAATTAATTCTCTAGTATGGATCGGCTGCAGGGCTGGTAAGAATCTGTTTTGCACCTTAGTTATCGCTGAACCAGGATGCATTATACAATAAGCCAAAACAGCGCCAAGCATTCGATCCAGCACACGACGATTTAATACCCCATCGACACGAATCCATGGTTTTATGATCACTTTGACATTTTTTGCATTCCTGTAATCCAAGTGCACAAGAATAAATAAATAAATGAAATCGTAGGTTCTCTCCAGATAGTCCGAAAGAGTCTGCGAAGGGAAAAAATATACTCACTGGTTCTCGAAGTAAGAGGCTGACTTTGACATCTGCTCCTTCATGATCGACATAGCCTTTCTGCGTCGAGTGTTGGGTAAATTCGAGTCTTCTGACTCTTTTCCGAGCTTCTCCTTTTTTGAGATGTTTTCTAACACGATTTCAGCATCTTTTGCAGGTGTTTCCCGGTCTTTCGCTCTTGGCTCATTGTCCATACAATCCATCGGTTCAAAATGTTCACTTTGGGAATTGTTCTTCTGGCTGATCTGACTGTTTTGTTCCTCCTTACAATTGCTACCACATTTATTTTCCAATGAAGGCACCGGCAATGATTCTCTAACCAGCCTCGAAATCTTCTGAGAATGTAACAACCACGGATCAGCGTATTTTCTGTGCACATATCTCACAACCGTAACACCACACCGCAGAACTGCTTGAATTTCGACCAGCAGGAAAAGAATTTCGTACAGTGCACTCTCCCACAATTCAGGAAAGTTTTCCTATAAAAAATTAGAATGACGGTGAATTCAATGTTGCGAACATGAGGTAACCTCACTTTAGTACTTTTCCCTTTGTTCAACCGTACTTTTTCAAGAGTTCTTATTTTATTCAACCTAACTGATTCGTACTTACAAGAGAGTATTGATTTATCTATTTCACCGAAAACTCACCGATAGTTCCTTTACAGAAGTTCCCATTTCTTTATACTGGAAGATGAATTTGGTCACCGAGTCGATGTGCTCCCAAAACACCAGAGATCGTTCACGGATATAGCATCTCAGATCTGTATACGAGAGTCTGTTTTCGTGGAATAGGGTCGTCCTCTTTAAGTTCTGAATAATTTGTTGGCCAAAATTAACAAGAGTTTGCAATTCTTCGGCAAGGAGTTTATGTTGATGGGAGTCCAGGACTTGAGAACTTGCAGTCTTAATGGCATAGAAGACTTTAAAAGCATTCACGACAAAGTATTCATGGGCATGATGGCTGTCAGTTAGCGTTAGATTGTTAAGTTCCTCTCTCATTGTCAACAAAGCCATTCTGGTATAGCATTTCGTGGCATCGACGAGATTACCATAACTTCTACTCGAATTCTGCCAGCCATCCTCGCAAGGAGCATTATTTATAATGTCATTTGTTCGAGACCACTCTTTCATCGAATTTGAACTTCTGTTTCGAGATAAACACCTCGTCAATGATCTGTTAACGAGTCTTGTCAACGCAAGACCCTTTTGAGTATTTATTGATGTTTTCGAAGTACACAATGAACCTTGTTCTTCATTTACAATATTCAACTCATTGGTAGAAGGTAACATCTCGGAGCTTCCAAGTTTCTCAAAGATCACATCCGATGGAGACGTTGAAATTGCATTGTTACTCTCCAAAGATAGTACTTCGGGCTTCCCTTTTCCATCCTCTTCAGGTTTAAAATGTTTACGAGACTCTCTATTCTCGTTTCCATACCCACTCGATTCAGTGGTTAATTCTTCTACGTTACGTTTTCGCTTCATAGACACTATTCCTGCTTCAGATCTCTCGTTGTCTTCCAGATTAGACGTCAAGCTATTCGGTTGCTTTTTCAAGGGAATGCGCATTCCATTCTGGAATAAAATAATGCATCGAGCACTGTTGCTGCGAACCAACTCCTGCGATGCCCCCTGGCATGCCTCGACAGTGCCCGAAGCAACTACACTTTTTCGAGGTGCATTCAGCCCACACGAAGAGGTTATTTTAACGTCCTGCCTCTCCTTTCTCTCTTTGCAGTTCAGCATACCGACATATTTATTCCACTCTTTTTTCACATCGCTAAAAGGTAGCTCACTACGCTGCGATTTCTTCTGCTGGCTCTGAGCCACCTCGTCGTCACTTTTATGCTTTGCAACACAAACCCAACTCTTCGTACTAAGTTCATCCTGCGATATGGCTTCGCAGTCTTTAACGCAAGCTAGATCTGTTGACTTATCCTCTTCTATTTTCTTCCAGGCTCCGACATTCTGCGTGGAAACTTCTTGAGTGTTGGATTTAGTTTGAAGTCTCGCTATGCCTTCGTTACGACTATCCATGGCAGAGAGGAGACCATGATATCTCTGAGCAATCCTGACGTAGACTTCATCTTTCTCACCCAGTTTAGGGTCCAGAGTGATGATTTGTTCTGGAATCTCCACGTCGAATTCCAGCCTGTTTGCAGAAACAAAGTCCTGCATGAAGACTACGGTGCCACCAGACACTGGAAAGGCTTCTATGTGCTTAACGTTGCTCCCATCGACTTCATCGAGGCCAAATTGCAGAGACACCGAAGGATTTTCCACTTTCCCATTGACGAGGTCAGAGAGGATTTTGAAAGCCTCCGTGAAGCACTCGTAAGGCCACTTGGTCTGAAACTTGTGGATGTACCCAGGACTCAGCTGGTATTGCGAACAGCTCATCGGTAGCACCATGCCATATTTCTTGACCGAACAAACATACTTCTTCTTTACAGACATCATCCGAGTAGACTTAAGCTTAGCAATGGCATTGCGTAGTAGCGATTCAGGGTACTGCTGGTAGATTTTGAAGAGTTGATGAGCCCAGGAATTTCGGTCCTTCGAGCAGCACATGGAACTGTGGATGATGGACATGACAACGGAGGAGTATATATCACACACATTGTTCACATCACCGGAGTGTACAAAATGGTTCGATGGTTTAACCGGTCTCTTCAGGGAGTAGAGAAGAGCGAATTCCTCCGCAGTTTTCGGCGCAATCATCGGCACCTTCGCTTCTACGTGAGAGATCTTGTAATACTTCTTAGCGATGTAAGCCACTAACTCTTTAAATACTTTGTTCACCTTTTTCTCACACTCGACAGGGTCCGAATAGCTCTTTCGAATTTTGTCAGCTATCCCACCGAAGCGTTTAGTGACGTATATATTTTGTTTTATCTCTTCTAAGCACAGAGCTACACTTTTCACCGTTTGTGGCTTCCGCAGCATGTACTGAAGCCTTCTTTGACATGCTTTGGATGTTTTATTGAACGACGTGGAGGAATATGTGCGAAGGACGTCGCGAATCGAGGGGAACGAGATTAATTGTCTTCGGGGGTTTGGAAACAAATACATCATCGCCACTTTGCACATCAGCAAGATGTTGTCTTCATGCGAGTCCCAGTCCACTCGAAGCTTATCCATTCTCCGGAGGGCACTATAATCCACTTCATCGTACTTCACTCTGGACCTAACCTTGCGTTTTCGAGATGTAGGCTTCTTCAAGGTCTTCTCCCTTTCAGCCTTGGATTTTTCGTGTTCCAAGGTGGACACTTCATCGATACAAGTGTCGGATTGGTTGATTGAATTTATCTCCGACTTGGCATTAAGAGTGGGTTTCAGGTTCTGACTCAAGCTCAGCCTCCTCTGGAACTCAGGGAAGTAGTTGATAAACTTTTTGCTTTGCCTTCTCTTCAGGTAAGTGAGAAATAGTTCTTCCACACTGAGAGAACTATTTTTTCTAACATGTTTCGAAGTTATGTCGAGATCTGTTGTCGATGACCTGGCAGTGACGAGATTTTTTAGCCTTTCTATCTCTTGTTTCAGACCCTGAGACAGGAAATCTTTGCTCTTCAGGGTTAGAGGATCTTCTAAATGCATTTCGCAAGATTTACACTTCACTTCGTACCAGTACTCTTCGATGATCTTCGCTGTGTTGTAGATGTAGGGATACTCCTTAGACTTTTCATCGCAGTGAGAGTTGACGGGTGGTGAAATCTCATCTGGAAGGTCGTATCGGTGTACTAGATAAATGAATTGCTTAGATTCCTCCAGATTTTGTGGGTCTAGATGAGGTCGAATTAAGCCGGCAGTACAGAGATGTGCGACAGTCTCGTACACGCTGTGTTCACGACTTTCCCGAGAGAGAAGGAATTTCTTCATCCTTGCTGGTAAGTCTCTGAGTAGTACGTGTCTTTCGATGGGGTCTCGAGTGTATTTCTTCAGTTCCGTCTCGCCCAAAGTCATTCCACGAACCTTTAAGTATATTGACAGAGGGATGCGCATAAAGATGTCTCGAGCGAGACCCCAACCAGGAGGCCGTGCTAAAACGATAAATTTATTTTGATTTCTTTGTACCTAATCTGAAAACACTAGCGAAAAATGCAGGAAAAATGCCATACCTTTGTTACACTCAAGTGCAAAAAGTACAATTAACTCGAACAGATTTATTAGCTTACGAAGTTGTAATAGGACTTACCCTCATACTTTGGTAACGGAGGAACAAACGTCTTCCAACTAACATCCGGTTTACAGAAAGTGCTCAATTCAATATCCGCGTCAGAAAATTCGTCCACAATGCGTTTATAACACTGACTGGCTGCGCGTTTGTTTCTAGGATGGTCGTATATCAAATAATGCAAATATGAATACAGGACTTGCATACGTCCTAACCTCCGACCGAACTCATAGTTCATGCCTAGATGCTAAAAAACGAAAAGAATCTTTTGAAAACTATTTTGACAACGTTACGTTAGGTTAATGTCGCTACGCTTGACGCTGAAATATAATCTGCGAATAATGTACTTACAAAATCAAGTTGAACGATGTAATCACTTAACGAAGCCTCCGATGCTTTAGTATCTTTTTCATTGTCAGACTCATGGAATACATCGGAGGTAATAACTGGTGGCTTGTGGTCAGTGGAAACTTCCGTAGTGACAGTATGTGCTTCCGAAGAGCCCAGAAAGAGTCTTAACTTAGCACGCTCCAAGGCAGATTGTATGAAGGGATCGTCGATGCCAACACTCGGGTCACAGATGAACGTCAAATGCTTCTTCTTGTTCTCGATGCTTAGTGTGAATTCTATGTTTTTTATTATATTGTCATTGGCCAATCTTCGCAGTAGCCTTGTTAACGACTTCTTATCGATCTTGACGTTATAACCTTCCTTATCCTCTTCCTCTTGTATCATCTGTAATATCATTAAATATATTTTACATTCCATACATCTAATTACTTAAGGGGGTATTCTCAAGGTTTTGATCGATCGAGTCATTCTATATGGAAACTACTTTTTACCTTCATAAACTTGACGACGTCATCGATAATCTTGTACTCCTTGACTGCAGAAATGATGATATTAGCTCTTTTGAGAAGACGATAAGTGATGCTCGGTGTTTTTTTGTTCCTGTCTGTCTGCAATTGCTCTAAGCGACGTATCACACTATTCTCCAACCGTCCCTCCGTATCGAGTTGAAAAATATTAGCTTTCATTTCCACGCTGTCAATAGTGGGAACACTTTTCACACTGCCAGCAGCGTCATTATACGACACATTGTTACCAGATTTTAGATTCACCGAAACAAAGTCACTAGGCTGTAAATCCGTGGAATTCTCTGAGACTTTTTTAAAGTAGCGGCTTAGATTACAACCAGTGAGTCTATACTTGTTCTGCAGGAAGTTCATACGATATCTTCTAAGGATTCTGCGCACTACACTGAAAGTTTGCTGTTGAGTCTTGACTCTTTGCTCGAAGTCATTATCCTGCAAATCACACTTCACTGGAAACGAGCCTTTCTCACCCTCAGAGTTGACCATATTCGTAGGACTAATCGTCTTTTGACTATATGAAATGTTTAAGTCGTGTGATATCATCTCGGTGTCTTCTGGCTCGACCTTCTTTGTCAACTCCTTAATCTTGGACACCTCCTCGTGTAGTAACTTCCTTATGCTACTGTTCTTCTCATATAACTTCGAGATGTACCGGGTGAGTCTTTGTCTACCTTCATCTTTCATGTAGCTGGCTACAATGTTGGACTTTGAAAGGTTCCTCAGAATGGTTCGAGAGTGCAGCTTTGTAATCCCCAGGTGCCTTCCGAGCTCCAACTGGGACATTCCGCTGGCCCCTCTGCTGGCAATTAAATTGTTTGCCTCCTTTGTGAGTGGCACATTAAACATCTGCTCCGATATTTCTAATTCTGAAAAGAATTGTGTCTTATCTTTCTATTTTATAACTTTTAAAAATAGAATATTTTTTATTTTACTTTCCAATTTTTATTTTACTTACCGACTGGATGGTCCTCCTCATTAGGTGCATCGTTATTTGAGTCCACCAATGCAGGGTCAGGTTGTAACAACTGAACAACTCTTTTGATTCTCTCTTTCGTCTCCTCTTTTTTACGAACTTTCTTTCTCTTGGAATTACTCGAAGAGTGCACTGGTTCGATAACCTTTTTCTGTATTAATTTTTAATTAATGATCAGTGAATGGTAAAACATCGGCTTAGAGTATGTATGAAACAGTAAAATGTTGGCTGGGTACAGTGTGCGAATAATAGGAATCTACTAGGTGAAAGAAGGTACTAATTACTTACGAAGCCAGTTTTAGCAACTTTCTGAAAAAAGGAGGTTTTGAGCAGCTTTTTGATCGAATGACCGATTTCTAATGCTCCCCTAATTTCATCGTACTCTGCCGTGTAGTTGTTCTTTGATTTCAAAATCTCAATCATATTTTCTGCCAAACGAACTGCCTTTGGTTTCCTATCCACAAAGAATCTAGGCAGATGTATTACACTGCCACTACAGCAATGCTTGGATGTTTTCTGGTGATGTATCTGCTTTGTAATAAGTTTATGTCCAAATAACAGTTTCTTCCGATAAAATAGCGTCTTCGGGTCTTCCTTTAGCAGGCCCAGACTCAATTTCCCCTGAGTGACTTCTCCGTGGTAGCGAGCTCGTCCTACTCTTTCAAGGTAACAATGTTGTTGAGAATTTAATTCCAAAATTGGACAGACATCGCTACCTAACAAGGCACAATCTCTCAAGTCCTGCGAGGCTACGATAACCATTTGTTCCCCATATTTTTCCGTCACTTCGTCCAGAGTCATCGCTTTTACAAGGTTGCTCACTTCTTTCCGCACATCAAACGTCGAGCAAGATCCCTTCACACCTGTCTTAGTCTCATCGACTGGACAATGTGGATATATATCTTTTGGAACGCTTTCCTGAAACAATGCAACATGTGTATATATTTTTACAGGTAAGTGGTTAATATTCGGACCCTCAACTCGACCATTAAAAATTCATTACGAACAACAATGACGTTCTACCTTCGATGCGTTTTAAATATTAATTCTCACCGGTTCGATAACGATCCCTAAGACCGGATCAACATGTGCATATCTGTCAAGAATCACAAGTTCCTCTCTCGGTGATCCTAAATCATAGAAACTGAATTCCTTCACGTGCACACAGATCGACCATACTTGTGTCATAAAAGCTCCATTTAGAGATATCGAATCAGGAATCCTGACTTCGAGTCGTCGTCGCAATGCTGCAATAATAAAATGTCAATTTACTACAGACGTGAGAACAGCGACGAATTACATTATCAACGTGTTATATCCTTAAAACGTCATCGTTAATAAATTTATACGCACTCAACTAAAATGTCTATAAATCATACGTTAAGAAAATACCCGGCAAATTATCCAGCTAACCTGTCAAAGTAATACCATCCAAACCTTCCAGTGCCACTTCATCGATCACTATATCAACTAGATTCATTGTCGAAGTGTACATTGTGGGCGTTAATTTTCTTACGCTTTAAATAACAAAATGAAGTTGTTATTTACAACTCGATACAACAGTTACGTGTACGTTTTCCGGTCAGCTGATATCTACAGAAATTCGTTCCGTTCTTCTTCGTTTTCTTTTTACTTCAAGCCGATATTCAAACTTTCGATCACGTCTCGCGACAGAGCGAACGAGAGGTTTTAATTCGCTGGAGATAATATAATCCGACATTTTCTCTGTCGCGCGACACAGTTGGCGTAATGAAATATCGGCTTTACTGTAAACCATGTAACGTCAAAACCCGTCGACCAATCACGAGGCTCGTTTGGGCAAGATGGCGGCCGAGCCAGGCCCGCGACCAATCAGGAGGCTCGCTTGGCCAAGATGGCGGTCGAGCCGGGCTCCATGCACAACCCACGATTCAAAGTACTCTGGTGGGGTCTTAAAACAAAAACAAACGAGACGCGAGCCCCTGTAGTCGACTCTCGACAGACGCGGAAGGCGTGCGTATGACATTGACAGCAGACGACGCTAGATTTTGACATCTCGGTCGACTCGACGGAGCGACAAAGTGTTTCGAGTCTTCCGAAGGAGAACCGACCTCAGAAGTTTCCCTTCAGGATGTCGTCGCCTTGCCAAGTGGTGGGTGGAAAGACCGGTCGATAATCCTTTTATTTCACCGCTACTCTCGCGTTCCGCGGACCATCTACCGTGGCATCTGTCCCACTGAGTGCGTCGCGTCGACGACGAACAATCAATCAGAAAGCCGCTTAACCTTAAACGTCATCACGACGCAGTTTGAATTGTTCTTAATCCTCGCCGCGTTGACGCGCCGCGCTCTGTACGACACCCGAGGCGCTCAGAGGAATTTAAAGTACGAAACGAAGTTAAGCGACATTTACGGCGCTCGGAATATTCCTTTCTTGTCTGGACATATCCCCGAGACAATGACGCACGATGTACAATGCAACAATGCATCCCAGACGTTTGAAATCCGCCTAGCGTTATCATAAACCTTAAAAAATATCAATACGATGCATTTGTATGCGACGTACAACATATCAATACATATCGATAACTTGAAAAAAAAAAAGAATAGCCATATACGTTTATACGACTTCACAGACAAATGTTGTTACAGAAGATTAACCGTAAACTCTACAAGTGTATGCTAAACGATTAATAACAATGTTCTTGGTATTTACCACGTGATTGTACGAACTAAGCGGCCAGTAAAACGACCCTCGCTAAATGTTAACCCGATCGATGCGACTATAAAGTCAATCTCGATGAAATATCAAACACGTGCTCGCAATTTGCATGAATTATCAAGGCGTATGTTGCGCCGCGTGATACCTAGATTGCGTCCCTACACTTTCGGTAAGAAACCTGAATACCCGGGGCAAGTAGGTTTTGCATTAACAATTTGCACAGGGCCGAAAGAATTTGGAGAATTTTCCGGATTAATATCCCGACAAACAAGCGCGTGACGTGCACGGAGGATTTATTAATAGATCAATTGGCTTTGGAGCCTTACTACTTGCCGAGACTATGGCTTCCTCTCCACGCTCTTATTAAATGCAATTTATCCTCGACTGGTTTGACCAGCACTTTTCACTTAGATCAAATGAAAAGGCGCTAAACTATTATTGCTATTTTTATTAACGCTTTTACTTGATAATTGATCGTGCATATTGATTTCAGTTGAAGAGCATAGGGCCGAAGCTGGTGCCGTTCTTCAAAAGCGTGTCCGTGTACTTCGTCCTGTTGGCGGAACAGCCATCATTGCTGACAGTGTGCTTCAAATGTTTGCCGATCATCAGCCTCATAGTTTTCGTCCTCCTACACGGAATCAATCTGTCGAAAGAGTAAGCAGATGTGTTTGGCCGAAAATAAACCCAGGAACGCACTCGTCGGTTCATTTGAAATTCCGCCACCTGATTATGGAGGCCCTAACGAAGGTCCCTCCCCCCCTTGAAGTTTCATTTCTTCTAAATGTAATTATATGCACACACATTTCTTTGTCACGCAATATTGTAGAACAAAATTTAAATTTCTTGGGTATCGGGACCCTTTTTAGGGCCTCTTCCTTCACGAGGCAAAGTTTCAAACAATTCGGTGCACCTAGATGCCGAATAGTTCGCCTCGGGCGGCGCTGCGGTCGCCCAGCTTCCCTTACGCGCACTCCTCGGAAGAGCCCATTCCATTTCTGCTTTTTCCTATTTTTAGGTACGCATTTTCTCGAAGAATACTAACAGGATTGGTCTTCAGTTGCATCGGCGATGCCTTGTTGGTCTGGCCCGGCTTATTCCTTCCCGGAATGGGAATGTTCGCCTTGGCCCAGGTTATGTACATCTCTGCGTTCGGTTTTTCGCCTCTGAACCCGAGCCTTGGAGCGGTGCTCTACACCCTCTCTTCCCTGGGCAAGTTTCTCATATTCTTTTCTTCTAAACATGGAAACAGGGAGCTTCAGGAAGGTCTTAACGTGGTTTTTTCTTTCATTCCTAGTCATCTGCAGTTTGATGCCCGGCCTTAATGGTGTCCTCGCGATTGGCGTTCCGTTTTACACAATCCTCTTGACCACGATGACCTGGAGGGCAACGGCGAGAGTGCAGTTCTTCGGGGTAAACAATTTTTATCCAGTGATAAGTATCCTCGTTAAACCATCCTTACACTTGTTATCAAGAACGCTTCGATGTTTCCAACACTCTGAATGAAATATTGGACAAGTGAAACGCGCCTTTCTCAAAATATGCACAATTTGCCTTGAAGAAACTTCGGCCACGTGTATACTGTCATTCCTAACAGTCTATAATCCTAATGTCTAACTTCAGGAGCCGTGGACGTGGACGAAACTGTGCAGCTGCCTTGGTAGCATATCCTTCGCAATATCGGACACCCTGATCGGCTTTCATCATTTTTATAGACCGCTCCCTTACGCTCAGGTACTTATTAAACTGGCTCATACCTACTGACGGTATTAAAACTACCCATTTGTTGAACAAGTACTAGAAAGAAATGAAAGATAATGTTTAAGTACATTATAAGCGGCTGAAAAATCGGCATTATCACTCTGTTAATAGATACGAGCCCCGTTGAGCCTCCTTTATCTTGGGAGAGTTGCACGTTATCGATCGGCATTTTTCTACACACTTTAAAGAAAGAGAAAGTCACCGATACTATCAGTTTTCTTTTTTTTTAGATATCCATTATGCTGACGTACTACGCGGCGCAGTTGGGCATTGCCTTAAGTGCAGTGGACTCTAGGGATAACAGGCAATTGAAGGTGAAATAAGATTCCAACTTCCTCGTGGGAGGATCATGAGTGGACGTCTTCAACGAGTGAACGACGAATCAATCATTGACGTGGTGTTGCATTTCTTGAGTAAGGGGTTCGAACACTGCCATGATTCGCTCCGACAGGAATTAATATCTTATCTAATGTAGGTCTAATGTTGAAACAGCGGAGCGTACATTATATGTAATCTTAACAATTATTCTTTGAATAAATTAATATAGTTTAATAATACGGTGTCTCTAGGCGTTAAGTAGAAAAGAGGTATACAATTTGTACGCATCAATACTGTTATCTTAGGTGTCTTGGAAACGAAACACTTTTCATCGAAGAGTTAGATCCTCTTGAAATATCTAGGCTTCGATTAATCTTTATCATTCCTGCTTACCTTGGTCTTCTTGCTGCAACCGGGTTTCTGCTTCGCTCGTTTATTGCTCGACGTGGTCGGCACTTCTTTGTCGTTCCCAAATTCGTATTTAACAGCTAAGCGTTCTCTGATGAACAAGCCCTTGATCAGTTTCCTCCAGTTGCCGTAAACGCGCTTCTCCCTTTTCTCCTTGGCACGTTTCCTCGCCTCGACCTGCTCGACTTCCCATGCTTCGCGCAAAGTGTCTTCATATTCCGAACAAACCACGTACCCTTCCAGAGCAGGAACGGCTCCCATACCTCCAAAATTAAATCCAACCACAGCAGGCGCACAATCGATGTCCAACTTTCGTGCGATGCGGTTCAAACCCGGGACTGAAATTTTCAAATAATTATTTTCAATAAAATTAACACCCTTCGTGATCTATTAACACCTTTGACGCTGTGCACTCACGGTCAATATGGACGGTTCCTTTCGGCAGCATGCACATTTTGAAAAGATCAACATTCCCATACTCGTTCCTCGGCACTTTACCATCCTTAGCTTCTGGAGGAACGTACTGCGTGGTCTGCCACTTCCCAAATATCTCTAAGGCTTGGCCTTTAACCACTGCTCCTGAAAGCTAAAGATCATTGTGCATTACAAGTTCAACGAGCCACATTTATCGATGGCAGAAATTCAATCCATCGAAGTCGAAGGTGGGATCAGAATTTTGTAATAAAGACAAATAAAGTGGAAGCTTCTTATGATACTTCATGTATTTACCTTATCGTACTTAGGTAAAGCTTTGACTATCTTGTACGGTTCTTGAGCAGGTTTCACCACTCTGGCTTTTCGCAGCCAAGTTTCTCTGGAGCAAAGCGTGTGTACGCAGTGACGGGAGTAAATGGCTTCCCCGTTGTGTAAGTGACCTAGTGGCACGCAATCTGGTGGATACAATGCTTCGTACTTCAACAAATGTCTGGCCAGCGCATACAAAGGGTGTCCTTTGCATTCCCCTACGGTCTTTGGAAGCGGTTGCTCCAATTCTCTGAAACAGAATTTCTTATTATGAACTAAAACAGGTACTATTAATACGTGTATATATTCCCATTTGGTAGTTTTTCAATCATCTATCGCCAAAATAACGATAATTAAGTACCTCTGTAAGAGCATCTCATCTTCGGCTCTAGTAAGAGCGGTTTCCCTCTCTTTCCAGTAGGACAGAGTTTCGCTCCACCATTTCTCATCGACACGCTGCTTTCTTGTAACCGTAAGCCATTGAGGACAGTACCTCCTTGTGACGTCTCTCAAAGTACTCACTGAATTCCAGGCGACTACATACAAAACAGGACTCGCTGCCTTTTTCTGTAAATTTAAAAAAAAAAAATGACACTGAAAAATTTATATCGTCCAAGAGTTTCTTTTTAGCTAAATAGCCCGATCGTGAAGTAGGGGAAGCTTCTGTCGCAACATCATGAGCATGACATATTTGTGTACTTACATAAATTTCGGAGACACAGTGAATCTTTCCATCGGGCACGCTAACGCTGATCCAGTTTTCTTCCGACTCCAGATAAACCTCTGCCCAAATGTCGTAAGTCGTCCTTTTTTGATCTTGCGATTCATTCTCATCGTCGGATGACAGCAATCGCCTATCGATTTGGTCTTTGGACTTCTGGGCCTTGGAATTCGCGTTTTTTCTCTTCGCAGGCTGTTTGTTCTTCCCGGATCCCTTTTCCAAAGTATCAGCAGATGGCTTTAATGCGCTGAGTTTAAGGCCTTGTTTCTTTTTCGGTAGAGGCTCCTCCTCCTCCGACGTTTCTGTATCACTGCTCTCGGTATTCATTTTCTCGACTGCTTTACTTGGAGCTTTGTTAGTGGTAGCTCTCGACCTTAATACTCTTCCACTCTCTACTTTATCATTTGAAACTGTTTTTTGTGAACTTGAAGCATTAGAATTGAGCTTATCGCTTTTTAATGCTTTCAAATTAATGCCTTTCTTTTTTGAAGTATCCTGCTTTGAGGTTTCGGCACATTCTTGAGAATCAGATTTTTCAACGGTAGCTTTCGACTTTCCATGAAGTATCACAGCGGCTTTCTTCCTTGCTTCCACTTTAGCACTCAGTCTTGCACTGAGACTGTTTTCTGGTACAATTTTCTGAGGACTTTCCTCAGATTTCGTGTTTTCCACTTTTTTGGACTTATCTTTTGAATTTTTACCCCTCCGGTTTGCAGGTTTTTTCCTTTCCTCTTCGATCTTAACCTTGCTGGAACTTGACTTTTCTTCCTTTTCTTTAGATGCTCCCGGCATCGGCAACAACTCTTCTTTATGAACTTTCAAAGGTGGAGGATAAAGAGACACGACCAGTCGACAATTTATACCCATTCCTCTCAACATCGCAATATACAACAAAACGAGTTCCATATAACTCTTAACCTTTCTTTCCTTCAATCTGATCAGTAAAGTATCTTTATTAATACCTTCAACTTTCTGATCATTTTCCATTACAAAAATACTTTTAAACCATTTTGTAAACTTCTCTAAGTACTCTAAGTCCGCACGATTTTTTGGATAATTATGAGCTGCTACAAAAGACAAGGCAACGGAAAGTATCTCTGTATCGTTCACTTGCCGATTCAAATGAAAACCATACGCGAGCCAACAAAGGAGACCTACTTTATGTATAAATACTTGAATCGATTTCCGCCGTTGATTCAGTTTATTCCTTAGCTGCGTCTCCAAGTCCAAATGCTTTCGCCTTCTACCTAATATAAGTTCAGAACTGGGTAGCGTTATCTTAACTCCTTCTTGAGGAATGCGATATTCAGCTGGTGGTTTCTCCTCATCTAACGATTTTTCAACATCCTTGCTCTCCTTTAGATTAGTAGACGTCGAGACACTACTTTCGCCTCTGGTCAAAAGGTCCTCGATCTCTTCCGCTAGGATGTTTCCTTTGACTTCGACCAAGGACTCGTTGGGATCAGTTCTTGCCTGCGATGATCTGAAGGAAGACTCGTAACCTGAAGAGTTTTCCGCGTATTCAATGTTTTGGACATTCTCCAAATTTTTCACAACCTGAGCGAGCAATTCCGCAGACGTGGCCTCGTCGTGGATGAAGTCTTCATCCGACTCATCCGAGGTATCGTTGGTGTCGACTGTTAGGTTAGGTTTCGCAGTGCTCCCGAAGAAAGACGAACTCAAGTTGATCTTACTTGGCGACACGAGGAATTCGGTGCTACTATCGGAACTTTCACTGTCAGAGCTTGTGCCCATTATTATTTCATCCGTTTGCAAACTGTCAATCGATTAACACAACTCTCACATCGTGATCTAACTGATAAACTTCGCAGTTTTAATTTACGAGAACCGCGCGACACGCAGCGTCAAATGACCGGAAACGCAAGCGTCAGAAAACGGAACTACAGCGACCACGTGACAACAGAAACGGCGGGAAAATACGAGGCAAAAATTCAGAGATTACAACTTCTAAAACCATTTCAAAAGAATAGAGATTAGTTTTAAATGCGGTATATCTCGCGAAGAAGACCGAGAATTGACAAGATATCAATAATTGCATTCCCAGTGAAATATGGCAATTTCCTTGGTCATGTTTTTCTTCTTAACGTTACGTTAAATTCCCAAAATGTAAGTGAAATAATAATTGCAAATAACCGACGTTTCGCAAATACAAAATACTCCGTTCCTTTATATAGACTTATTAGTAGGCTCGATCGCATCCAACGACCTATTTATTGTAACGATTCACATGTTATGAAATTATTAACCTGGTTATGCTTCCGCGTAGGCTCCAGGAGTTATTCGACGATATTTTCCGAACATTTTAGTATATGTTCGTGCAACGAGCCACTTATTTTTTGTAATCACCCATGTGGTTAAAAGACGTATTACTCGAAAACGTAATCACTGATTAATTTAACGAAATCATACGGTTAAACTACATGTACCGTGACTAGCTTTTGCTCTTAATGTTCTGCGAATGTTCACCCTCCACTTGCTGGTCCCTCGATTTTTTTTCCTTTTCATCATCTTCATCTTCTTCCTCTTCATCATCGTCCTCGCTAGACGTATTCTCGTCATCGTCTTCGTCGTCATCGCCATCGTCGTCACCGTCATTTTCATATGTGCAGCTATTGCTTTCATTGCCTGTAAACATATTTGGTGATTCTTTCTGATAAATATTATAATTACATCAACTCACCATAATAACTCCTATAATCGCCCTCTTCGTCGGACTCGTAAGTGTCTCCTTGATTTTGTCTGCCGAATTTGTGGGTACGAGCTGAGAACATAATATCGCAAGCATTAACCCTGCAGTTCTGAATAAATGGGTCGACTTAATGAAACCTGTAAAGCAATTTGTACTTACTAGACATGCTGAGATCCTTGGTTTGGGAAGTATCGTAGTTACATTTCGGACAAGGTATGGCTTTATTCTTCTCATACTTAAAACCTTTTCTACGGACGTGGTCTTCGCAGTAGCACGTTTTGCATCTTAAGCAAGAGTATTGACCCAGTCGGTTGCAAGACTGACCTAAAAAAATAAGCAGTAAACTGTATTAATACTTCATCATAGTGTATAAGAATTCATCGACTATTACCATTACTGCCTATTAAATTGAAAATAAATATCGTAATCAAAACATGTTGTCAAAGATATTCAGATAATTACATTTAAAATTCTCTGCTTCCAATATTTGACAAGATGCTTGGTGTTCAAATTGGTCATCTTCGCAAAGGAAGCAATCGCAGAACGAACATCTAAATATTCGTCCACCATGGTCCCATACTCCACGTTCGCATTCCTGGCAAATGGCATCCATCAATGGGCAAGTACAAGCATGGGTAGTGAGACAACGCCTTCCGTGACATACCCATGCCTCGCAGTGATCACAAATGGCTCCCTAAAATGGACAGTAACGCATTAATTCCTAATTTGTATAATTGCCAATTTTTAACACATTAACGCGACATGAAAAGGGCATTTAAGGAGTTGATAGTCTATCATTTAATTTATTTTGCTTATATTAAAAAGTCTATCATACCACCATGTTTAATCCAGTCGTAAACACACCCGCATGCTTGATGACGCAATCTCCTGTCTTCAACATACATTTCATTTTCCCGCAATGAGCGCATATTGGCAAGCGCTGAACATTCTGGCAGAAGTAACAGAAAGCACGGCTCTTCTGTTTCTTGTTACACTTATCGCACTCCTACGTTAAACAGATTACAGGGAAATGTAATTCACATTGGTGCGTTGCAAAATTGTACATAATACAAACCATAATCGCATTCGAGGGAAATTTGGCCAGATCTATCTGGTCCTTCGCTGATCTAATTTCCCTCTGCCTCAGTTTCTGCTTCTCAGCCTTGCGCCGCTGGCCTGTCTTTTTCTTCGGCATCTTTCTAAGCTGCGATACACAGTAATTATTTTAAAATTCCTATTTTTAAGAACTCAGACCCTAAATCTAAATTACTAGGTTAGGTACGCCAGCTTTTAATAAGTCTGCCCCTTGCCTTTTTAACGTCATTTAAAGTGGAGCACTGTCTAATATTCCAAGATTTACGAAGATATAAAGAACAAAACTGTTAAAATATTTTATCAATGCTTCATTTCAAATTATTGATACTTACAATTAAAACTTCAGGGACTGATCATGCGGCGATCACTGGTGTTACACCATTTGCTCCATCTTTAAAAGACTACGTTGATGTTTCCAGCACAAATTAAATACACGATTTATTAATACCGTTTACGCTTACGGAACTCGGCGAAAACATCTCCATTGTTTTAGAAATCCGCATCCTCCACCAAGGGCAGCACAGGTCAATCGCGCAACCCTGCCCGTGAATAACCTCGCAACTCATCTCTGATACGTAATAGACTCCAAAGTAGCCGGTGTAAATGCATTAGAGTCACTGTGTAAATTAAGCCAGGCTGGATCCAGTTTAATTTCTTTTTATAAGTGTATTCATTCACATGTGTTGAACTGCTACGAATTCGACGTTTACCATATGGGCTGTCAGAAGCTGTCAAAACTCTTCGAATTTTAATTTATCAGTAATAATTCCCGCAACGTAAAAAATGGTTCCGAGGTTGAAGATTTTATCCAACGTTGTCGAGGTATTTTTTCTACCGCAATTTATATCAGTGGTATTAGTACTGTGAAGTTAACCTAAAATATGGTATATGGGTTTCTTTAATTGGCACGTATAATTCGCTGTTAGAAAAATTATGGACTGCTCTATCGTGTCTGTTTAACCTTGAATTATTAGAATTACGATATAAGACCATGTCTTGTTTTCTTTGCAATAATATCTTGTATGATGTTTTAGCGCCTGACGAGGCTACAGTCGAGTGCTACGGGGAGACTCTATGGAGTCATGTGTGATAATACGTTAATAATATTATCATTTAGTCTAAACGTTCCGGAATGTAGTTTAGCCAATTATGACATGCTTCAGCTAAACATGCCAGTGGAGATCGACCTGTGTGGAGTTCTATTGGTAGATCAATGTGAAGAGGCCATCGTGGATGCTTTTAAGGTATTAATCGTTACTCGATATTCTGCTTTGCATATTAATTGCTTTGTAGAATTAAAAACAATGAGAAGCATACATTTTTCATGGTAATATCATTTATCGTTCCATCACATTTCAGGACATCGATGTTACGGACAATCCTCTTCTCCTTGAATATTCACTTGGTACAACAGACTTGCGGCCCTTTTTCTATATTCACCAAAAGTTGGAGCCAGCTGACAGTTTTCAGATAATAAGCGAGGAAACTATATGGGAACAGTTCAAGTATGTTAGACTGGTAGCAGGGCTTCCGATCATCACCCAAAAAGGAAACATTCTTGAGATAATTCAAGAATCTAGGAAAAACGTAAATTTATTTTACTTAATGCATTACATATAATTTTAAGAGTTAGTTAAACTACAGTGGAAATGTGCCAGCTGATCAGTTTATGACAGATTCTGTATTATGAAATGTAATATCACTCCGAAAACTGACCCATTGAAGAGGTTAGGGTTGTTAAGTAATAATTGTACAATGTACAACAATTTTCTCCTTCATAGATTGCATCTGGAAAGGCTGGATTTATTTTCCCAGGAAGCAACGTACATCTTTTAAGCAGTGACGGTGATACTAGCCCAGTATTAAGCGATGAACTTCGATATGCATCCAATAGCTCCGAGAACTCTGGAAATGGCAAGGACAGCTCCAAACGTACCTCAGCAGTAGTGGTATTTGCGTAGATACATTTTTTTTGCCAACGTGAATATTCAACCCAAAATGCAAAGCATACAAATTTATACTCCCATGTTAATCAGTTGTTTTTGTTTAGGATGTGATACAAGTGGATTTAATGTTGAAAGCATGCAAAGATAAAGTGGGCGAAGGTGACGCTCAATATGCTCCTGTCATTCAGCATGTTAAACGTAAGTCATAATTACATAGTATTTTAAAGTCGTATTAAGGTGATATGAAAGTGACACCTGAGGAATCCAAATATGTTTCAGGTGCTTTTGAGTGTCAACAATTCAACTTGAAGATCGATGCTCTTGCATTGGTAAATCGCGATGCAGATGCTGCTCATCTGTACGCAATCTTGGTTGAGTCGATATGCAGAAACTTGAAACTGATAGAGCGCTCCTTCGAGACCCAAATCGATGAAGACAATGACTGTATAAAACTGCCCGAGCCATTGCACTTTAGACCTTCGAGTCTTGGTCATTTCTTAACGTTAGCTTATCCAGTTGGGACAGACGAAGAGGAGTTACGTAAGTCAATAATACAGGAACGCAGTATTCATAATTAATAGAGTTGTAACGGAAGTTATTAATAAAAAATGTAACGCAAGTCGTCTAATTTCAGGTGAATATCGTGAAAGCTTGCACAAGGTTTTGGATCTAGACATGACCAGGCCTTTTATTCGCAGAGGGAATGCTGTAAGATTTTCCACAGATGCAGGCAAAAACGATCCGCTGGTAAATCCTCACGAAGCAATATCCACAGGTACTGGTTTATTTTAAATCGTGATGATTAACTGTTAGCTTCGGGAAGTTTTAAGTTTTGTACCGTACCAAAGCATTTTATATAAATATCTGTCAGCTTCAATGTCAGATGGGAAGTTATCTATCGTGGATGGACTGTACTCTTATCATCATTACATGCAAGATGAGTTTGATGACAACGGATGGGGTTGTGCCTACAGGTCGCTTCAAACCATAGTTTCTTGGTACAGGTAAAGTATTTTCTATCAAAAGTACACTAATTTTAAGAAACACAATTAATTTCTTTTACCTACTTTAAGGTTATATGAGTGATCTTCATGAGGGGTAATGATATTCATTCTTATATAAATTGGAGCGTGCTTCAGATTTCAGGGCTACACGGACAGACCTATTCCCACTCATCGTATGATCCAAAAATGCTTGGTCGACATTGGAGATAAGCCTTCTTCGTTCATTGGCAGCAGACAATGGATAGGTTCAACTGAAGTTGGGTTTGTATTGGAATCTATGTTTGGCATCAGCGTTAAAGTATTATGTGCCTCCAGTGGTGAAGAGATGCCAATGTTTGCTTCGGAATTACATCGGCATTTTCAAACTCAAGGAACTCCAGTAATGATTGGTAAGTATTGGCTTTTGTTACATCCAGCAAAAATGTGCCGATTTACTTGTCTATGGACACGAGCTATTATGCCACTTCACGGTTATAATACTTCAACGGAAAGAAAAAAAATGTTTTTTTTCTTAAATAGGTGGCGGTGTTTTGGCCCATACGATTTTAGGAATTTACAAGGAAAGTTTAACCGACGTAAAGTTTCTGATACTAGATCCACATTACACGGGATCGGATAATTTGAATACGATTATTAATAAAGGCTGGTGTAGTTGGAAGACGAAAGATTTCTGGAAGAAGGATGCATTTTATAACATGTGCCTGCCCCAAAGGCCAGTGTGTACCTGACGAGGCTCAAAGGTTAATTTTATCTCCGATAAGATATTTTAAAATCCTTTTATGCGTATAGTTGCTTCTTTATAATATTAAAATATTTATTTGTAAAATGGTTGAAATATCCTGTTAATAGAGTCATCGATTTTCCGAGTAAAAACAAATCAGGAGGGACGACTCCGTGCAAGGAAACATTAATCCCCAAATGAACTTAATCGTTTCCTATTTTATATTAAAACATATTTCACATACAATTAACAATTATACTTCTCGTTAACATCGTGTTAACACAAGTCTTGTCATTCATCACATTCCGCTAGCTGACTTCTGTAATAATTGCGCGAATCGATTGGTGATAAGCAGAGATACATCTATGAATCTGTCAACGCAGTTGTTTAAACACGTCTCGGTTCGTCCATCTAATTTGCTGCCAGGCTTGTCTACGCACTTCTCCCAACAGAAATCATTAAATTCGTGTATCTGAAACATTTAATTTAGTTCATTTAAGTTCGTACACATTCTTGGTAGACAATTTCGTTTAGAAATATTTATTATTCAAAGCATCGCACGTGGGGCAGTGATGCAATTTCAGTGTTGAGGTTAGGTATCAAGTCGGGGAAAAAATGGTAATCACCTGTGCATTGAACTGCGCTTTCTGTTTCTCAATCATCAAAAATTCCTGCAATTCAGCATCACCGCCTTTCGCCTTATTATCGTCATCCAAGCTCGAACCGGAAAATAAGTCCGACATCATAACTTCGTTTCGGATATCGAGAATTAACTGTATATATTAATCGAATTGTTCACACAGGAAAGTCGTAACTAGATAGGAGTTTTTTTAAACACCGATTACAGTATATTTTTATACATGTACTATATCCCAGTTTAAGTAAACCGGCGTTATACTAACTGGAGTTAACCGTTGTGTAAACTGTGTTTACGTTATCAAATCGGTTTCATTTAACAAACGATTTATGAGGCTAAATCCTGGTTTATACTTCTGATTTAGTCCTGTTTCGTCAGCTCAACTTAAACCCAGTTTAACTAATCTACAGATTGAGCGGCCAATCTGAACCTCATATACGCGAATCGTCGCTCCGTTGGTGATAAAACAGCCTTAATCCTAGATCCATGTTCGCGTAGTCGCCGAGGCGCGGTGCGCATGCGCGACCCCCTTTCCCTACCGGGTCTGCCCGTCTGGTACTTTTGACAGTTCCAGACAGGTCGCGCGTTGTCGCGCGTGCAGAAAGCGAGCCGAAGCTTCCAGAAGTCCCGCGTTACGAGCGACCGGTCGTTAAACCCCTCGAAGCGCGGCGAATCTCTAACCGGAAAAGTGATCAGCCAAACGAAGAGAGGCGAGGACCCCGGCATGGCCGCGATACGCGCGGCGACGTCTTTCGACGCGTCTCGCACCTGACTACGCGCGCTCCCATCCGGACGGGGATATGTAAATCGGTCGGCGCGCGACATGACGGTCCCTCGGCCTGCCTAACCTCGAAGCCTCTCCCTAGAGGAGAGCTCGCGAGTCTACCGGGCGAGTCGATGCCCCGCTGAAATATGGGAGTGCCTGCCAGGGGAGCGCTCGCGACTATCGTGGCCGCGACCGCCCTCGCCGTCTACCTCAACAGCCTCGGCTGCGGCTTCGTCTTCGACGACATTTCCGCTATCAAGGACAACCGCGACCTACGGCCGCATACGCCTCTTAAGAATGTTTTCTACAACGACTTCTGGGGCACGCCGATGCACAAGGTCTCTCTTCCTTACACGCGGACTCGCATCTTCCCTCCCGCTCAATCCCTGCTCGAAGCGTATTGATCCCCGCGGTCGGACGCGCGATCCGATCCCCCAGCCGAGCGCTCTGATTGGCCGAGCGCTCCGCCAATGGCCGCTCGATTCTTCACCCCGGTCGATACTATCGATACTATCGATGGATCGAACCGAAAGTGCGAGAATGCGAGACGGCCAAGTGGCGTCTTAAGGCGACATGAAAGGGTCGTTATATATTTATATAAAATGTAACAATATTTATAAATATTTGGAGGGTTTTTTTAATGTATGGAATGATTTTTTTATATCGATTTAATTATATGATCAATGCATGTAAATGTCCAGAGTGTCTAGAATGAATCGTGGGATGTCGTGTCATTTTGCAGGAACAATCGCACAAGTCGTATAGGCCTCTCTGTGTTCTCACATTCCGTTGGAATTACTTGATCCACCAGTTGGATCCTATGGGATACCATTTACTTAATGTAATCCTTCATGTGGGAGTGTGCTTACTTTACTTCAGGTATCGTATTCCCTCGCAATTGTATATACATCCGATACCAACGATTGGACATCTCGAATGCGACGTGAGAATTCTTTTGCAGGATCTGCTTGATGTTCTTGCCGGATTCCGCAAGTTTTGTGTCTGCACTTCTCTTTGCTGTACATCCTATACATACAGAAGCAGTAAGAATCATTGAATAACTGTGAATTTGTATAAAGGTATTCCAAACTAGCCATTTTACGTTATCTTCGTTTTCTCAGGTCACCGGTGTCGTCGGAAGAGCCGAAACTTTGTCCTCCTTGTTCTACTTAGCTGCTCTCATTACTTATACAAGATGTTGCAGAAACAAGAGACACACCGGTCTGTAAACTTTGAAGCTTGCCGATATTCCATAACGGTGCATGCACATTATAGCCTTGTGGCTCGCACCGTGTTAATATTATTATTTATCTTTTTACAGGCTGGTGGTTTCTTATACTGTCAATGTTCTTCGTGTTCACGGCCATGTTGTGCAAGGAACAAGGCATCACGGCGACCGCGGTTTGCGTTCTCTACGAGATCTTTGTCGTACAAAAGGTGAAACTTGTTTTTATCTCACGTTTTATTTCCTGTTAACAATTTTTCATTATATCTGGCTGGCTCTTTCAGGTGCGAGCTTTGGATATTTTCTTGGCAGTGAAGTCAGCCTTTGGCGGCAAGAAGATCTCACTCACTTGGTCAGGTGAAGGTACAAAACGACTGATGGCTCTCACGCTCGTTACATTTTGTCTGCTGATCCTCAGACTGCACGTAATGGGCTCGAAGTTACCCGTATTTACAAGGTAAATCTTCCTCGACGTCTTCCTTCGTTTTTTAAATATTTTTAAGGTGGGACAAAAGTGGGGTCGTCGTTTCTGAGGTAATTCAAACGCCAATCGTATCCCTGATTTCTTGCAGATTCGATAATCCAGCGTCTGTAGCGTCGACACCGACAAGACAATTAACGTACAATTATCTCGTCGCCGTCAATTTGCGCCTGTTGTTTCTGCCGATCGACTTGTGTTGCGACTGGACAATGGGGACGATTCCGTTGGTCGACGGTTTCCTCGACCCCAGGAATCTGGCGACAATAGTCACTCATGTCACGATCATCGGTTTGCTGGTGACTGCTATCTTCACTCGCAGCAGGCAAACCTCCGTCGTGCTAATAATGGTGAGTATTAATAATTCATCTTTTGAAACTTAAATAGGTGCAAATATATCCTTTTATAACTACATCCCAATTATTTTTAACTACAGAGTTTGGCCATGATGATACTTCCATTCCTGCCAGCGTCTAATCTGTTCTTCCCGGTTGGATTTGTCATCGCTGAGAGAGTCCTGTATGCGCCTTCCATGGGGTTCTGCTTAATCGTTGGCTATGGGTGGAGCATCCTCTCCGAGAAAAAGTAACTTCACTTATACATGACGTTGCACCTCCTTATACTACTTAGTGCTCTTAACGTTTATTTCGCGCCTTTCAAACTTGGTGAAATTCTCACACCTCGTTTCAGCCACAAGAAGTTGTCCTTGGTGCTCTTGTTGACGCTGTTGACCGCCCACGCCACGAAGACGTTCATGAGGAACTACGACTGGCTGGACGAGTACTCGATATTCATGTCCGGCTTGAAAGTGAACGATCGCAACGCCAAGCTGTTTAATAACGTCGGGCACGCTTTAGAAAGTCAGGGTCGCTTCAAGGAAGCCTTGAACTTCTTCAACATGGCGGTGCAGGTCCAGGGCGACGACATCGGGGCTCACATCAACGTCGGCAGGACCTACAATCATCTGAAGATGTTTAAAGAAGCCGAGGCCGCTTACTTGAAGGTCCCTACGTCTCTTTTTACCCTGCAGATGTTACTCGGTCGCAAAACGTATTCCACCTAGTTTTCCGATTCGTGCAATTAGTGATCATCATACATCCATAAGTGTAATACCGATCAGACTATTTCTTTAATTTCTCAGGCCAAGTCGCTGCTGCCGAAGGCTAAGCCTGGCGAGTCTTATCAGGCACGAATCGCCCCTAATCATTTAAATGTATTCGTCAACCTGGCCAACCTGATAGCCAAGAACGCGACCAGATTGGAAGAGGCGGATCTGTTGTACAGACAGGCAATTAGCATGCGTGCCGATTACACGCAGGCGTACATTAATCGAGGGGACGTCTTGATCAAGCTGAATCGCACGAAAGAGGCGCAAGAGGTTTACGAGCGGGCTCTCTTTTACGACAGCAACAACCCCGATATCTACTATAACGTGGGTATTAATTAATCCCGTAGACGGCTGGCGCGACGTATAACCGTTTTTTATTTTCTTTCTAGATGAGAGGCTTTACGTTCTTTTCGTTTAAGTAGCAGGGAACGTGGGAGTTAAACTTGATTTATTATGTGCGTACATCATTTCATTTTACCACCCCGCGCTGTTGTGCACACTCGACAAATAGAGTTTACACCGAGAGAAATATTTACTTACATTATTTTCTGATATCCTAGAGTTTATCGATAAAGATTATTCTTGCCTCCTGTTAATTTAAGTCCGTAAGAATTATGCGTTGTAACCCAAATGATAGTTGAGGTGGTGGGTGAAAGTGGCTTCGCAGTTCTCCTTCGTGAGACTTCATCGATGCCACTTTCACATCCCCTTGACGTATAATTCTAGAATGACTTTGTCGTAACACTTTGTTGAAAGTGTGCCCCCTAGTAATAACATGCATGGTACTGCGGTTTAGGAAGAGTCTTGCTTTTCCTTCGGCTAGTCATCCTTCCGGAACTAATTAGCTGCCTAGGCTTGTTAATTACTTTGTTAAGAATTTATTAAACATTGTCGTTGCAGTTGGGAGTCGTTTTCCTGGAACAAGGGAAAGCTTCCCAGGCTCTGGCGTACTTGGACAAGGCGCTGGAATTCGATCCGGAACACGAGCAAGCTCTTCTGAACTCGGCGATACTTTTGCAAGAACTTGGCAGAGCGGAGCTGAGGAAAGTTGCCAGGGAGAGGCTCCTGAAGTTGCTGAGAAAAGTGAGCATCTACGTTTGCGTGGCATTACCATACCTCAGTGAGAGAAGAAGCCACTTTATTACAATGGGAATCCTCGGGACAAATAGACTTTGACTTGCTATTATCAGCAAGCCAAGTTTGATTCATCACATTAATTACTTCCGCCTACTGATTAAGTAATACCAAATTAATACAACGATTCCTCTCATTGCAGGACTCGAACAACGAGCGGGTGCACTTCAATCTGGGAATGCTGGCGATGGACGATCACGACAGCGGAAGTGCGGAGCGCTGGTTCCGCAACGCCGTCGCCCTGAAGGAGGACTTCCGGTCGGCTCTTTTTAATCTAGCCCTGCTCCTGGCCGACGAACAGCGTCCCCTGGAAGCTGCACCCTTCCTGAACCAGCTCGTCCGGTTTCATCCCGACCACGTGAAAGGACTGATCCTGCTGGGCGACATCTACATCAACAATATCAAGGACTTGGACGCTGCGGAAAATGTCAGTTCTATTCAGCCCGATCCTTTGCCTCGTTTAAGGGGATGTGAAAGTGGCATCCGAAAGCTCAATCGTTCATAAAGCTTTTCATAGAACTGGGGGTCTCATGTCGTTTCATACTTTAAAACGCGAATATAGAGACCCTAAGGTAGGTCCTGAAACTCGGGACATTTTTGTACAAACTATTTTTAAAATACCTATAAGGAAATTTTTAAAGAATTGAAATCTCATGAGCTTCAGGACCTTCCTTATAGTCCCCCTATTCACGTTGTAAAGTTTCAGACTATTCGGTATATCGAGTTGGGAGAAAAATTTTGTAAACATAACCTCTTCGATGTCACTTTCACATCGCCTTTAACACGACATGAAAGACTCTGAGAAATTCAGTCGAGGCGTTATAAAATAAAACTCATGTATATCCTTTGTGCCGACATACATGTTTATGTTAAAGTCTTTCACGGTCTACGTTGAGAATTACAGGAATCTTTTTTTACCAAGGATCGAATTTCTCGGTGTGTTTAAGTTTGTCTTAACGCATACGTTCATACGCTACTATTTATATTTATTTATATTTGAACGCATTTGCAGTGCTACCGGAGGATCCTGCAGCTGGACCCGGCGAACATCCAGGGTCTGCACAACCTCTGCGTGGTGATGGTGGAGCGAGGGAAACTAGGTCTGGCTGCGCAATGTCTGGAGCGAGCAGCCGCCCTGGCGCCGCACCAGGACTACGTCCACCGACACCTGGCCATCGTGAAGGCTCGCATCAACCGGCTGCCGCCGGACCAGCGGGACACCGAGGTCTTCGACGACTCCTTCTGGAACGGCAACCCTCGAGAGGGTAATCCCGAGGGTAACAGGCAATTCCTGATAAAGACAGACTCTATTTTCTCCAACCACGCGGTCATTCGCAACCACGCAGCCGCTTCTCCGAGCAACGCCGACCCCACGACCGGAGGTCGCGTCGTGCACCTGAAGGCGACCTCGAAGACGACGAGACCTGGCCAGGAGTTGGAGGCCCAGGAGAGGCTGGAGCAAGTTCTTCCTGCCGGGGCCATCGCCGACTCCTCCACCTCCGACGCTGTCTTCGTCGCCGAGGACATCGTCAGGGCCGACGTCAGGGACCTTGAGATCCCAAGACTCAGCTCGGACCAGATGAACCGGACCGCCCCCACCCTCGTCGACGCAGAACGCGTCAGGAACATCCAGAAGACGAGGAACAGAGCGTTGTAAGAATATTCACCAGGACCCTACCGGGATCTTTGCAGGGAAAGATGCGGACGTGCGTGTTTGGGACGACAGGCGGGGGCTTCGTAGTGATTTCAATTGTTTATGAAATTGAGAGGGATATGGCGCGATTGTTGACAATCGACATCAGGGAAAACGCGTGTTTTTACGTATTTAAGCAGATGCGAAGGGGGCATATAAGTCAATCGTTGAAACTTTTCTTCGAACTGGGTATATCGAATCGTTTCGGAGTCCACCACTTGAACGTAGAGGCTGTAAAGAAGGTTCTGACACCGATGAAATTTTATTTTTTGTAAAAAAAAAAATAGTAAATGTCTATAAACAAATGTAAAGAAAAAATTTAAATTTTGTAGGTATCAGGACCTTCCGTAGTGTTTATATATTCATGTGGTAAATTTTTAAACGGTTGGTACCCCTCTTCGGAGACAAGTTTTATATATAATTCTAACTCCTCTTTCGCTTAACCTTAATTTCGTATAAGAAGGTATCCAGTATCGTTTTCCGTTGAAATGTGTTTTTCATATTTAAATATTCAAAAAAATACACGCAGCAACGCCTTGAGGGAAAAAACACGAACGTGTGCATCTGGCCTAAAGCTCCGCTCGCAGTAACAACTGGGTTACGGCGACATAGTCGTATAGTGCTGATGTGTGAATATAAATGAAATACAGAGTATTGTTTTATATGCTGTATAAATAGGACGTTTTATAAAATATATTTGAAAGTCGTGCCTTTGGTTTATTTCCTGGAAGGTTCCTCGATTTTGCGTATGTCCAACGAAGACTCGGCTTGACTTATTTGTTGGTGTTACGTCAACTGAATTTCGTATAACCTCAAAATCTTACTAGCTTTTCAGGTGAAACTTATAATTTAAAAACGATAGAGGATCGAAAGGAAGAGCGGAATTTTAGATTTTATTTCTTAAACGTTCGTATACGGTTGCAACGTTCTAAGATGTTCCTTTTTCTAGAATTGCGCACCAATTTCCCTGATCGTAATACACTTCGTTAACTTGGCAAGAACTTATTTCTGAACACAATTGGCTGAGCTCTCCCTCCTCGAACAAGTGGTAGTACCTAAGGAAGTTTTGGCCCTTCTTTAACTTCCATGGGACTAGCATATCGTGGTGAGTAAAATCAGTTCGATTTTCATGGATAGGTAAGGACAATCCATTATCCACAATTTGCTTGTGTTGACTCTCTCCCTTATTCTCGGTTTTGCTGGTTCCAAATCTCAAATACGTCGATTTTGTGGAGTTTCTGTTTTGCTCCATCGCCCAGACATAGATCAAACATTTCCCCTTCGGTCGAAGAACTCTGGTTATCTCCGAAATGGCCTGTTTTCTTCTCTCATGGGTGGATAGATGGTGAATCACTGCAATACTTATCGCAGCATCCACAGAATTATCCTTATAGGGTAATTGCAAATTGTCTGCGAGAAGAATCTCGAATTCTCTCTTGCGACATATCTCTGCCAAACCTCTGCTACGGTCGCAACCAATCTGTGTTAAAAAACAGTCCTCGTACTCAATTTGATTTGAAAAGAAAATGTAATACAATGATATAAGATACAATGATATAAGTATTTAGTGTTAAACTATCAAGTTTCTTGACTGGAGAGGTTAGGAATTCCTTTTTGCGTCACCTTGAATACATCTCGTGTACGATGTAGATATTTTCCATTACCGCAGCCAATGTCAAGAAGGATTCCACCTATCTCTACAGCATCGAGGAATTCAACAACTTTTGGCCACTGTTTTCGTCTGGTTTCGTCAAAGTGATCCGAAATACCTTCGTATACCTACAAACGACCAATAAGTAAGAATAATAATTTATTCAGAATAACAAAATAATTTGGCCACCGATTATATTTGAATAGACAATGAAAGTCTAGATTTTTATATACTTCATGGACGTAAGATTGTTCCAGAGCTGGTGCTTCTTGGGATGTGATTTTCAATGCAGGTGTTTTATGTGGAGTATCGCAGAAATCATTAAATTGACACCGACAATCTCCTTTAAGAACCTTCCGGAATGTGAAGGATGTTCGGGTTCCTCTGGGTCTAGTTGTAAGTCCACTTTCCACTTTTATTATGTCATTGTGTCTTGGGCAAATACCATGAGACCATGCATAGCGAGCTTCACCAGACATTACCAACAGTGATCGTGCTGGTAAGAATATCATTGCTTTCATGTCTCCTCGCTTGAAATCCATTACACTGGATGATCCCAACGAGAGAGATAATATCGTATCCTCGAAAGCACTGTGCGTGTCGATGTGGGGTGGAATGCCTGTGCAAATACGTAGATACATTCATCACCCTGTCAGAAAGGAAATACTGTTTGAAAATTCCTAAAACCTTTTTTTTCTTGAACCATTAAAAACAGGTTTAGTATTTGCAAACTTTTTAACTTTAAGACATTTAGGATTAATCTTAAGAACTGTCCATGCTTTGAAGGTTTTACCTTGTCCTGGTAAATAGCGATTTATGGTAAGTTGGTCGAAAGTATATTTTCCACAGTTTCTCTCCTTAAAACGAGATTGTAGGTACTCATATTCCTCCGGTATCGGAACTATTGGATTATTGCAGTCCACATTGTTCGTATCATAACGGAATTCATATCCAAAGTGCTTTACTTGTCGATGTTTCAATTCTGACGATGGTACATCTGCACAAAATCGATGAGACATTTAACGGTTTACTCTAAAACTCGTTGACTATACAATAAATCTTTATTCTGACCATCTTGATGCCAGGAAATTGATCGTAATAGAGCATCTTCTTCCTCTTCCGTTACAAAATCTTCTATCAATGTCAATCCAAGGGGAAGCGCAGAATTCCATAAACAATCGTTAAACCGTGGTACTGAAGGAAAATCCTTTCAAATTAATAGAATTTCAACAAAGTTATTTTACTAAATCATGTCATCGTACGAAACTCACCAGACTTCGTATATGATAAATAAAATGGTGTACTCTTATCTGGCAAATTCACACGACCGTGAACTTTATCATATACAACTTGAGCATCGATCTTCGATACAAATTCAACAAAGCAATACGACTTCCTTGGTGGCATGATTAATTCATATTCCGAAACAATGGATCCAACGATATGGTCCAATGTTTCTCGTTCGAGTCCGGTCAACAATCCCGCATTGCATACCATCAGATGCTATAGATAATAAAAATGATTTTTAATATCATCGTACATATCTATCCAAGACAGACTGTGTAATTAAAAACGGCGAAAGAAATAAAATAACTGGGGAAATGTATACCGACCTCCGTCGGTGTATCACTGGAGTTAATATTCAGTTCTCTTAAAAGTCTGTGTTGAGCACGTCTTTGCTTACGGACAATTTTTCTATCATTTTTTCTCTCCCGAGTCGATTTTATATCCTCATTATCCGAAGATGAGACCATTCTTAAAACAAAATTTGCATAAACAACAATATAGGCGGCTTTATAACCTCAACTCTTGTCTATTGCATGGTCATGAGCAACATAAATCATATCGATATAACATATTTACAATGTTTCCATCGAACTCATAATGCGGGATTTATCGGGTCAATAGCATGTCTCTACCGCTCGCGAAATCCGCGATTTATCAAATCCAAACCCAATAAATCCGACATTGCATAATTCGAGACCAGTCACGTGATCACGTACAGTGTTGCCACTGCCCCTTAGTGGCGGCGCAACTCTCTGCCAGAATGAGTTACCATTGGTCGAGATCCAGCTCACGGATTGGGCGAGGCCGGGGCCAATCCGAGACCCAGTTGCGGTCAGGGATTGGGACTCGGTCGGCGCGCCTCCAGTACTCATTTTTCACATTTTCGCTCAATTTGCTTTACGTAATAGACACCCTGAATCGACTCGAACGGCGTCCAGTTCCTTTGCGCGTCCTCCTTCCATTCCTAACCTCTCTTCACACCCCCTCCCGACTCGGCGGCGAGTTTTTCGACGGTATGGGCGAAGCGAGGGGAACTTTCCGATAAACCTTGCCTGAAATAATTAACACGTTTCCTCATTGTCTCTCTGGGAGTACATTTCCCGTGGACTTTGTCAGGTGCACCTGATGAAATGCCCCGATGTCGCGCAAGGTCGATTAAAGCGCGCTCAGGTACGCTCGATTATTATCGATTCTCGTTGTCAGCGAGCTGTCAAACAACTCGTCGCCGCCCTTTAACCTGTAAACAAACATAAACGTTACGTTCCTATTTCTTTCAGCTGGCTGGAACGGTTCGCACGGATTTTTTGAATAGAATACTCAGCGTCTGAGGACGCTTTCGCTGGTTTCCTTGGGATTATGTAACAGTAAGCACGTATCTACATTTGTATAGATTTTGCACGAGGGTCACGAGTACAAGTCTAGATTTTCAAGTAGAAGTAGTCATCATTTGTCCGTTCGATCCTCTCTAATTGACATCGTCGCTTCGTGCTGTATAAGCCTTCTCTTGTCATGTCGTAAACGAGCGATTAACCCTTTGCACTCGCTACTCGATTTACTGCTTCAATTTGAATGGGGAGTTAAGATGAAAATTTATGTTTACGTTGCTCCGTTGATTAGAATGTCCATATTTGACTTGTATAGCGGTTTTGTGGGCCTTTGTCAAATTTTATTCCTCTCCATGGAATTGGATTTAGAAACTAGTTCAAAGTTATCCTTAACGTCTCTTTTCTTCCAGGAATAATGCTGAGCAGCGTGGCAAAGCATGTGTTGCATTGTTGCCTCCTAACAGTGGTCGTACTGTTTTTTGAGTTCTTGTCGGGTGGTTTGCGTTGGAATTCAGAGAAAAAGGAACAATTGAATCCATGGATTCAGTATGGCTTTCTCGGAGCCTTAACCTTATATTTATTGCGGACCTTGACGTTCCTATCGTTTCCTCAGGTTCTTTTCAACTTCGTAGGCCTGACGATTTACAATGCCTTTCCAGATAAAGTCATTCTGAAAGGGTCTCCTTTGCTCGCTCCCTTTATCTGCATTAGAATCGTAACCAGAGGAGATTATCCAACTTTGGTGCAAACGAATGTTAGAAGAAACTTAAACAAGTGCATTGAAGTCGGCTTGGAGAACTTTCAGATCGAAGTTGTTAGCGATAAGCCGATCGGATTGACTCCACACCGAAGAATCAGGGAAGTGGTGGTGCCACCCACTTATCGCACAAGTAGCGGTGCACTTTTCAAGGCACGAGCTTTGCAGTATTGCTTGGAAAATACAGTTAATGAACTTGCCGATCATGACTGGATCGTGCACCTTGACGAGGAGACTCTTTTGACAGATAATTCCATTAGAGGGATACTCAACTTTGTTCTCGATGGCAAGCATCAGTTCGGACAGGGCTTGATTACGTATGCTAACGAAGATGTTGTCAATTGGATTACTACATTGGCTGATAGCTTCAGGGTGGCTGACGATATGGGCAAGTTGCGATTGCAGTTCACCATGTTCCATAAGCCTTTGTTCAGCATGAAAGGGTCTTACGTCGTCACACAGGTCAGGATAATACTATTTAAAGTTTTATTGGAAGTATTTTAAGTCAGTCATTATAATTGTCAATAGAAATTAGTCTCTCTTCCATTTCCTTATAGAAAAGCATTTTCTTGATTTCTCACATAGTTGGACGTTAACTTAGACAATTTTCTGAACGCTTGAATTAATTAGTAGGAGTTGTTTGAAGGATTGAATTAATTAGTACACATTTTCTCAACACTTGAGGTAATTAGCACAAATTTTGGAAGAACTCGAATCACTGAATATTTCAATATCGACTCTGGTCGACCAACGGGCACTGACTGGGCTCCCTGTTAAGCCGCTCCATCAATCCAGATTAGATAATCCTATCAGTCGAAACATAATCTTGCTGATAAGTGGCCAGGCATTATAAGCACGGTATAGATTCAGAACTCTAACTTAATCATTGTCTGGGATTCATAACCTGGAGCGACAGACCGGATAGAAAATGTCATTTGTTGAATCTTTTGAACAAAAAAAATTAATTCATAAATCAGAGAATTGATCTTAGCTATTACAACGTAACAATATGAAAGAAAATCTCCAGATGGGTGCGGAGAAGCAGGTGTCATTCAACAACGGCCTGGATGGCTCAGTGGCGGAGGACTGTTTCTTCGCCATGAAGGCCTTCTCCCAGGGGTACACCTTCAACTTCGTTGATGGTGAGATGTGGGAGAAGTCTCCGTTCACCCTCTGGGATTTCGTGCAACAGCGTAAACGCTGGCTCCAGGGTATCCTGTTGGTGGTGCACTCGAAGGACATTCCGCTTAAGAAAAAGCTACTTCTTGGGATCTCGTGCTACTCCTGGGTGACGTTGCCCCTCTCCACCTCGAACGTCATCCTCGCAGGGCTATGCCCTATCACCTGTCCGCCGATAATCGACTTCCTATGCGCCTTCATAGGCGCTGTCAACATTTACATGTACGTCTTCGGAGTGGTCAAGTCTTTCTCTCTGTATCGCTTCGGAGTGGCGCGGTTCGTCCTCTGCATATGTGGCGCTCTCTCGACCATTCCCTTCAACCTGATCATCGAGAACGTCGCCGTGATATGGGGAGTTTTCGGTAAGAAACACAAATTCTACATTGTCAAAAAGGAGCTCAGACAAACGGTCTAGGGTATGGCGATTTGTGTGTTAATCCCGATAGTTCCGAATCGGCCCGCTTGGGGCGCTCGAGTTTCCTGTGAAATGGAGATCCTCTAGTTGCCAAGTGCACTGTTAACGTGATGTGAAAGTGCAGTCAACGAGATCTACTTTATGAAATTTATTTCCTAAATTGAAGAAGAACTGATATATGTGCAGTGTTGAAGCGTAGGTAGTTGGCTACTAAAGGATCTCTTGTACGGTAACGCAATTTGTACCTGTATCTCTGAGCGACTAGTTGTATCAATTAGAGTCCTGCAAATCAGACTAGCCTGGAGGGGACACGGATTGTTAGATTATGTTACTCACTTTGTGTAATACGTAGTTTTGAACATAGTATATGTGTTCATTTTGGCTTCGGGTTCGTTTGGTTAAGAATAGCAGTACGTATGAAATGGTTCTTTCAACTTTTTACGTTATTATTCATTGTCTTTTTTTTTTCAAGGAGTGTCGAGAAATTACCTTTGATATCGTGACTGTTTAATTTTTGCTGGAGCGAACATTGGCATTGTTCTTGCTCCTCCGCTACTCTCGGTTAATATTAACTGGTCATTTGAATATTTGAAAGACATGTGTAATCTTTATTATGCAGCATGTTGCGTATCTGTACTTAAATGTATTTCTGATGAGGTTCATGATTTTTGGGGTTCTTAGTTTCATTTATGATATACGTTTATGAATTCTAAAAAAGTCACGTTTACGTACTTAATCATCTTATAAGGAGAATGATGTGAGGTTCGTTGTCACGGTTCTATTTATTTAGCACTTTTGAATGGGTGGAAACAGTTTTGCAGAAATGTTGGCTGTATCGAAAGCTAGAGTTCAGTTTGGAAAGACCGGTCTGGCCAGGTTTGCAGGATTCTGTCAGCGATTCATTTCTAAGCGTAGCATCAGGTACGATATGCTTGTTCGGCTTTCAAGAACCGATTGTTAGCTGTGAGCAAAGTACGAACAAAGATGTTGAATCGGATTTGATGTTCAAGATAGTTAGTAAGTTTATTTTTTAGTTAGAACGTGTTTTATTCACGAGGAGGTCCTATCCGTAGGTCATGAATCTCTCAGTAGGATGTTCGACTTTCAGGTTGAACTCATGCTTTCCAGCAAGATCTAAGAGTGTAACATAGGCTTTACGTTGTAAACAAATCTTCTCCAAATGATATTTAGGGGCGATTGTTTCTTCGAATCTCTTGTATCCGATAGAAGTCATCCGGGGAGCCTTTTCGAGTATTTTTCATTTTTTTTGAAAGAATATAGATTAGTTCGATCGACGCAGTGCATCGTAGCACAAGCCAGAAAGACAATGAGCGCTATGCGATGGGTCTGAAAGACTTCTTAATTTATTATTATTTATGTAATGTTTAAAAAAGAGGAAGAAGCAAGCGACATACTTTGATTTGAAGAAAATTTCGTATTTCAGTTCCTGATTGAAAGTTAAGTCAGCGGATCAGTCCGTGGCCTTTTTTTTTTATTTTTAATCTACTTCCTAATGATTGTTCGGTTTTAGGCCTTAATGTTGAACTATATTATAACGATTGACATGTTAGTGTTTAGCAGTCGGCAAGAATTTCAAGATGAATTTACTGAATCAAGGTTTGATTTATTTTAACCTGCACACTCAGCCGTAAAGTTGTGGCGTTTAGTTGACTTTGTGGCTTGCAATAGTATGGTACTTATTCCTAAGATTAAGCAATAATTGAGCTCCGAAATAAGGCGAGTATTTCTTAGAGGGATCGAGGCAATGCCTTTGGCGCGATTTTTCAGTATCTAGTCCAGCGAGGCGTGTATCGATGGCTAACATAACCTCTCTTGCTCCGACTTTGTAAAGCCATCTGAAGCCGCAGTATTAGGACAAGAAATTAGACTCGCAGCGATTCTAAAACTAACATCTGGCTATATATTCGAGATAAATCAAATCTGCTTAAAAAGTGCATCTGCTAGTTGGATAATTCAAGTTCATAGAAGAAACCGAACCATTAATCGTCAACCGAGTGGGAACTGCGGATGTTATTTTAATGCAGATTTGGGTAAAGCTATTCCATGTTTATAGTCAAATGTGAGTTATCAATTATGTTAGTTTTAATTACAGGGCATATTAGGAGAAACTGCACAATGGCAATTTCTTTTTCTTTCTGGTAGATCGCTACTATGAGAACGATCCGGAGGCGAATATTTGGGAATGTTTCTTTTTCTTAGGTCGAAGGCGAAATGTCGACGAATTCAAAGTCTAATGCACTACGCCATGTTGGGTACTAAGGCGCGACTTTTGCACCGAATTTTCTAACGCGATTTTCCACGGAAACAGTGCGAGATGGAGAATAACGCTTCTTACGGAATTTGTAGAACGTAACGTGAGGAAGAACTTTAGTCTGAAACATATTTCGATGCGAAGCGCCGTTTGAATGGAACGTCGAATTTCCTTCGACGGTGCGACGCAGCTGACTGTACTCGTGGTGCTTTCAATTGCGCGTGAAATTATATTCAAACTCGATAGAATTAATTCGGAATCTCCAAAGGCGGGCGATTTGTCGAAAAGTAATGCAATTTGGAAGAATGATCGTCATTGACAGGCCGAAATTGTTATTTAGAAAGGCGGAAGACAATTAATATAATGTGGGAACATATCTGTACTCTGTGTATATCCTCAGTGTTCGACTAGAGTCAGTGGGATTGATATTTACAAGTCAAAGGGAGACAAAAGATACAAAAAAGATTGTAAATAATCAGTGGCACTTGCTGATTGGGTGTGTGAGTGTCTCGACAAGTATCCATATCGAGTCGGTGAAGTATCGGTGGATGTTATTAGATTTTTTGGAAAAATTCTTCCCTTGCTCTTGAGGTCTCTTTTATTTACGGGATTTGCCAGTAATTTTAAGCACTCACTTTAACGAATATTTGGATAATCGCGTATTTTGCAGTATTAGACGTAATAACTTATTGGATTGCTACGCAACGGTTAAGAGTTTCGCTCAGTATTCGCCTGATGTCTTTCCTGGATTGCTGCTGTCATTACGATTCCATGTTCATGTTAATTACGCGTCATGTATATGCTCATGTATACAGCTACTCCGACAGAGATCGGTGTGCTATTTTTATAAATAAAGTCATGATTCAACGGGCGAGCCCTATTAATTCCCCGATTAACGTCATCTTCACTATTAAATTAGTAATTCACTCTTGACAAAGACATAAATTCTATATAAATTTATTTCTCGTAGAGTTTATTTTAAAGACAGTTCGTTGTATCGAAAGTGAGGTTTATCGTTTGCTTGTCAAAGCTTATGCCCTGCTATCGAGCACAGCTTGACTTTTGGGTTGGAGAAATTATAAAGGTATGCACAATTCATTTTGGTTTCTTATAGAAAATTATAACTTTGTGGAGGGACATCAAGCCAAGATCAATCCTCGCTTCAGGTTTTTTCTTAATCTTGCTTCTTTCGGACTGTAACTATAATTTGGGTATTTTCTCTTGTGCTCCTCGTCTACTTTCTTTGCAAGTAAAAAGTACGGCTCCTTTCCTTGGCTGTTGAGACTTTTCCACATAATTCCTAATCTAACTGATATCTCAGTGTTGGTATCGCCTGTGAAGTAAGTCATTACGTAGCCGTTGTATGAATAAGATAATGTAAAAGTGACTAAACATTGCATAATTACCTGGATACTCAAAGGCGACTTTCTTTCTCCACTCGTTGGCAAATAACATAAATGCATTAGCAGGTCGTGGTATTCTTCCAATGATTTTCTTCTTTTCCTTTGCTTTGACGCTCCTCTGTCTTGGCTTTGGCTGTTCATTCTTTGTTTCCATCGTCTGCGAGATTGAAGTAAAATCCTTTTATATAGGGCCAATTGTATTCATTATTATTAAAATGTATATGTCGAATAATTATACCTCACTTGACGATGGGTTAATAGGCTCATCTTTGTTTTCCTCTTCAATGGATGGTAACTCTATTTTTAACTAGAACGTTAATATGTAGGTTAAAAAAGTAATATGTATACTTTGATCAATATTTAAATCAATTAGTTACCGATGAAGACCACTGATTCTGAGCTGTGGGTTTCTCCATCGATTCATCGGTGCTTATGCATCCACTCCTTACATTTGTATAGACAGTTTTGTCTGCCAGTTCGTTCTAAGGGACAACGATTTTACACTATAATTAAATATAAACATGTGCTAGTTATCAAACGTTATACATACTATCTTACGTAACACTTTTTTACGCTTTCTAATACGGGGTGGCTCTGGCATTGTGCCATTTTCGACTAAGTCATTCGCAGGATTATGAAATGTACTCATTGTGGCAGTAACGGCATTTTCACTTTTATCTTTTTCATATTCAGCGTAGGGTTTCTCTGCGACGGGTGATATCACGTCTTCATCGTTGCTAATATCGCGGATGTTGCTTAATCCTTTTATCTGTATAATTAAAAATCACATCGGAGGGAACGATAAAGTATGACTGTACTTCGTAAACATACGTCAGCATATAGAATACATTTAGGCAAACCTGAAGAGTCTCTGCTGTTGCTAACAAATCCTGTAATTGCGTCTCCTGAACCTTTACTTCGCCATAATACATGAACTTGATTATCATCTGTAGATCGTCGTATTTGATTCCATTTAAGATGATTACAGGATGCTTTGTAACGTGATTTCTAAACAGATTCTAAAAGAGGCAATGATAATTTTGTTGAATTAAAAGAAAATTGTATTTTCCTTACGATCAGAAAATTTACCTGAAAGTACGGACTGCAAGCTGACAATATCATTTTATGCGCCTTTAAGAAATGCCCTTGGCAGGATAAAGTTACGTCGACGAGTAATTCGGCTGAAAAATGTTCCAGGAATACCTATACAGAATTTTTATTTCATAAATGAACATTTAATAAATTATGAGTAACTTAATAGCTTAATTAAATTTGTCTCTCAAATGATATGACTGTTTATTGAGGACTTTGGAAGTTTATCGGCCAGGTATTTTAAAATCCTCCTGCAAACCTGTATTATATTATTAGTGTGATTGTTCCATCGGAGATTGAACTGTTGAGAGCCTTCCATTTTTACTATTCAAATAACACGTAATTGTCAGCTTTCAGCAGAATTTGGTTCAATTAGCGTCAATTGCGAATTATTTATCTATTAATAAAAATTGCCAGCGACTGTGCCATCTATGAGTTATGTAGTTAAGCTGTAAAAAAACGGGAACGGAGAAGTAGGAGTCAGCTTATACAGCAGTAAAAAGGTGCACCCTGTTCCGTCAAGGTTCCACTTTTAGTTTTCCGCAGGCTTTTCATGTAACACGTTGACACGTGCCACCTTAAGGTGTGTCAAAGTGTATGTAAAAAATCAAAATGTTTATAAAACAGTTCGTAATGTCGAAAACTAATGTGGAACTGGGTTTTCATCTCAACCAGAGATGAGTTGGGAGATTCACGGGTAGGTAGCGTTATACGTCATCGCGTCTTGCGCTGCCCTCTGGTGCAGGATGCAGGCGGCTAATGCACTTCTCACCTGTTGCCCCTCAGTGGCGGCGCAACACATTTTTTATGAGGGCTCGCGCAACCGCGATGGCAGATAGGCTTCAAGTTTTTATGAGGGATTTATGACTTTTTTTAGTCGATACGCGTTTTTGACGTTCGAAATCGTTTTTGGCGTTTCTAGACGTTCCTGGGCGTTTTTAAGCGTTCTTCGGTACTACTTATTGTTTCCATCGGTTACCGGGGCGCCCAGCCGGCGGGGAATTTTTTTCGCGACTGCGACTTCTGCAGCTCGACGAGGAAGGTTCTTAGCTTCAAATTGAGCGCTCGCGCGAGTGGATGCGATTTTTTTCAGAGGAGATACGCGTTTCTGATCTTCGAAATCGTTTTTGGCGTTTCTAGACGTTTTCAAGCGTTTTTGGTGCAATGCCATTTGGTACAATATCCAATATAATTCGATACGAAGACATTAAATTCCTCATAAATTCCCGGAGAATTTAATCATCGGTTATATTCTCGTTTAACCTTATTCAATTTCACGTTACGGGGAATTTCCAAACTCTAGATGGGCCCGGTTTGGTAGAGACTTCCGCTATCGACGTTAGCGCCACGCAGGACCACGGTGAGCGTCCAAGGAGGCTTCGAACAGGAAGTCCTCTGGTAGGATCTCGCACCGTGGAAGGTAGTTACTAGGCAGATACTCCGATGGGATGTAAATTTTCCCTACAGTGGTGTAGACCGTAGATCTGGCTGGCGTGTGGGCCGACGGGATGTCCATCCTTCCAGAACCAGTCCTGGGCCTGGTGGACGTTCCCTTGGATCGGCCATCAGGATAGAGATGGTGTCGGGCGTTAAGGTGAAGTGAAACACGTCGAGGAACTTGATCGACGTCGATAAAGGAGACTTTTCTAAATGTCTACGTTGCCGACGTTGGTTTTTATATCGACAGCTGGGTCGAATTATATTGGATATCGTACCAAATGGCATACTGGTGGGACTCCCCGTGAATCGCGTGCAACTTTCCATATCGAGGAGTTTTAAAGCTGCACCTTAGTGGTGGGACAACCAAGGGGGGGCGCCTACACGCGTCCGACTTCGACTGGTTATGCAGAAATGGTCAATAAGGCTCCAAGTACTGAGAACCTTTCTTATTGTTGGCATTCTAATGTCCTACCCGGTCTTCGGGCGAAGCGGCCCTCCCACTCGATCGGAGCGCCTCTCGCGACGAACTGCCGACCTTAACATACGGCCCTTTCGCGTGTTTCTAGACACTCCGGGATTTAAGGCGTAAAATTGTCCTGACCCTTTCGTTTCTCATATCGGAGCCTTCGATAATTGTATATTTCTCGGGAGATTTGCAGCCTTCCAAACGATGATTATATGAACCGTAAGATTTCATTGGTAAGGTTTCTACTCTTGGCGGAGACTTAATCGGAGGACAATACATTGAACGGGTTATCAGGGATTTTTTCTCTCGTTATCGGGGGAAGTTCCGACGCGCTCAGTTTTAGGTTAGGCTACGGGGATTATCGTAAAGACGTTCCACATTCCCTTTTCCTTTTAAAGCGTCAAAGCAAGGCTCGACATGGCGCATGAGATGTAACATGGTACTGTCCACAATCGACGACGTGAATCCGTGGTTTTTTAATTTTTTTTCCCGACCTCCGACTATCACGAGACAAGAACACAATGAACAGAAGCGAATCGAGGTCCGCCGAGCAACACGGATCCTTTCATCCGCTCTGAGAATCCCGATCTCTTAATACCTCGGCAAGTGAGCGTTCCACTTATCCTGGAATTATTCCACCGGGGTAAGACGTATCCGTGGATATGCCTGTTTTGCATAGAATTGTCGCGACGCCTTGTCAGAGAGCCAGTACCTACACAATCTTCCACAAATATGGCTAAGATGTTGCGCCCATAACACGCAACCGTTTCGCCCATAAGCAGGCTTCTGCGAATGTGGAACTAGCCATGTAATTGGAACGTTGCGAAGCCATGAGACAAGTGCTCTTGAAGTACTCGCAATCGGGTCTCCACGTCGTAAAGATTACAAGAAAGTGTAGATAAGGGATGTCATGACTAAGAGAAGCGAAAAAGCCATTGGGATGTCTGCATTTGGAAGGAAAAGTATCTGTAGATCTTGGAATTCAGCTTCTTTTCCGTAAAGAAACCCTGTCGCGTTCATTTTCTTGGTTTGTTGAGAGTATAGGTGAATTTTTATACGCGTGTCTCCTATGGATCTTGAAGGAGAGATCTTTTTCATTACGCTAATCTGCTGGGGACTCATCATTGACGTATAGATACTCGGTAGCGCGCGTCTCCCTCGAAATGTATTTGGCTCGAAACTCTGCCGTGCATTTTATTTTTCATTCGCAAGTTTTTCCAGAACATGTATGGATTTTAAAACACATGTCTTCTGGAGATTTTTTTCATCACAAGAAAAATTGTTAGACCCTCGCCACTTTCACATCACCCATGGAATTTGATATTTAATATAAAGAAAAAATTGTTAGACACTCGCCACTTTCACATCACCCATGGAATTTGATATTTAATATAAAAGAAAAATTGTTAGACCCTCGCCACTTTCACATCACCATAAACGCCATATCGCGCAAATGTATTTGTCGCGAGACTGAGCCTCCCTCAGTTCCCGCATATAAATCGCAAGAAAATCAGAATTCATAGAGAATTTATTCGTGTCATTACATACATTACGTACGGGGAGAGAGGAAAAATTTAGTAAAAAATAATGACGACCTGTAATGGATTGAAATAATGGCGGGAGGCTATTTCTTTGGTGTTTTAAAGCCATTTAGAGAGCGAGTAAGAGTGGCTCGATGATATTATGAAATAGAAAGGCTCACGAGTGTCTTCGGACATGTCGGAGGCTCTTTTCCGCCGTTCTTCATCGACTTGTTACGTAGAGTAGGTCTTCCATTATAAGAACACCTACCATCCCACCCACTCGGAGCGAGGCATTTAAAATCAGTCCGACAATACTTACGGAAATATCCCCTCGGTGAGATTTATCTTACGAAACAATTACAGGCGAAATATCGCAGGGACTCGTTACGTACGTCAGTCTTGATCAAGCACAGATATTACCCCGGCTTAATGACAGTAATCCACTGGGAGCTGGATCTGGAATAAACCACCACTCGGTGACTGCCTTTTAATTCCCAACAACCGCCTCGGTAATTCGTCCAGATAAATGTTTCATAGCTGGAAACATGCATAAGTAGTCAAAATTTTCTTCTCTACCATTCAGCTTCCCTCCACCTATTTTTATGTTAAATAGTTATTCCTTTCACGATATCCAGGGAGATGGAAGGAACTTATTGGTGGTTTTTTTTTTTAGCGACGATCTAGGGAAATCAGGAGGAATGTTTTTTGGGTCCTCCTGGGAAAGTCGGGCTAGAAGTATGTGGGATGAACTGGGTCCTCTAAATCCCATAAATCGAGTAAATCACATTATCGAGGCACTTGTTATCCAAGTGATGGTGAGTGATCCACACACATAAACGGTGGAAGTTCCCCTTTGTGGCGTGCTTTGCCGGCGCATGCCTGTACACAGGGTACCTAGTAAATATCGGTAATAGTCAATTTATTAATTACCGTTAGGTAAAGCGGTGCCCGGTAATAGCGGTAATTTATGGCCAGCCAACTACCGGGATGTGCACTCGCAATATTTTATACCCACTGCACCTTGAGTGGAGAGAGAGAAAAAGAGAAAAAAAAAAGGAAGAAGAAGGAGAGAAGAAGCTCCTTGTGTACTGTACACGAGGTGCGTGATCGGGATACGTGTACTCCTGACCTCGGATCCTTTATCTCGACAGCGGATGTTTAATGGATGCTGTAATCTGGTCCGATAATTGTTCATATACGAAAGAAGGAGATGAAAAAGTCCCGAGGCCTTGGAGGGTACCCAGGAAGATCCTGGACCCTGATAGGGAGGCTTCGTGGACCTGGAAGTCCCCGGGATTTGTCTCGATGATGACGGAAAAATGTATGTAAATGGTAATGCTGTTTAAAAGGGAAGGAAAGACGAAGAAAATGGGTTGACTGGGTCTCCTCCAGGGAAAAAAGCTTCGGTTAAAAATGAGAGTTCCGATGGACTCATCGTCAGCATCCATGGACCATCCCGCTTGTTCAGCTCCCAGCTGTAAAATGAATTATGACAACGTTATAGAGGTTTTTGCTGAGAGAGAGAGAGGATGAGTCAGAGAAAAAAAGGTCGGAATGCCACGGGTGAGCGAGCTGGGAGTGGGTCGAGACTGTGGTGGTGAGAGCAACAGGTGTGAGACCGAGCGAAGTGCCTCTGGTACCTCTGGTACCTCTGGTACCTCTGCTCCCACCGGGACCATTGACACCGTTGTATATACATTTGTCTGCATGCAGAACAAATGACATTTAAAAAACGTAAAACCGAAGTAACGCGGAATCTGTTAGGGTTTATGCAAACTAGCACAACGTGTGCGGCATCGCGGCGCCGAGGCACCATCGGCGCACTAATCGCAGCTGGCGACCATTTTGAACGTCAGCGAGGGAGAAATAGGATGAATTATTATCCCCTCGTGGTATTATTTCGTTACGAACGAGCGTTGCCGAGAAAGTTTCCGGCTTGATTGCCGGGAATTAACTGGATGAGCTTTCACGACTTTAACTGATGAGGCGGCCACGTCTTGCCCATCCCAGCTCGACCTTGCACCCGACTTCCCGCTGCGCAAAACTGCTAGTTTCACGCCGCTAGAAGTTGCATCGATCAGGGAAAAGCTTCACTCTTCAGAGACAATGTCACTTATTCAACACACTCTTATATCGAAGACTTAGATTAGTTATGAATTAATCCAAATTTGGGAACGTGGAGAAGGCGCTGAGATCGGAAAAGAAAATCAGAGTTTGATTTTCTTCGGATTTCCCTTCGAAGACGCGTTTATAGGGATGGGTAAATCATTGAAGTCCGAGGTTCCCAGCTTTATTCCAGGGTCGCTACACTCGTTCAATTATGTGGCGCGCTCCTTGGGACGTCTCTTTTCCTCGCGAAGTACATCTTCATTCGAGGCGGCAGTCGCAGGGAATCGTCGTCGAGGAGGTTACGGTAGTAACGGGTGTCGACCTCGCCTCGGCCCGAGGCACTGAAATTGATTTCGCCCTTTCCGGTCGTGAAGTGCACACCCATGATCCTCGGTCCCTCGCAGGCTCGTTTCCTTTAATCAGGGGGAGGAATACCTGCGGTAACCTGCAATGAGTAATGACAACTGGTCCCGAAGGGCGGGTCTTGCCGGTCTTGCGAGGTCCCCTGTACAAACGCACACAAAGTGTGCAAACCACTTGGTACACGGATGTATGGCGAGGATCACGGGAGACTTGTGAGAACCGTCACGGCTTCTGCGGGGAAAAAAAAGAAGACATAGTGTCGTGGGCGAGTCCGGCTGTACTTGTTAAGAAAACCTCTCGATGACTGGCCAATACATTACCGTAAACCATGGTTGCTCTCAAGAACACTTTACCGCGAAAGTACCCATTGAGCGTGTCTAAAACAGAGAATTAAATCCATTGCAGTCGAGAAATCACGATTACGTGTGTATGATTAAGGTTAGGAATTAAGTAAGAGGATACATACTTGTATGGGAATACGTGCAAACGAATTTAGAGATCTCGAAGAGGAGTATTAAACACGTACGTGTATTTTAAAATTAAATCGTGCCGTTATTTATCATCGCGAGATACTGTTTGAGATCTCGAAATGCAGTTTACGCCCCTTGAGCGTCAATTTCGATCGAATATTTACAAGCCACTCCTCTTCGGAATCGGTCCGCGACGTGATATAGGTACACTGGGGAACATGAATGCCTTTCGATGACGTATAGTCAGCAGAGTGCCCGTAAGGAAGGCACTCATGTCCGGCGGTATACCCTCGTCCGCGTTTCGGGCGACCGGACTCCCGGATAATCAGCAATTCCGGTTGATCGACCTTTTATCTTCCCCCCGACGCTTCTAACCTCAAACCTCTCTCCAGTCCTCTCGGGGGGCGGCGGCGGTCGAGCGCCGACCCGCGCCACTACGGCGAATCGACGGCGCCGGGAGCCGAGGGCGCCCGACTCCGACCGAGCGTACCCGAAGACCGGCCGAGCGCGCTCGGCTACTCTCGGCGCACCTCGGGCCGCGAATCCCGCTCGGCACGACGCGCGCTCCGCGCGCCTCGGTTATTCCGAAAGCACGCGTTAGAACGTCCGCGCGTCGTCTGCCGCCGCGGCACTGCCAGAAAGCGGCACATCCTCGATTCGGGGGACCGCGGGGATTTTTGAATCGCGCGCCACGCGACGTTGCCGGTGATTTTTAACACCCCCGCGCACCCCTCGATGTCGCTCGACGACCCCGTCTCGATATTCACCGCGTTTACGGGCCTCTAATGTTTCCTGACCCCCCGAGGAAATTTTCCAGCATTCCACCAGGTGACCGTTTCCTCAAATTCCTGGTTAACGTCGCGAGTGGTGTTTCGAAACTTCGTGCGTGTCGGTGTAGATGGCGGTGGCCGGGCGCGAGTTTGAAATTCCCGCCATGGGGACCTTAACTTGCGGTTTTTAGTTTCTTGGTAGTAACCGAAGTAACCTCTCGGCGTCTGGCAAGGTTGAGGTTATTAAATGCTGTTATAGCTGCTTTTTTAGAGGTCCAGGTGATATTTGTCGCGAGTTTTGTGACGCTGAGGGTGAACTGCGAGTGGCGCTCCGGAATTTCTCGCGAGATTCAAGATGGCGGCTTGCAGAAGGACGGTTACTCGATAGGGATGGCTTGGTGTCTCCTTTTTTTATTCTCTTCGCCGGTTTTACCCTCGTAACCTTTGAACTGGTCGCGTGTTTCTGTGAATAGTGTGAAATCCATAAACTGCAGGTTTTAGGAGAGTGCTCTAATGCGCGCTTTTTTTTAAACTCCTGGTGGAAACCGAGGTCGATATAATCGATGTCCGTCTGTTATATTCACGGTGGCCGTTAAAGTGTCTTCCGAGGAAACGGGAAACGAACACTAAGTGACTTTCGAAAAGGTGTTCACCGATTTTGTGCCACGAATCGACCGGGAAAACTCACCGACGCCATTTTCTGCATAAATCGCCGTTTTCGGGTGTACTGCAAGATAGGGTGAGGCTTATTAATTACATGTTGGCTTTTTAATTAATGGCGACATGGATAAATAACTAGGATGCTTTGAAATTCCATGCCGGATCAGGGAATTCGGTAGAGTTGCGTGCCAAATGCATGAAAACGCATTCGCGAACGGCACATCAAATTGTTTGGTATTTATTTATCAGTTGCGAGGATTTAATTAATGTTTGCATGAATTAATTTACATTCCGTTTCGTGGAGGCTGTAACTTTGTCGGATCTTTTAGATCGACTTCCTCTGACGTTTTCCTGTTTCTCGTGGTGTAGTAATTTGCATAACGAGTACGAATCTTTTTTTCCGTTTTTTCCGCGCAGGTCTCGCCGAAAGTTCATTGCGGTAGGAAAGGAACACTGTCAAATGAAAGGAACTACCGAATGCGACCCGTTATGGATTCCTGCCAGGCGGTAAGTTCACTCAACAATTGGCATCGCCTTTGTTGAGCCTTTTGTAACATAGAAAGACATGGCGTAACACACCCTCGAGGATAAATCAACCCTTTTAAAGGGAATGTAGAGTGGAGGAGTCCAGGTTTACGTCCTGGACATCTTTTTCATGAGGTACGAGGTATACAGGTTGATTCGTTTCGGAGTTGTCCGCGGAAAAGTGCAATTATGAGGTCGTGAATCACTCTGTATAGTGCCGAAATCTCCGTGTGTGTCTAAACAAACGTTTGTCTAGGCTCCGGCGGTGAATCACTCTTTCGTAAACGCCGTTTTAATACTCTTTCCACATTCTGAAGTGGGCTCGACTCGGGGCAGGAAACCGAATGCACGTATTTCTTCGGTAGAGGTCGACGCAGAAGTGTTGGTGCGCCTCTCTCGAGAGTCCATATCCTCGGTAAGAAAATGTTATGCCTACGAGACGCTTTTGCGCGATGATGTTTTAACTGGCGAGAAAGGCCCGAGTGAAAAGGATTACGGGTGTCGTGGAAACTAGTTTCACCCTAAGGTTAACCAACACCGCGACCGGGACGATGATTAATGGCCGATGTGCGAAGTGTGGGAAAGGATTATTAATTTAATGCGCGATCCGTGGGCGAATGACGTTCACCGGCTGATTTAACATTTTCCCTCGATCGGATCCCCAGGGTAATTATTACGAACACTATTCTCGCTCTTTGGTGCGTCGCGTTGGAGGGAACAATATGGCCGACTTCGATTCGCGAATAAAGCAAGATATTTTTTTTCTTTTTCACTCGCTGCATGCGAGAACGCTCTAATTTTCGATGATTATGGAGAGGTATCTTTACGCGATTGAAAATGTTTTCGCGGCGGAACCAAAATGGCGGACCTTCCGCGTCGGCGCCAGTTTTCGCTTTCTCTAACGTTCGCGTTTCTCGGGGATCTCGTCGCATGCTAACCTTATTGGAAATTAATTTACCCTTCTTGGGAAACTAGATGCTTATTTGTTTTAACGTGAAAATGACGATAATGCAGAGATATCTTTACGCGACTGAAAATCATTCTTCGGCCCTTCGCGATGGAACCAAAATGGCGGACCTTCCGCGTCGGCGCCACTTTTAAAAGCGCCAAGCCTGCTTTCTCCAACGTTCGCGTTTCTCGGGGCTCTCGTAGGATGCTAACCTTATTGGAAATTAATTTACCCCTCTTGGGAGGCTAGATGCTTATTTGCAACGCCGGCTAGCACCGGGAAGCGCAAGTAGAACGTATCGAAGTGGTTATCCGAGGAGCGCCGAGCGATTAACGGCGATGACTTATTGATCGCTTTACGGAGTCGGTGCCTCGCGAACCTGCAAATGGGTTATGGAAACTCATAATAGCACCGAGGGCCCGCAAGAAGAACCGGGACGGGAATTCCTGAGACTCTCTATTCGGATAAATTCAAGACGCCTTGGTACCCACGTGTCACGTGACGTAAAACCGCGAACAATTACTAGAGTTTAATATCTCGTTTACGTTATATTCCAGAGTTTATTTAGAAAGGAATTCCATCTACGAATGTAATATATAATAATTTATTACGGAGAAATTTCCTAAACTTGAAGCGCGACGCTTCCAACTTTTGAGGGAAGAAAGCGCGCGCGATTCAAATCGTATATGTTTAATTTGCGATTTAGCTTGATATATATGAATTTAAGGCGGTTTAGAAATTCCTATTTTATAGAATGGATTGTGGAAAGACTCGGCGGCGAACCTAACCTAAATCTTTGATATGGGATCGAGGTGTTCGAGTAGGTTTAGAAATTCCTATTCCGTTCCCAAGGAGAGGAGAGACGGCGGGCCAGAAAAAGGGTTAAAAAAATGGAGGAATTCGATATGTTCCCAGGTCCGACTGTGAATATTATCCCGGGGCTCCCATACATCCCCATTCTTATTTCAAACTACTTAGAGCTATGGTGAAACGAAACCCATACATCGACAAGGCGCGCATATTTCCAAAGACCGGTTCTCTAGATTCCTTAGGCTCCGAAGAAGTTGGACTCCATCGAGATATCCCGTCGTGGGGGAAAAAAAATGCCTAAAGCGCGTAAATTGAAAACCCTACGGTGTTTTATGTAACGCTCTCCTTTCTTCTTTTTATTCCTCTCTTTTACGCCGATGGAACTTTCAGACTTTCTGGGACGGACAACCAACAGTGGCCCTCGTAGTTTGAAATTAATTCCGGCTTTAACTTCAATAGAAGCGATACAATGTGGCTGAATAAAATATCCCCACGTAATTGTTGATGAATATGTACAACATAAATCGCGGGGGCATTGTAAATGTATTGTTGCGACCTTAACACAACAATATGTCTAAGGGCACGTTTTACGTTCCTTAGCGGGGTAGTCAGGGGTCTTGGGAATTGTCGTTTTTATTTTTACATTATGCTATTATAGTGGGATTTTGTTTATTTTTTATATACTAGGGTAGAGCCCTTTTTGTATGGAGGGAGGCTCGTATTGTTGCTGGTGTAGCTCCTCTCTTAGGATGTCTAAGTCTTGGGGCCAGTTCACCGTTCGTATCCATCTTCCTGTCGGTGATACCAACTCCGAGATGGGCGAACCATCCTAAAAAAATGGACGCATTAGTCAGCGCAATTACCGCCCGTAGCAGCTCCCTCTTGTCTTGTACCAGAAGCCCATACAATGAATCCGTACACATCACCGCGGGGCCCCAATATATTGCCATTGTTTCGGTCCCGTCGTAACAACGCCAATTTAAAATCCCCTGGCAATAGCAGCAGCTGTCGCGCGTGACGGGACTGCTTCAGTCCTTTTCCCAGTCGTGCAGTCGCTACTCCGATGCGACGCGCTGATGCGATGACTCGCGTAGTCAATGAGTCCTAACCTCATCCCACCGCGATGGACACGGACCCCATCACTTGGGATGAATTCTTTATTATTCATTGTACAGGGATATGTTTTGGGGAAAAAGTGCAAGGGGTTCGCGATGCGATGATGCGATGATTCACGTAGTCAATGAGTCTTAACTTCACTCCACCGCCGCAGGTACAAGTCTATCATCTCGAATAAGTCCCTTATTCTCGTATAGGGGAACATTTTGGGTAAAAAGGACGTGATTGAAACTCTTCAAGGGATTAAGATGCGATGGGGTGATGCGATGACTCGCGTAGTCAATCAGTCTTAACTTCACTCCACCGCGATGGACATGGACCCCATCACCTTGGATGAATTCTTTATTATTCATTGTACAGGGAAATGTTTTGGGGAAAAAGTGCAAGGGGTTCGCGATGCGATGACGCGATGACTCGCGTAGTCAATGAGTCTTAACTTCACTCCACTCCCGCAGACACAAGTCTACCATCTCGAATAAGTCCTTTATCATTGCTTAGGGAAATGTTTTAGGTAAAAACGGCCTGATTGAGATTTCAACTAGGAATCGCGAGACTTATCCTCCTATTGCGCATTTATATCTCGCGTTCTTCGTAAAACCCCAAGGTGAACTTGCGACTTCTGACGCGGAACTTGACGTTTGCGCCTCTATCACGCTCGAGAGAATCGACACAATTCCAACGGGCATAAGTTAAATACCAGTTGTTTTTACCGCAAGGCATTTCAAATAGAGTTAAACAGGATATCGCGTGGAACGGCTATCATGGAATTACAAGCGATCATGGCAATCAATTCTCGGCGAAAAATCGAAATCAAAATTCCAGACGCAAAATTCAAGATCCACATCGAGTCATCAATCTGTCCATCATAATGCATTTACTAAGTTACTGAATATAGTAGAGCATATTTAAGACTGTAGAATTATAATACAAGGTTGTGCCGAAATTGTAGATATGACGCCTTAATAGTGAACTATTTCACATTTATTATGAATTTCAACAAAGTATAGCGGTTAGCTGAATGACTCCTAACCTCAACCCCTCCTTGCACCGGGTTCCTGGTAGCGCCGCGCGGCGCTGCAGTCGCATTAAGTCGGTGCAAGGTTCCAGAACGGGGGGAGTCCCTTTTCTTCTGGGCAAAAAATCGGAATAACGCGCCTCGACGGCGCTGCCCTACGTCTTGGCCGATCAACAATGGCGGTCACGTGTGCCGGGCACCACCGTACCACACATAACCTCACTTTAGTCCACATAAATGCCCGGCGGGACGCAAAAACCGTGTACACGCGTACTCGCGTCCGTATGTGCGTTTACATGCACTTATGCCACGGGCTGGGTGTACATAATTGTACATAGAGGGCTGTACCAGGTTTTGCGCCCTTTATACGCGTCCACGGTTACGCAGGTACGCACTTTGCGAGTTGAGGTTAAGGTGTGCGTACGGGGGCCGGGAGTTACAGGGAAGTCCGGGATGAGAGGTCGGGACATGAATGGGAGTTTCATTCATGTATACCACTCATTGTACACGGGGGCTCGGGCTCGCTTCGTTTGGTCCACACTTTGGCGTCCCTTGGTGGGCGTACGACTGCGCATGCGTGCCGACTACACGCGTGTGTGGGTCCCTGCGATTGATGTAGAACGCTCTTCAACCTGCAGGGGCCTCCACGCGGCAGAACAATGGAGCGGCTCTGGAGGACGCAGGAGGACGCGTGGCCACGCGTCTAATTACTAAAGTACTTTTCCACTTCGTTAAAAAGGGAAATAGGAATGTTTTACCCCGGGTGTGTTTAAGGATTTAGTCATTTTATACACGCCATCGCGTGTTTAGGTACAATGGCGGACGTGAATGCCTCCCCTGCAGATGCGGCATCGCCTGTGCAGGGTGGGAGGGCATTGATGTCTCCCGGTGTGCATAGAACGTCCCTTTAATTAATAGTCCTTATTATTTCGTGAGGTCGTTCCTCGAAGCAGGAGTAGATGACGTTGATGGCGAAGGAACATACGACGACGTCTGGAGGATAGGTTAGGGTCGCCATTATATTTTATGGTGACTTCTTTCCTGTTAGAGGCTTGTACACGCGCCTGAAGGAATTCCTCGAAGACAGAAATC